CCATCAAAAATCGATAACCACCCTTGCGTACTCTGATCCTTCAAATTATTAAAATTCTGCAATAAGGTTTTGCGCATTACGGGAAAATTGTTCCAACAATGTGGAAGATCGTTCAAACGTTGAGAAAAGTTGTTACAACAACGGTGAAGGCTGTTCTGACATCAACGACCAGAATAAAAAAAACTAAAGTCTAGATGGTTACAGTAGTAATATGGGGATAACTATATAGTTCTAGGGGGAACTAACTAGTTATTATATGTAGTTATAGGGGAAACTAACGAGTAAATATAGTTATATTGGAACTATCTGAATCCCGCAGTTATTTCTCGCAGTTATACTTACTAGTACGTATATGATCTAAATAGTTTTGTTACTCTTAGTTTTTGTTATCACTCTTTGTTATCAAGAGATGTTGTCCAAATGCGACCTTACATCTGTTATTTATTGTTCCAAAAGATACGATCACTATTCGAGCTTAATTTGTCCATCTTGTAACATAGCCAATATGGGAAATTTTTGCGCCGTTTTGGCCTTGCGCCGTTTCGGCCTGCGTCGTTTCGGTCGCGCCGTTTCGGTCGCGCCGTTTTGGCCCGCGCCGTTTCGGGCGTGTCCCATTTTTATTGTATATATCGTGATGCAACACAGTTTGTTAGTTACTGTCTTATCTCGTTTATTCTTTTGTTAGTACTAGGAAATTAGTTTAGTGCCTAAAAACCGTACAGATTTCAAATCATTCCCAACTTAATTTTTAGTGCTGAATTAAATTTTCATCAAAAAATGCTTTATTCATTGCCTACAGAAATTAAACTTTATATTTTTAAATTCCTCAATTATCAAGATTTATGTTCAATCAAGCAAACAAATTTACATTTTCATGATTTTGTTAATAAATATGAAGGAGAATTTGCTAAGGAGGAATTTTATGGAATTACTATTGTAACAATGATTTTCAAAATTAATTTTTAAATATGTATTTTTTAAAGCATTATTTCGATCGAGGCAATGCATTTTTGAAGGAATTAATTAAACCTAAAATTGGAAATTTTGACTTTGCCTTATTTAATGAACAATTTGAAGAAAAGGTTAAAAATTTAAGATATTTAAAATTTCTTTTCTTCTTTAGTGGAGTAATCGACTACCGATTTCTTTGTATTTTCCTGAGCAAGGTTTTCTTGATTCCAAAATTGGTATTTTCTTATATAAAGGTTAATTTTTATTGTGTCGGGCTAAGGAACAGACAAATCAGGGAAGGGCACGTTAAGGAACGACCAAATCATGGAATATTTTAAAAATCGGAATTTTTGAAAGATCTGAATATTTTTTAAAAATAAGAATTTAAAAAGATCCTTAAAATTCTGATTTTTAAAATATTCCGTGAGTTGGTCGGTCCTTGACTTGGTATTCCTTGAGTTTCCCCTCGCCCACTTTTCTGTTTTTAATGCCAACCCAAATTTTGTAAACTAAAAAATATTTTTAGATTCGAGCCTTCAAAACAATTATCTACTTCAATTACAAACCATTATTAAAAGCAAAGAGGACATCAAAATTGTTTATTGTTATTTAAATAAATTATTTAATTGTTCTTTCGAATATGGCTACTTTCAAGAATTTATATTTAATCCAGAATTAATTCAATTATTATTTGGAAATTCTAAACAAATTTATTTTCAAACATTGACGATAACGCCTACAACAAATGCTTGCAAAACTGAAAATTTATTAAAATTTATTTTGAATAATTTAATCTGCAAATCTCTTCAACTTAATTTTCCACGTCGAGAAGAATACAAAAATATTTCTGTTAAAATTTTAATTAATGGAGGGGACAAGTTTAAAGAAGTCAGTTTAAACTGTAATTACGAGCCTGAACATTTCGATTTTATTATAAATGTAGGTTTTTTTGTATTAGATTGGGGGTCACTTTAGTACGTGGGTGCAGGCTTTAAATCACAAATGTTATATCATTTGAAAGAGCTAGTCGAGCTGAGTCGAATGACACCAAAATTAGCTCTAGGAAAAATTTTTGAACCGAGATACAGGCGATTGAAAATCGAAAAACCATAGGGGGGACCTAGCACTTTTTTGGGGTGAAAAATTCGAAAATGCAAATAATACCTCATTCGAAAGAGCTCGACGAGCTGAGTCGAATGACACCAAAATCACAGTGATTGAACAAGATTAGACAAAGTTACGACGCAAAAAAACAAAGAAACCTAAACCTATGGAGCGTCGGCGAGGCGCTTGCGCAAAACCCCGCGCTTCGCGCGGGGTTTTGCGGCACGCGCCTCGCGGGGAGTCTACGGGCGCTGGGTCTGGGCTCGTAACATAAACCTATTCTTATCTAAAATAAAAGATCATAACTTTGTCTAATCAAGTCGGATTTCATTGATTTTGGAGTCATTCGACTCAGCTCGACGAGCTCTTTCGAATGAGGTATTATTTGCATTTTCGAATTTTTCACCCCAAAAAAGTGCTTGGTCCCCCCTATGGTTTTTCGATTTTCAATCGCCTGTATCTCGGTTCAAAAATTTTTCCTATAGCTAATTTTGGTGGCATTCGACTCAGCTCGACTAGCTCTTTCAAATGATATAACATTTGTAATTTAAAGCCTGCACCCACGTACTAAAGTACAGCCTTAAATTGGTTTACGAAAATATTGGCAAATTTCTAATTTGCGAGGATTTTTTAAATACATCCTCAATGTTAGATACCCAGAATGCTAGATATCTTTTGATTTTAAATTTTTTTGGTTGGTCACAGAGTGGAGCGTTTTAGCATTACCGCCAAATCCAAATTTTAGATACCCCTCATAACGAGGGTAATCGATAAAATTCAGTTACGTACCCCCTCACCTCCTCTTCCATGCATCGGCTTAACTCTTAAATATTTTAATTTTTTTCTTGTAATTTAGCACATTGAAACGTCAAAAGATTGTTCAAAAATTGTTGATTATATCAAATTAGATAATATTTATTTTACTGTGAGTAGTTTAATTGGAAGAGCTGAAAAGGTTGGAGAGGAACGTGAAGACGGACGTTTAATAAAATCAGAATACCAACTTTCCAACAAATATAATCCAAAAATTACATTCTCTATTTTATATACAGTGTGTTAAGAAATTATAACCCCCCTTGAATTTTTTGAGTTTCTTACCTTCCCGATGTCGGATTGTTCTGAAATTTCTGCAGTAGTGTTGTAATGTATATTAAATAATATTTACAAAATATCTTTAAAAATTTCTGATCTCAGACTTTTTTTTGGACGTTTTTTCAAAAAATCAGTGTTAATAAATTATAACCCCCCTTTAAAAAATTTTTTTTAACGCATGGAATATCTCTACAAAAATTTTTCTGAACATAACTACCAATATAGATAAGAAATACAAAAGAAACAAAGTTCCTATGTATTCCCATCATCGAGATCTCGAAATCCGAAAATCAACGGAAAACCGGGGAAGACGTCTTTAAAAAATATTTTCGACCCCTTAGAGGTGAAATAAAAATTTTATTTTAGACTTATCTGAAGCCCTTTAAATTTGCTACAAGATAGTTTTTATCTCATTAAACAGAAAAAATTTACCGTCGAGAAACAAAGTGATAAATTTTCACGTCATAGAAATCACTCAAACGCCCCCAAAAATTGATGGAAATTTAACCTATAAATTAAACTCATAGTTTCTTATAGGCGAATTTTTTTCTGAAAATAAAATTAATGCTATCTTGTAGCAAATTTAAAGGGCTTTCAGATAAGTCTAAAATAAAATTTTTATTTCACCTCTAAGGGGTCGAAAATATTTTTTAAAGACGTCTTCCCCGGTTTTCCGTTGATTTTCGGATTTCGAGATCTCGATGATGGGAATACATAGGAACTTTGTTTCTTTTGTATTTCTTATCTATATTGGTAGTTATGTTCAGAAAAATTTTTGTAGAGATATTCCATGCGTTAAAAAAAATTTTTTAAAGGGGGGTTATAATTTATTAACACTGATTTTTTGAAAAAACGTCCAAAAAAAAGTCTGAGATCAGAAATTTTTAAAGATATTTTGTAAATATTATTTAATATACATTACAACACTACTGCAGAAATTTCAGAACAATCCGACATCGGGAAGGTAAGAAACTCAAAAAATTCAAGGGGGGTTATAATTTCTTAACACACTGTACTCGGGAAGATACAATAGAAATTAAAAAAATTTATTGTTAGATCATTTAAAAAAATTTTTTGATAAACATTCTTTAAAAAATATTTTTTAATTTTTTGCACTGTATTTTGTTGAAATTTCATCAAATTACAAATATCTAATTTTCCATTTTAGACAGTCTATATAGAAGTATGGCAGTATATAAAAAATAACGGCTGAATCGTTTTTTTTTCATTACTTTTTCCCTTCCATAAAATTGTTAATTTTCCTTATTAGTTCATCTACTGATCTCTATGAATTTCTAATTATGCTGATCTCTAATGACCGCCTTTATACTTGAACCACTCACATTCGGGAAATAGGATAATAAACTTTTTTAAGAACATTTCTTTGGCCGTATGTACTTTAAAATGAAGATTATGTTTTGTAGTGGTTTTAGTATAAAAGCCAGGGCCTCAGTGTTAGTGAAGTGTTATTCTGTTATCATCCTGTTATTCTTTTTTGTCCCCAACTCTGCTAAATTTTTTATTTTTATTGTAGTATTTAAGCGTGATTAAGTACAGTTAATGTCTTATGTCGTTTATACTTTTGTTAGGATTTACCAGACTTGCTTACGGATACGGATAATATCCGGATATCCGCGGATACGGATATGAGGCTTTAAATCGGCCGGATATCCATCTCAGAATTCTAGTCTGCGGTGCCTAAAAAGTTGGACGGATACAAACGGATACGGATATTGACCTCACGAATATATCCGGATACGGATAGAAAAATCTGTATCCATGAGCAGGTCTGGTATTTACTAGGACTGGAGTTTAGGACCTAGCAAACTGTACATTTTTAAATCATTTTTTAATTTTAGTTTTAAGTGCTTTATTCAAATTTCTTCAAAAAATGCTTTATTCGTTGCCTACAGAGTCGAAGATTGATATTTTTAAATTCCTCGGCTATGCGGATTTATGTTCAATCAAACGGACAAATAAATATTTTCGCGATTTTATTTATGAATTTGAAGGAGACCTTGCTTTGGAGGAATTTTACGAAATTTCAATTGTAACGTTTTTTGATTAACAATTTAATTTTAAAAAAATTTAAGGATTATTTTCATCGAATTGAAGAATATTCTCATAAATTAATTAAACCCAAGGCTGAAAATTTCAACTTTTCTCTGAATGAACAGCTTGAAAAGAAGGTAATTAAAATATTTAGATGTCAAAATTTCTTTTATTTTTAGTGGGAAAATGGATTAGAAAACCCGATTCCTTTGTATTCAACTATGAATTCAAACAAAAATGTTGTTATTTGGTTATCTAAAGGTGCTTAAATTTTGTTTAATAGAAAAAATTTTTAAGTCGTGTTAAGTTATCGTATTTTCTCGATTAATTTCCCTTTCTCGAATAATTCCCCCTCTCAATTAATTCCCCATGCTAGAGTTGGGTTGAAACAATAATTCCCCACCCCCAAATACCTTAGTGCACGTTCAAATGCCAAAACTCAAATAATTCCCCAGGGGAATTAATCGAGAATACGGTAGCTTTACCTTTTTTTGGTTTTTAATTACTTTATCTGTTAGGTTTTAATAGTCACTGTAGATGGAGTAAAGTTTCATTTTTAAATTAAAATATTTTAGATTACGAAGGTCAACGCCTTTATCTACTCCTTCAATTACCAACCATTATTAAAAGTAAAGAGGACATCAAAATTGTTTATTATTTTTTAAATAAATTATTTAATTGTTCTTTTGAATATGGCGACTTTAATGAATTCATCTTCAATCCAAAATTGATTGAATTATTATTTGGAAATTCTAAACGATTTTTTATTCAAAAATGTTTTCTGTATATGGACTACTTTGGTGAAAATAAATTGGAAATTGCTTTGGGTTATTTGTGTGTTAGTGGAACACTTACAATTACTTTTCATAAAGTAACTTTTCATGAAGGAATTGAAAAGGCCACGACAGACTACACGGATAATTTATTTAAAATTCTAATGAAGGGAGACAAATTTAAAGAAGTTACTTTAAATTCAAATAATTTGCAGAAACTTTTTGATATTATTATAAATGTAAGTTTGTAAGAATTTAGACGGATTTACTTATTTTTAGAATTGCACCCCGACCCCCGTTCCCGAAAGATTTTTTCAAATTTTCCCCGACCCGAACCCGCCCCGTAAAAAGTCAAAACCCCGTCCCCCGAAAAAGTTTCGGGGTAATGGCACCCCACAAAATGCCATTTTTAAGGAGAGCGTTCGGGGTGCAACCCTACTTATTTTACAAAATAGCCCTATAAAAATATTCCAAATTTCTGAATCGAAATTTTTTAAAGAATATTTTTGAAGGACCCAAATCATATATTTTTATTTAACAATTTTCTGATTTTTTTAATTTTAGCATATAGAAACGTCTACAATATCCTCAAAAATGGTCGCTAATATTGAATTAAATAATACTCGTATTAATTTGACTAGTTTAAATGGAAGAGCTGAGAATATTGAGGATGACCATGATGACGACGATTATTTGACAACAAAATATCAACTTTCCAACAAATTCAATCCAAAAATTAAATATTCTATTTCATATAAAGAAGAATTGGAAGAATTAATAATTAAACGAATTTATTGTTAAATTTATTCGATAATTTATTTTATTATTTTTCGGTGATGTATCAAATCCATCCAGATTTTTTTTCTTTGACATTTTCGAAATTAATTTTCTCACTGAATTCTTTTTCAGTTTAAAATCCAAAAATTGATTTCTGGGTGGTTTTTAAAAAATATTAGGCAAATTTATTTTATGCATATTATATTTAATTTGGCTTTTTGATAAAAAATATATGTAAGTAGGTATTTGTATTTTTTCCAAAAATATGTCGAAGCTCTTCCATGCTTTTCCATATTTCTCTCTAATTCTCTTTGAATAATTTGTAATACTTTAATTCAATACCAACTCCCTTTCTGCCAATCGAGATTTTAACGATTCGATATTTTGTACCGCGGCCTGTTCAACTCAGTTTTCAAAGCTCTTCGAATGACACCTCATTTGTCAAAATCGATCCAGAAACAAATAATTAACAATACCCTCCGTTTAATCAGATACTTAATATGGCATTATTGACGAAACTAACCACTGACGAGATTAACGGACACGATATTTTCGATTATTAAATAAACATACTATTCAAGTTGTCAATAATATTTATTTTTTATTACTTCCATATGTGACATAAATTTATTATTCTCTCTCATTTTTCATAAATTTTTTCTTTTAAAATTAAAAAGATACATAATATGGGTACAGCCCAAGTAGGCGCGCGGCCATAACGGCGCAAAGCCATAACTTGCTTCAATATTTCCGAATCTTGCCAAATTTAGTATTAAACGATTCCTCTTAACGAGTGAAAGAGATTGATACCAAAATTGATAAGGGGCCAAAAATTTTCCAACATGTTATGGCTTTGCGCCTACTTGGGCGTGTCCCACATAATATATATTTTGTTATTTATTTATCATTCAACAATCTACCTATTTTATTTTTAGAATATTTTTTATAAAAATGAGTACCTTCTTCAGCAATATAAAATCAACTATAGCCAATGTAGAAAATAAAATTGCTTCGTTTAACAAAAAGGAAGAAGAATGTGAAATACAAAAATTGGAAGAAAATGTTGAGAAAATGACTGAAGAAAATGAAGAAATTAAAAAAGAGGGAGGAGAAGAGGAGGGAAAGAGTTCTTCTAAACCTTCACTTTTTGCTAGTATTTTTTTTAATTTTTAAAAATTAGAAAAATTATTTTTATTTTTGAAGATAAAATGTTTGGAATGGCTATTAAGGCTTCAACAAAAATACAAGAAGAAGCGAAGAATTTTACACCTTTGGTTTTTTTTAAATTAATTTTTTTAATATTAAAGTGGGAAGTGTTGGAATTTAGTTGTGTCTAATTTTTATTTCTTCTCTAGTTTTTCTTATTTTTCACTTAGGGGGTGTTCACAGCCGATTTTAAAACCTAAATTTTTGATAATTTTTGCCACAAATTAACCGTTTTTATGAAATTTTAAAAACCGAAAATGAGTATTTGTTAACGAAAAATTCTTAACGGAATCGTTAATAAGATTTTTAAAAGTTGGATTAACCTAAAATCGGAGGTTCCGTGTAAATAACCAGTTAGCAACCTTAGCTTTAACAATAAAACGGGAAGGGTGTAGCTCGTTTCTGTTTGTATGACCATGCCCATAGCCAGGTTTTTTTCAGGGATGCCAAGAAGGAAATTTTGTTACGGGCCTGTGTATAACTTGTTTTTTTTTCGTCCAATCTCTCCTTCGAGTTTCTCTTCAAACTTGCATTTTTATTCAACAATTTTTACTAATATCGAACAGAATGGGGAGCTTTTCCACCTCTCATATTTTCTATAATAAATCCCTCCCAAAAATTGTTTCCTTTAATTTAACTTCGGAATAAGGGAAGATGTTGAAAAAAAGAAAATTAGTCTCCCTCTGAATTCCCCAATATGTATATTTTATTTAATTTTAGAAAATTATTGGAAATTTCGAAAAAGAAAGACAAAAATTTATTGACGAGTTAGAATCTGAAAAAAGAACAAAAATGGAAGATTCAAGTCAATTATGTCTTTTACTCGACAATTTAGAGGCAAAGAGGCACATTATTTCGATTTCAAGTGTAAGAAGTTTTTTGAGGTTTTAAGGGATTTTTTGAGGATTTCTGAAATATTTTTTAAATTTGTGAAGTTTATTTTTGTTAAGAAACACTTAATTTCCGAAAAATAAGTAAAAGAAAAATTAATTACCCTGAGCGGGTTCGAACCCTCTACCAATTCCCTTCATTTATCCCACTTAACCAAAAAGTATATTTTTTGTTTAAAGGACACAAAAAACTTTACTGAGGACCTGCCAATTTCTTCTGATATTGGAATTGAAGTTGAAGAGATTAAAACAAACGCTAAAGAATTTTTTAAGTTGGACCCACGTTTGGAAGATGTTCGGTTTGAATTGGTGCCAAAAAGGTTTTTTATAAATTTTTTAAATTAAAAAAAAATTTTTTTTATTTTTTTATAAAAAATAGAAAAATTCTAAAAATTTAATCTCATTGAATAAACACAACTATACAGAAAAGATTTTAATTTCTTTTTTTTCTGTCCTAAAATTAATTAAATAGAAAAATAAATAAAACCTGAACACCTAAATTTAAAATTTTTATTATCAAAACTTTCTTTTAAAAATGGGGAACACAAAAGCCTGAAAATATTGAATGGAAAGGTTTGTAGTGAAAAAGTGAATGGGAGTGAATATTTTGTGGTTCAGGCTTTTGTTTTATAGCAAATTTTGTGGGCAACATTGAAATTGTGAACATTAAATTTTTTAATCGTGAATCATTTTATTTTTAATGTTTTCCTTTTCTTTTCTCTTTGCGAACGCGACAAATTTTTTTTATAATTTTCAGAATCACAGAAGCAAAATTCTGGCAAAATTATGCCTATAAATTATCTCTAGTGAAGAAAGTACTTGGGGACAAACCGCCTGTTGTTGAACCAAAAATAGTCCTAAATACACAAGAAGAGGCTAAGACAAGTGCAATAGATGGAAAAGAGCAAGTAAAAGGTATATTTAAGTTTTAAAAATTAAATTGAGGATTTTGGCGAAAAATTGATTTTTTGGTTAAGTGGGATAAATCAAAAATTTTTTTGAGAAAATTGATGGGGGTTCGACACCGCTCGGTGGAAAATTATTTTTAAACGCAAAAAATTAATTTTAGAATCAACAACAAACCTGGAACAAGAAGAGGACGATTCATTAGAAAAAGATTTATTTGAGGATTTTGACGAATTTGAAGTAGTCAATGGAAATTGTGGTAATGGAGGAAAAAAGGAAGAAGACGAAAATAAATTAATTGTGGATGATGAATTAAATGATGAAATTAATGCTTTATTGGAAGGTGATAAATAAATTAAATTTATTTTTATTTTGGGGGGCTTGTAATATAACAAAAATTTTTGGTTGTAGATTTTTTAAAAATATTTTTTAAAAACAATATCCTTTCTCTGTGACTAAAAAATAAATTATATTTGTTTTTTCTTGGTTTTTTTATTAATGCAACGAAAAAAGTGGGAAAAATTTTTTTGAGATAGAAAAGAGGAAAGAATATTGGAAAAAGTTAATTTCACAAAAAGAAATCCGCATGTTTTGTCCGCAAATGTTTCCTGGAATGTCCTGATCTGATCCCGATATCCTAATGTCCTGATCCAGTCCCTGAATCCTTCTGGTTCAAGTCAAGGCATTTTTAGTATTTAAAAGGCATTTTCAATCGACTTAAGGTCAAGAATTTGGTCAATGTCCTCAGCCAAAATAAAAATTCTTTAAAATTTCCGATCTCCAATAAAAACTCATCGTAAAAACTCGAATTAAAAAATTGCAATTTATCTCCCCTTAAAATTAATTTAATCAATATTACAAATTTAAAAAAGACAAGGACATATTTTTTAAATAAATTGAAAAATAATAAAAACTTGAAAAAAAAATAAATTGGTCAACATCTTCCCCTCATTTTCCTCTTTTTTCCTCTTCCTTCCCTCCTCTCCTCCCTCTCTTAAAATCTCATCATTTTTGTTCAACCATACTAACATCAACTTCTTTTGTAGAATTATTTATACAACTTATAATTTTTATATCTTCAATACTATTTGATGAACCATTTTCTCCATTATCACCACCACCACAATTTCCTCCTCCCCCCACTCCTCCACAATTATTATTAAATCCTCCCATAGATTTAGGGAAAAATACTTCTTTATAAAATGAATTATTGTGTGTTGAACTTATATGTTGTAATAATGACCAGCTATTTGGGCATTCTTGATTACATGTAGAACATAATAATGCATCTGGTTCTCCATCTATTAAAGAGAATTTTAAGGGAATTTTTTGGGGAGGTTTTGGTAAAATTTTCGGGGTTGGGATTTTATAAGGGATGTTCTGTAACGACGAAAATGGGAGGAGAGGATGGATTTTTTAGCGGGAGGGAGGGGACTTGTGGAAATATTTCACGACGACGTTAGGGGGAAGAGGAGAGAATGGATTTTTGGGGATATTCTGGTAGCAATTTGGGGTTGGGATTTTATAGGGAATGTTCCATAACGACGAAAAATGAGAGGAAAAAATGGATTTTTTAACAGGAAGGAGGGATTATTGAGATGTTTCAACGACGATGTTAGGAGGAAGAGGAAATGATTTTCCCAAGTAAAATTTTCAGAGGCACGGAGTCGACGCGAGTTTGTCAGAATGAATAGGAGTTTTAAAAAACCATATCAACTTCCCCCAATTTTCAGTAACTAAGAACACCCCTTAAAATTTCCCAAATAATAACTTTAAAAATTATTTTAAAAAATCCAAACCAGGCTTAGGAATTTTACATGGATGTTTGCGGTGTTCAACAAATTCAGCCAAATCTTTGGTAACCATACGGCAAACTCCGCAAATTAATATGTCATCAAAACCAACTGAAAAAATTTTCTTTTTAATTTTTAGGGCGAGGAAGGGAGTGGGAGGGAATATGTAAAATTTATAAAAAATTTAGTCGTTTCTCCCATTCAATGAAAATATTTATTTGGTTAGGATAATAAAAATGTAGATCGCTTAAATTTACGGGAAGGGAATTTAATTCAAAAAGGGATATGGAATAGTTACGAAAAAGTTGGATTTCCAAAGATCTCATAGATCGGGTTTCAGGTCGTCAAAATGGCAGGGATTTGACTACGGATTTCGGATAACTCGTCCTATTCGCTTCCAAACAGGCCCGTATCCTTTTTCGGAGGGGGGGGGGCGGGGAGGAGGATTCCCCTCTGGTTACGGGTCTGATTCGAAGTCGAAAAGACAGGGAATTTACAGGAATTAAATTAAATTATTCCAAATAACAAAGGCTGTCCCCAAAATTAAAAAGAAAAAAACCATGTGGTTGTACACTAGCCAAATCTGTGTATTCCAAATTTTCAGCAATATTTTTGTTTGAAGTAATGTAGTCGACTTTAATTCTTTTTGTTTGAGCACCTCCAGAAGGTGGTAAAGGTTGTGGCTGGTTTTGATTTCGTTTTCTAAAAAAGAAAAAATTTTTTAAATAAAAAAATAAAATTTAAATAAAATCCCCAAATTAAAAAATTTTCGTTAAAAATTTTCAAAAAAACAAACCCCATCCCCTTTGCTACTCCAATACCAGGAGTAGTGCTAACTGTCATGGGCTTGCCAGCAAAGCCGGTTATAGCAAGTTTGCAATCTTCACAAAAATGAAAAATAACAAAATAAAAATTCTGAAAAAATTAAAAATAAAAAAAATGGGATAAACTGTCTGAAAATTAAAAATTCTAAAAAATCACATTTTAAGAAATTTTTTGAATCATTTAAACCCCAAAAAAGAGAAAATAAAAACTAACTAGTATAAAATTCCTGAAAATAAAAAATTATTTTTAAAAAAATTTTAAGTGGAAAGATAGAGAAAAAATGGAATGTTCTATACAAAAAATTAAATATTAAAAATAAATTTAATACAAAATTGGAATTAAAAAAAGGTTAAACCCAACCGAAATGGAAAAGTAGAAAAAATTAGATTTGATGTCTAAAAATCTAGGAGACCAAAAATAAGAATAAATTAACAATAAACCAAGGAAGGATATACCCAAAAAATCCACTACTTAAAAATATACTAAAATCCAAAAAATCGCGCAGAGATGCCCTACTCCATGTAAATGCAAAATCAAACGCCGTAGCATTTAAATTTTATGAAACATTTTAAAGTCCAACAACTCACCATACATCTAACAAGGAAAGGTTCCGAGGTCGAGACCGGGCTCATTCAATAGAGAATGTGGCCTTACTAACAAGGATTTTGTGCCGTTTTGCCCGTTTTTGATCTGGCCAAGATCTGGCCCTCCAAAAACCCAAAATTTACAAAAAGTAAAAGGAAAGCTTTTAGAAATCTAAAATTCGATAGAAGCCAGCCCTTAATAATAAAAAAAATCCAAAAAAATACCCAAAGGACTTCCATGCCAGTTATATCCATTTAAAGCAGTCACAGCCAAATCAGCTTCACTCCCATGCGAAAATTGAACAAAAGCATATCCTTTAAAGACGGTCACGCCAATAAGAGTTCCATAAGAGCGAAACAATTGAATGATTTCCTCTCTGCCAACTTTTGGGTTCATATTGCCGACAAAGACGCGGGATCTTAAAAATTGGAAGGAATGAGTAGGATGGTAAGAGGACATGTTGGGACAGGCATATCCGGGATATTCAAGTTCGAACGGTTACCCTATTGATTTCGGGACCTACCAGTGGGTCTTGGAAATACATTGTCCTATTGAAGTTTTTTTATTTTTATAATCAATGTTAACAAGGAAAAGTGGCGAGATGTCCGACCTAAAAACGGTCGAGACCGGGCTCATTCGATAATGTTCCCTTTCTAGCAAGGATTTTGTGCCGTTTCTGGCCCTTTTTGATCTGGCCAAGAAGAAATTAATTTTGTCACACAATCCCTGATATGTCCGCTCACAGAATGAAAATAAAAATTTTAAACCTGAGAAGTACAGGATCCTTTGAATTTGTTTCATAGCTAATTGTTGCTCTGCAAATTTGAAATTGAAATAAAAGAAAAATGAATAACTAGAACCGATCGATTGAATTATCTTTTAAAATTTTGTGGGTATTATGTACAATAGTCTTTATAAATGTCCTATAAAAATTTAGATTAATTGGGGATTCGGAACTTTGGACCGAGAAAAATTAGGCAATCTTATAGAATGTTGTGACTTATAGGGGGTTTTTTTTGGCTGGACCGATTTGGACAAATGAGGTGTCATTCTAAAGAGCTCGCCGAGCTGAGTCGATCGCGGCAGAGAGAAGTCGATCCGACAATCAGGGACCGAGATACAGACCCCTGAAGTTTGAAAAAGAGAAGGGGGGAGTAAGCTCATTTTGGGGTGAAAAATTCGAAAATGCAAATAATAGCTCATTCGACTCGGCTCGTCGAGCTAAGTCGAATGGCACCAAAATCGGCTCGATACCTTGATTCTGAGCCAAGATAAACAGGTTCAAAATGGTCAACATAAACCTATTGAGCGTCGGCGAGGCGCTTGTGCGAAACCCCGCGCTTCGCGCGGGGTTTCGCGGCACGCGCCTCGCGGGGCGTCAACGGTCGCTGGGTCTGGGTCGGTAACATAATCCTATTCCTATCATCGATGAGTTGGGCATACTTGGCTTCCTCCGCAGCACCAAAAACTCCACGGGCGCCTTAGGTAAGGAGCTAAAAGAAACGATCATAACTTTGTCCAATAAAGTCGGATTTCGGTGATTTTAGTGTCATTCGACTTAGCTCGTCGAGCTGAGTCGAATGAGCTATTATTTGCATTTTCGAATTTTTCACCCCAAAATGAGCTTACTCCCCCCTTCTCTTTTTCAAACTTCAGGGGTCTGTATCTCGGTCCCTGATTGTCGGATCGACTTCTCTCTGCCGCGATCGACTCAGCTCGGCGAGCTCTTTCGAATGACACCTCATTTGTCCAAATCGGTCCAGCCAAAAAAAACCCCCTATAAGTCACAATACCCGTCTTATAATTTCTTAACCCAGTACGTCAGAAAAATGCCCCAAGGATTAAAAAACAGAAAATGAAAGAAAAGCCCTATATTAAATCCAAATTACCCCAAAAAGTACCAGAACAAAAACTAACGTGGATAGACTGCCATAACCAGAATAACCTGTTCCAAAAGAGCTATATGCTAAAAAAATTATATTTTATTTTAAGAAAATAAAGGCAAACCGTTTGTGGTGTACATAATGTAGGAAAGCTTCAAAAATATATGTTGAAATTAAACACAAATTAAATTTAATTGAAAACTAAAAAATAATTAAAAAATAACAAAGAAAATAAAACGACAAAAAAATCAAAACAAGCCAACTAAAAACAAAAGAATTGTGGAGAGAGTCCTTTTTTCGTGTACCCTTTTGACTCTTTTCCCCAATAGTTCCATTTTGTCGTTCCACAGAAAAACTTCGTGTCCGGACAAAATATCGAATCGTTAAAATATGGAATAGGCTAAAAAAGGGTTAAAATCTCGAATCGGGTAAAAATGGGTTAAAATCGCGAATAGGCTAAAAAGGGGTTAAAATGTGGAATCGTTAAAATATGGAATGGTTAAAATATCGAATAGGCTAAAAAAGGGTTAAAATATGGAATCGTTAAAATATCGAATTGATAAAATGTCGACACGGCCAAAATAGGTCAAAATGTCGAATTTTTTAAAAATGGCGCCAAGACTAGAATCCGGACGGTACCATAATACCGATGGTATTTTTCGGTATTCTGTGTCGATAGTACGGTAAGGAATGTCGACCGATAAAATTTAAAAGCTGATCTGTATTTTTCGGTCTTCCGTACAGTATACGGTAAGGTACAAAATTTAGGTCTTAACTAAAAACATGTGCACGCCACTCTAATTTTTCCGTATCAGGATCGCGTTATGTTTTCCGGATCCGTACGATCATGCCGGACCGGATCCGGTCAATTATGCTTGATTTATCCGGTCCGGTTTTACTCCGTAAAATACACTTAACTCAGGCAGAAAAGATTACGCCGGACTACGACTTACCAAACTTTTCAACCAACTTATCAGCAGTAAGTTGATAGGTTGATAAAATTATCAACAATCAATGTATGGCACTCATCTGACCCTTTTTTTAAAAAAAATTCGACATTTTGACCTATTTTGGCCGTGTCGACATTTTATCAATTCGATATTTTAACGATTCCATATTTTAACCCTTTTTTACCCGATTCGATATTTTAACCATTCCATATTTTAAAGATTCGGTATTTTAACCCCTTTTTAGCCTATTCGCGATTTTAACCATTCCATATTTTAACGATTCCATATTTTGTACCGGAGCCAAAAACTTTATTTCTCTCGCTAAAGTTTCTCAAAAAATATAAACACAACGCCAATTTTGTAAAATTTGTTTATAAATTTAAAAGAAAATTTGAACATTACCGGAAGTTTAAGCCGTTTTTATAATTTGTTTTACACCAGTTCAAGTATTTTGTGTACCACTTGAAAGCTCTTGATAAGCAGATTTTTTTCTAACAGGAGTGATTTTTGTCCGAATATTCTGTGAAAAGTTAATGTGATACATACCTACATAAACAATTAAAATCATGATTTCTCACACTTATCAAGCTCTAACATTATATCGGATGTTCGGATTGACTAAACTTAAGAGAAAAAACAAACTAGAAATTTAGAAACTCTAAAACTCAAAAGAATATTTTTAAATAAAAAATTATTTCATCAATTATCCAGCTTTTCCTTTCTTTAAAAATTATTTTTTCTTCTCAAAAATCTCCCAAGATTTGAAGATTTATTCAAATAAAGGTGTAAATATATTGTGAAGAGTCTCTCTATTATTACAAATAAAATATTGTTACGCATTTAGGCTTTTGTTGTTTTTTAAGAAAAACAATTAATAGTATATAAATGTGGATGAGTGGGGAAAAATGAAACATTAAAAAATTCTGGAAGGATTTGAAGGGCTAATATTAAAGAAGAAAAAGTTTGCCATGCGCTTAATAGCATTTTTATATTTGTAAAACAAATTAACAAACTTTCACAACAAAATGTTCATTTCATTTATTTTTTAGAATTTTATTGGTTTTTAATTAACAAAGTGTGTAAACAAAAATTACAATGTTTTGTAGATGTTTTGTAAATTTATATGGATGTTTGTAAAATTGTTTGTAACTTTGTTTTGAACATGTTTTTAACTTGTTTTTGTGTGTTTTTGTTTTTATTATTTTAACTAATGTTTTCCTAGATGTTTTGATCATGTTTTATGTTTTGACTCATTATGTCTGTTTAAAGGTTTATGTTGTTTCAATGTTTTATGATGTTTTTTGTGTTAGTAAAACATACTTAGATGTTTTGTTGATTTGTATTATTCTTCCGAGAAAACATGTTCGTAACTCTTTCCGTAAAAAGAACAAAACATGTTAATAGGTAAATATGACAAGTTTGGCTATGTTGGTTTAATATGTTTTACTTTATGTTTTATTAGATGTTTTGCCGGATGTTTTTACTGGATGTTTTTCTAGATGTTTTTATCTTTTGTTTTTCAGATTTTCCATGTTTTTCTAATTATTATTTTATTTTGTTCTTAAAGTTTTATTTTCACAACTAAATTTACTAAAATTTATTTTTATTATTTTACCCAAAAATTCTTTTCCTTTGTTTTTTTTCTAATTTCATTTTCACAACATAATCGCGCACACCCGCTATATTATTTTATTATTGGTGCTACTTTAACCAACTTTTAACTGAAACTAAAAAGAAATTTTTTTACTAAATTTTCTACCACAATCAATTTGTGCACAAACAACTTTCTCTTCTCTCCCTTTTCTCTCATTCCTTTCCTGGAACAATTTTCTGCGCAAAATTGTTGTGATGATAAAAATTGATAAAAAAATCGGTTTTGTTTCAAGTCAATCCAAAATATCAATAAATATATAAAGAAGCTTTTAGTAATGTTGATCTAATGGAGAGGGAGCTCTGACTGATTATATTGGATTGTTGTTGTTATCGGCTTTATAGCTAGTTTAGTAGCAGCAACATTCCTTTCTTTGTCTTTAGTTAAAGATCTGCTGCAAAATTAGAAAGAAAAGGAGAGAGAGAAAGTTGTTTTAACTAAAATCCAGTAATGATAAAATATAAAAATTATAAAAAGTTGTGTTTATTACGTAGAAAATCTAAGTAGAAGTGGTCACTAAAAAGGAGAAATAGTGTTGAAAAAATATTATGGAAAAGAAATAGAACAAATAATTGGGGTTGTAATTGCACTTTTCCGGTTGTATTAATCTTCCGGAAAATACAAAGTTTTAAACAAATTCTGGTTAGCTAAAAGAATTGTGTTTTCATTGTTTTTATAAATTCTGATTTTAGTTTTGAGCTTCAGAAATAGGTAATATAATTTACAGAGTAGTATTTTAATTCTGATTTGAGAAAATTCTGATTTTATTTATATTTTTTTGTTTAACTTGTAAAATAAGAGTTTTAACTTTCCGATTGTATTCTACAGTTGAATATAAGTATTTTTTGGTTATATTTCTGATTATTTATATAAAATATTCTGGTTAACTATAATATAATTAATATATTTAAGTTTAATGCTTTATCTTTTTTAAAAAATTCAATTAGTAAATTAATTCAAATCATCCTTCATCTTTTCTCCGATCGCGCTTTCTCTCTTCTCTCAATCAGCCGAAAACCCCTTCTCTCTTCCCGTTATATATTTTTATATTATTTTTACTCCTCCTAGTAACTTTTTGGGGGGAGTTGTCAGCAATTAAACCAAAAATAAAAATTCTTTTCTTATTCTACTTTTTCTACCATTTAAAGTAAAAAAGCTACACAATTACTTGCATCAACACCCTAAAGCAATCCAACTCAATCGTCAAAGTTGGCCTCGGGGCGAGCTTCAGGCACAGCCAAAGGCGAGGCAAACAACACCGCTTAAAGTGTTTGGGGCGGAGTTTTTGTGTGTTGTGAAGACATGAGCAGCAGCAATAGCAGTGGCGTCAATGTATTATTAAATTCTGATTTTAATTATAAACACGGAAAATACAAAGAAACACAAAGTTTCAAACAAATTCTGATTGTTTTAGAGAATTGTTTTTTTAATTCTGATTTTTATTTTATTCTATTCTGATTTTGAAATAAATTTTTTCTATAATTTCTGAATATGACTATGAAAAATAAATTCTGGTTCTAAAATAAAAATTGGATTATTAATTTCAAATAAATCATTTAATAAATTCTGATTTATTTTACACTAAAAAATATCATATTTATTAAGCGAGACAATCTTCGTATCGGTCCAAGCAGCAGCAACGCTTCTGGATTTTCCTCCTTGTTAGCACAGCGTCAAAGATTCGATTCAGTTAATAATACTAATTTGAGTCAATCTCAACAACTACAACAACAACTTTCAGCTTCTACCTCACATTTTCAGGCAAATGCTGTGCCTTCCTATCCTTTTGGGGCAACAGCTTATGCTTCGGATTATCATGTAAAAATTATTTTTTATACGGTTCTTATATCAACGTTTCTTTATTGTCAGGTTCAGGGAAAATAAGAAATTTTTTGAACTACCATAATATAAAATAAAAATTTTTTAGGGAGGCTATCCAACTAATATGTTTGCTTCTACAACCCCTCTTTCCCAACATCACCCCCAAATTCAACAAAACCAACAACAACAACAATTATTACAATTACGCCAATCTTCCTCTCATAATTATATTCAAACACAACAACAACAATCCTCTTCTTCACTTAATTATGCGATGATGACAACATTGGAATCTGGAGGGCACAACAATTTATTAACTCAACAAAACCAAACATGTTCATTAGCACAGTTTCAACAACAGACAAATAGATCGATTGATGGGGTAAGTTTTTGTTTGTTTGTTTAAAAACATTAGAAGAAATACGGTAAAACAAAAACATTAGAAACAAAAACATCAGAAAACAAAGCATATTAAAACACAAAACATCAACTAAAACATTAAAACACAAAACATCAAAACAAATATATCAAAAACATTCAAAAACATATTAAAACACGAAACATTAAAATAAAAACATCAAAAGCTTTGTTAAAAACAAAACAAACATTAAAGAACATTTGTAAAATTTAAACTCAAAACTTTAATTAAACCAAAACATCTCTAAAAACATTATTCTAAACAAAACATGTTCATTTTAAAGATGGATTTGTTAATGGTTCTTCCACAGTCGTTTCAATCTACTTCTGGAGGTGTAGAAAAAATTGAAGAGGAAGGGGAAATTCTTTATAACTTATTCTTCTAAATATTATTTTTAGAGCTCTGACGATTCACAACAAGACAATAGAGGATTTTTAATAAAATCATCATCAATTTCCTCAGACAGTTCTAGCGTTATTCGCAAAGGTATTAAACAACCTAGAAATTCATTAACAACTAGACATCTTCTTGGAATAGTTCCTCCAAATAATCACTCAATAGCTACACCTATTTGTCCTTCTATTGCAATGTCTTCAACATTGGGAAGTTCTTTAATTTCAACAAATTCAATTCCATCCCCTGGAATGCCACCACTAAACCCAATGGAAACATTTTGTACAGTGCCTGGTTTGTTTTAGTAAAGTAAAACAATTAAAAATGCAAAAGAAAATGGTAAAAATATTAGTCAAAACATTGTTAAGTTTAGCTATAACAAGAGAAACATTAAAAATATAGTTAAAACAAAACATCAAAAACATTTGTAAAACATTTATGTTGTAGATGTTTTGAAAAGTTTCAGTTGTCATGTAAACTTAACAAAACATTAATCAAAACATTTAAGAACTTTATTACTCCAAAGAAACATTTAATTTAAGAACAACACAACATTAAACAAAACAAACATTTAAAAAAATAAAAAAATTGAAAAACATTTGTAAAACATTTTCAAAATATTTAAATTTGTCAAAACATTGATCAAAACATCTAAAACCATTAAATTTAACAACAACAAAACTTTAGGCAAAACAAACATTTTTTAGAGTAAAACAATAAATTTTTTTGTAAAACATTTAACATTTACAACCTTATTAAAAACACAAAAACATGTCCTAAAAATACTTTTCTCATAAAGGTCGTCTTTCATTGCTAAGTTCAACACCAAAATATCGAGTTACCGTTGGAGAAATTCACAGACGAATTAATCCTCCAGAGTGCTTAAATGCTTCTGTACTTGGAGGTATTTTACGTCGGTAAGATTAAAAAATATTTTCTTTTAATAATTAATTATTTTGTAGAGCAAAATCAAAAGACGGAGGAAAATCCCTTCGAGATCAGCTAAAAATATATGGATTAGTTCTTCCAGCTGGAAGGCGAAAAACAGCGAATGTAAAAAAATTACCTAATAGAAAAATATTAAAAACATTTATTTATTAACAGGTTTCTACATTGACGGCGTTGGTGGAATATGAAGCATACAACTTGGCCAAAGATTTGTTTGTTTTAATTTTTTTAACACCTTAGGAACATAAAGTAAAAACATTTTAACTTTAATAAACAAAACTTTAATAAAAGCTTAATTGAAAATACAAACAACAAAACATTTAACATTGTATGTTTGAAACATAAAAATATATGTTTTGCAAAACATCAAACATTTTTTATTAAAAACATTACCTATAACATAAATGTTCAAAAACATTCGTAAAACATCAAAAACAAAACTTTAGCTAAAACAGTAATAAAAACATCAATAAAACATCGAAAAACATACATTACCTAAAACATTAATTAGGCTATATCTGGCGTCTATGCCAATTCTCAATCTAAACATTAATTATTATTTAGTCATTCGCTATGCGAGAATGAGTTTCCAGCTAAACAAATAGCTGATTACATGTCTTTCAAATCCCAATCATCCGAAATACAAAGAAGGAAACAAATGTTGGCAATTTCACGACAAACACTTTCAGAATTAATGGAACTTTTAAGGCAAGACAGAAGTCCGGTATGCCAGGGAACTGCTTGCAGGCCAGTCCTTGAACATAGTATACAGCAACATTTAACACATTTCTCTATGGTAGGGTTTTCTGTTTTGGAGATTTTAATTTGTTTGTTTGTTCTATTAGTCTGTGCATGTTTTGTAAGTGTTTGTAAAAGTTTTTAAGTTTGTAATAAGTTGAAGTTTGTTTAGATTAGAATGTTTGTTAAAATATTTGGATGTTTATCTGTTAGGATGTTTGTTTAAACATTTGTTGTGATGTTTTTAAGTTTGTAATGAAGTTTGTTGAGATGTTGTTGTGATGTTTGTTTCTTAATAATTTCAAACTTATTTTTGTGTTGTTTAATGTTTTTAGAATTTTTGTTTAAATAATTTGTTTTGTTGTTCTTTTGACATCTACAATTTCTAATGTTTTCTTGTCGTTTGTTTGTTGTTTTATTAATGTTTTTGCTAATAATGTTTTTATTAATTATTCTTTAAATATTCTCCACCTTCTTTTAAGGTCACCCACGGTTTTGGCACTCCAGCAATTCTTGCGGCTTTGACTGCAGTTATGAGCTGGCTTAATGAATCGGAGAAGAATTTATTACAACAACAATCAAATGAGACAAAATAATTTTAATTTTAAGTAAAAAGAATTTCATTTTTAATTTTATTTATGTAATGTTTGAGAAATAAATTAAATTAATTAGATAATACATTACTAATTGAAGCTTGAATATTTTTTTGTTATCCTTGAGAGGTTTTCCCAAAAAATTAAATTCGAGGTTTCAGACACTAGTACCCTCTCTATAATTTAATAAAAAATTTTCTCTAATTAAATAAAATAATTCCAGACTCCAATAGCCCTTTGATCCTTTCATTCAGATAATATCAAAAATTAATTCAAAAACTCTCGAATATATTTATCTCATTTATTCCCAATTAAAGATCCTCGAAAAAAGAGGGAAAAAGGCTTCTTCCTTACATCCTGAGGTCTTTTCGGACATTTGTTTTTGAAAGGTTTTTAAAATGATTATAATCTTCTCTCTCTTTCAGCCCACCCCCAAATAAAATAAATTTATTAAACACACGTATTTCTTCTTTGTAATTATTCACTCAAATTGATTCTTAAATGACTATTATTATATTTTTCTAAAAAATAAATTCCAAATAGCATCGAAAATATTTTGCTTAAGTATAACCTTTAAATTAGACTTTAGCTATTTAAAGACTCTAATTCTAAGTGTCCCTTCATTGAATATTATACCTAGTATATTTCCGAATTGAAAATATGCTTCCGGAAAAAATATTAGTGTATTTCTTTTACTAAAACTTTCCGGAAAACACACAAATAAAATTATACAAAATTAAACCTTCCGGAAAAAATCCGATTAAATCTTTCCGGAATGAAGTTTCTCTTTTGTTTTTATAGAATATATTTATTAAAACTTTCCGGAAAACATACAAAGAATAAAATTGGATAATTATAAACTTTCTGGAAAAATTAGCACTATTATTATTAAAACTTTATTTTTTTTATATTTGCAGATTATTTCCAAAAATTTTCAAAAAACTTTTTTTCCCAAAATTTTTATTTTTATTTTCCTTTTAAACTCCTTTATTTATTTAATACAAACATTCCCCTCCCCATTTTCGCACCTTTTCCCATTTTCTCTAAAAATATCCCATCAAATTCGTCCCCATTTTTTGCTTTTCCTTTTAACATTTAAAAATGTAAATGAAAAAATATAAAACCTCTCCTATTTTTATTTTTCTTTTTATTCTTTCCGATTTGATTTTTAATAAATTTATTTTCACATTTATTTAATTTAAAAGGGACATTAGAGACAGGAAATATAAAGAATATTTTTTCTCCCACTAAACGATCTTTAAAATTCCAGCCTCCAATAACCCTTATATTTTTAAATTAAATATACTTACAGACTGAATAGACACTAAATTTTTACATTTAACACCTGCGATGGCCATTAAATAAAAGCATAATAAAAAGGCGCAAAATATTTTTAAAAACAAATTTAAATTATTAAATTTATTTTATTTTTTAAAAGCTAATATTAATGTATTATTAAATATTTGAAGTTAAATAATTGAGTGATTTAAGTGATACGGTATCCAATTTGTAGCATTCTAAGGCTTGTGCAAGAGATGTCTTTTCAAATTTTTTCGGATTTATTTTTTTATACATTTCCGGGTGCCTTTATTAATAGTTTGTATTATGCTCTACCCTTTGTTTTAACAATTTTTTTCGTTAAAATTTTCCCTGAAAAAAACAAAGAATAAGATCTAAAATTATAAACTTTCCGGAAAAAATAAAATTATTATTATTATTAAAATAATATATAATTGTTTATTTATTTATATGTATATATAGTTAAAGCTTATTGTTTTTAAGCATTAACTAATACACACAATATTTTTGTGCTTGTTTTGTATATACATACTAAATATTTATTTATTTATTCTTCCACTTATTTTTACTTTTTTTTCTTTAAATATATTTAAATGTCCATTGTCCACATTTTGTGCATATGTTTGTATATTCTGAGAGAGTATAGAAGAGATCAATCATTAGCTTTTTTAAAGCTTATTTTACTTTTCCCTATCATTTCCAGCCGAAATATTCATAAAAATACATTTTTTATTAAAGAAAATATGCTTAAAGTAAATAAACAATTTAAACTTTACGAAAATATAAAGAGAATTAGATATATAAATTTTTCCGGAAAGCATAGAACAATTATTTATTTATAAAGGTTCCGGAAAAAAACATGAAGGAAATATAACTCTCCGGAAAAGGCGAATGGTTATACAATTTTCCGGAAACATTAAAAAAGAATTATTATATTATAATTTTCCGGAAAACATCAAGATGAAAATAGAACTTTCCGGAAAACAAGTTTTATACTTTACGGAAAATACAAACAATAATTTAAACTTTCCGGAAACTTAAATAAAATTTTATTTTAGTAAAACCTACCTTAATGTAATATAAAAATAAAACTTTCCGGAATAGAGTAAAATAAAAATAATAAAATTAAAGTTGGGATAATTTATAGTTATACATATATTTATAGTTATTTTCAGGCAGCCTTAAAGCTGACCTTGCCCACTTTCCATTGTTTAAAAATTGTCTTTGTTCTCTTAAAATTAATTATACATATATTATTTTTTAAAATATCTTTTCCCCTTTTCTTTATTTCATTTAAAAATTAAAAACAAAGTTTTTTATCCTATCCCGCTGTTATTTTTTAAATAAAAATATTAGAAAAATTATTCAATAAAAAAATGGTTGCTCTATCTTCATCATCTTCTACAACATGTTCATCTGTTTCAGATTCCCCAACTTATTTAGCACTTCCATCGTTGGAAGAAATTTTGGAAGATGCCCAGAATCATTTTCCTAGATTTTTATTTGGTTAGTTAATTTAAAGTTTATTAATTTAATTAAACTTTCCGGAAATTAGCAGCTCTTCAAAGTGGAAATATTGTGTTTTCTTATTTTTATATTTCATTAAACTTTCCGGAAAACACACAAGAAATAAAAATGTAAAATTAAACCTTCCGGAAAAATATAATTGAAAATACAAAAACTTAAGGTTTATTCTCTCTTTTGTCTCTCTCTCTTCCCTCTAAAATCTACACCCTACACCCAAAAAATCATAAAAAATTTAAATTTGCACTTAAAATAAAATTTTCTTCGCCCTCAGATTCAGAACCATTAGCAGTGCTAGAACTACTCAATTCCTTACTTATTCGTTGTTCTGAAAGAGGTTATTCTGCCGTGCTTGAATGCCTCTGGTGTTGGCAGGACTTAAGCGAGTAAGCTGTGTTTTAACTTGTATAACTTTTGAAGGAATGAACTGATTTTGTTGATTTTAGTATCATTCGATAGAGAATTAATAAGACTATAAAACTAAGCAAAATAAGAAAAAATATTTAAAGTGAGAAAAGTTATGTTCAGAAAACTAAAATTTTCAGTTGAAATGCCTAATTTTTGAATGTTTTTGGGCGATAACTTTTTTCTCTTTGATTTAAAATGAAAATTTCTTTTTATTTTGTAGTTAATTCAATTCTCTATCGAATGATACTAAAATCAGAAAAATCGGTCCGGACTCCTCTAAGTTATAGAAGTTTAAGTCTAGTTGGTCTATACCATTTCCTCCTTCATTCTTCCCTAATTTTCACAGCTTTTCCCACTCTCTATCACCTCTACTAGACGAATTATGTTGTGCTAATGATGTTCAAATTGTTATTGCAAGTTTAAGATTACTTGAAAGACTGCTTCAATTTGCCCCTAACAGAGTAAGCCGCGCACGTCTAAGAAATGAAATGGAAGGTTTAATAGAAAATATTTTAAATTTAAAAAATTGGTAAAATTTAGAGCTTCATTTTGAAGATATTGTAGTTAAATTAAGGTAGGAAAATATGAATCTAATAATTTTTGGAAATATAGTCAACTCTCTTTAGTAGCGACTTGGACCTGGCTAGAGGGTGGGAGGAGGGCTTTTGGAGATTTTTGATACCCTTAGGAAACACTGATTTTATTGTTCATAATGAGAGTTGACTGTAACTAATTTTTAAAATAAAATAAATTTCAATTCCGAATTTTAAAAAATTTCTAAAAAAAATTTTTTCTTTTAAAAAATAAAAATTGTCATAAAACCATTTTCTTCTCCCTTTCCCCCCATTTAAAAACAATCACCACGTTTCTAACCAAAAAATATTTTACAGAATTTCATGCATATAATGATTCATTAAAAATAAAAATATATAGAAAAATAACCAAACAAACAAAAAAACTTTTTTTTTCTTTCCAAAAATTTCTCCTAAAAATGACATTATCTTTTTAATACCTTTTTTAGAAAATAAAAAAAATAATTTAAAAAAATTTTTTTAAGGGAACGATTTAAATCCTCCAAAGAATTAGAGGAACCTATAAATGATTGGATGAAAGCTTTAAAAATAATAAGTGAAAAATCAGAAGAAGAGGAAGAAGAAATGCGCAAGGGAGCTGACGCTGATTCTGGAACTTTTTCTGATAGTGAAGATATAGTGGGGGAAAGTAGTAGGGGAGAGAATAGGAACAAACAAAAAGTTGGAATTAAAATGAACGCACAACAGGTTTATTTTATATAGGTTGAATTAATATTAAAATACTATGTTATTATTTCAATACTAATAATATTTCCGGAAAATAACCGGAACTTTATATAATAATATATTTATTAACTATCAACTTACCGGAAAGAAAATACAGTTTTTCCGAGAAATACATATAAACTTTCCGGAATTTAATATACTAATTAGTATATTAATTATTAACTTTCCGGAAAATATATAATATAATAATTAACTTTCCGGAAATTAATATAATATTATATTAATATTTCCGGAAATATAACTCTGCGAAAAAACTTTCCGGAAAATACGCATGTAGAATAAATAAACTTTCCGGAAACAAATGAATGATACAACTATAATTTATTTCAGGAAATAGCTGAATTTAACAAGCTTTTGATTGAACTGTCAGAGAACGAGCGAAACGAAATTTTGATTTTACTAAGAAAATTAATTACTCAAATGCGAAATAAAGGAAATGTTAATTTAAATGATTTGTTGACATGTTCTACTTCTTTATTAAATGAGAATATCAAAAATAGTCAGCAGAAACAGCCTTCACCGCCCCCTCCGCCACCCCCGCCACCACCCCCTCCTCCATCTAATTTACTTAAAAATTCTCGTCCTCCACCAAACATCAAAGTCGAAGATATAACAACAACTAACAAGAAAAACCAACCTCCCCCACCACCTTTATTATTAACAAGGCCTCCAACACCTGGAGATACTTGTAGTGTAGGCAACACCCCTCCAACTCAAGCAGCAGACATTCCACGTCCTTTGCGTCCCAAAGCACTTCCAGGACAGGGACGTCGGCTTAGACATTTGCAGTGGTCAAAAGTACCGTCTAATGCTGTTGTAGCAACAAATATAGTAATGGGTAGTGAAGCTGCTCCTTCTTCTGGTCATCAAAATGTATGGCAGGGATTGGATTGTGCTGATAGGGAACTGAGTTGGTTGTTTATTAAATTCTGATTTTTGTTCTGATTTTTGTTTAAATTCTGATTTTAAGGAGACCGACTAGACTTTGCAGGCCTGGATTCCCTATTTGGGTGCCCCTCTTCTCCTCCAGCTTTCTACGACAACGATCAAGTTCCCAATTTTATGTCAAGCGGACAAAAAAGGCGTCGAGCAGCTTCTCTCATGCCCAACAGCCAACAACAAGATTTTATTGCTTTATTAAATGCAAAAAGAAGTTTAAGTAAATTAAATAATAAATTTAATAAATAAATTTAAAAAAAAATAAATTTAAAGGCGTTAATGTTTTTCTTAAAATGTGTCGAAATTCAGAACAATTACTTTGCGATATAACTAATGGTAATGCTGAAAAGATAGGTGCGGATAGGCTTAGAACATTAATACAGTTATTGCCTTCTGAAGAGGAGGTATTCTCAAGTTTTTATAAATAAAAAACAAATATTACAATAAAACATTCAAAACAAGTAAAAACATTAATCATCAAAACATCGTTTAGTTTATACAAACAAGAGAAACATTACTAAAAACATTTTTGTTTAAAGCAAACAAAACAGGAAAACATTAAAACAAGCAAAAACATTAGTCAAAACAAACATTATACATTATTAAAAACAAAACAAAAACATTTTTAAAGAAACAAAACATTTGTAAACAGTTCCAAAACTTTAACAAATCTTTAATCAAAACATCTAATAATTTAAAAACAACAAAACTTAAAACAAAACAAGTAGTCTTTCCGGAAAACATATAAGACAGAAAAATAAATATAAAATAAAACTTTCCGGAAAAGCTTTATTTTCCGGAAAATAATCAAATAATTGAGTTTTATATACATAAATTTCCGGAAAAAATATAACCTTCCGGTTAATTTTCTTTTAATTATTATTACAGCTAGAAATCCTTCGGCAATATAATGGAAACCTTGCATTATTAGGTCAAGCTGAACGCTTTTTAATTTTATTAACTAAAGTGCCCAAATACAAAATGAGATTAGATGCTATGCTTCTCCGATTGGATATTGAAGAATTAATGGATAATTCTGGGCAAAATTGTGGATTGGAGACTTGGTTAAAGGGTGGAGAAGGTAAATGGGGTTTTAATTTTTTTATTTAAAAATTTAATTAAGAATTAATGTCAAGTCCTTCACTACACAAAATTCTCTACATTCTTCTACATGTTGGGAATTATTTAAATCACGGAGCTAGTATTGGAAATGCTGTTGGGTTTAAATTGAGTTCTCTTTGGAAAGTAAATTGGAAAATTAAAATTAATTAAAATTTAATTTTAATTTAAAGGTTGAGGATGTAAAAGCTATTGGAGGGGCTGAAAAAGGCAGGAGAAGCACTCTTCTCCATTTTGTTGCTAAGGTTGTAAAAAAAGAATATTTTAAAAATTATATTTGTAAATTTAACAGCAAGCAAATAATTGTGCAGAGGAATTAATAGCAGAACTTGGAAATGTGAGAGAATCTGTTAAGTACGTGTTTTACTGTAAATACTTGAGAAAAACTAAATATATTCCGGAAAACTTGCAATAGAATTTTTAAAGATTATTCCGGAATTATACACTATTCCGGAATAATATATTATTCGGGAATAATATATTCCGGAATAATATATTATATATTATTCCGGAATATTATATTGTTTCCGGAATTATATTAATATTATTTTTCCGGAATATTTAATTCCGGAAAAGTCCTATTAAAATACAATTATTTTTCCTGATTTATTTTTCCGGAATATTTATTTGTATTTTCCGGATGTAAATGTATATTTATATTTACTAAATTAAACTTTTAATAAAGCAGGTCTTCTCTGGATGCAACAAAAGAAGACCTGCGAGGATTAATAGAACGACAACGAAGACTTGAAGGGGAAATTAAGGAAATACAAAACAACGATATATTTTTTGGAGAATATAAACAATTTTTGGAGGTTTTGAATAAAATAAAATTAAAAATCCCTAAAATTGTTTTTAAAAAAGAAATCTGGAAACTATCTAAAAAGCATAGAAGACCAACTAGCAAAGTTTGAACCTCTTCGTCTTAAATTGGCAAATTTCTTTTGTGAACCGGAAAGAACCTTTTCATTAGAGGAGTGTTTTAAAATTATTGCTTCGTTTATTGAACGGTTTGAAAAGGCTGTTCAGGTAGAAAAATATTTTTGATTTATTAAATATTAGGTTGTCAAATAAGTTTTGAGCCGGGTTAAGCGCATTAAATAATTATTAAAATTCAACAAAATGTTTTCAAACGGTAATTTATTTTTCTTTATGTTCCTAAGAGAGATGCCTATTTTTGGGCGAAAAATCAGAGTCATAGGATTAAGTTGGCAGGATTTAGAGGTAAAACTCTAGGGAGCTCGAAACTTAGTTGACAACCTGAGTATATCTAAATTATATTAATACTTTCCGGAATTATATTTATTATTTATTTAAAAAAAAAAGGAAAATAAACAGTGGTCGTCTCTAGACAACACAAATTTAAAAACAACAGAAACTGATCCAAAAACAACACTAAACCCCACAAAAATCAACAGATCTACTAGTCCAAATCCTTCAATTATTCCAGACAACAATAATTTATTTTTATCCAATTTTGTTAACAATCCTTCTTTGGGGGTGCCTTCGGGAGTTGAAAGTTTGCGTAGACGAAGAAATTCTGCATTTCCGACTTTTGAATTGAAAATAAAGGAAAATGAGGAGAAAAAGGGAAATGATGATTGTAATATGAAAATCTCTGAAAATAATGTAAGGGTTCTGAATATTCCTGAAAAATTTATTTTTAAATGAGTAGGGAAGGGAAGAACATTCTAAACCGGGAGATTGAGTTCTTTCCTTCATTTTCTCTTTCCAACACGAGGAAAGTAAACTTCTAATTTTGCATGATTTTTCAAGCCATATATGAGATTTTAAATTGAATCAGTTGGGTATCACACTCAAATATGGATAAATAAATTTTTCGAAAGAGTCATTTAAGTTATTCTTATATGTCCTAATTTTAGAAACTGGGATCAAAAACAAAACAATTATGCTATTTAAATCTAAGAACCTCATTTATATTTTCTTGCTTAATTATTAAAATTAACGGCTAATTATTTCCAAAAATTCCCAAAAATTCCAAACAAAAAAATAATTTTTTTTTACTATTATTAGAGCAATTCTAATCCACCACCAAACAATCCTTCTCAAAAACAACAAAACCAAGAGGAAAGTTCCAATAACGAAGCTAGCAACAAAGCTAATATATCAACTACCCCCCAACCAAGCAGCACGCAGCCTCAACAAACTAATCCTTCAGTTGATGAAGAAAAATCCTCAAAAAATATTTCCCCAACTTCCCCAGCATTAGTTAGACTTTCTCGAGATGCAAAGCAGCGTTTAGCAGATAGCAGTATTGAAAAGAAAAAAGAAATAAAAAATAATAAAGTTGGGCAAGTAGCTAAGAGAATTGACCATTACGAACATCAAGGCCTACAAAAACCTTCACAACAACGTTCTGGAATATCCCGTTTAAGCAGTATTTCGAAAGTTCGGACAGGGAATAGTCCTGCAATTGTCCAAGTTGTGAAAACAAATAATTTAGAGAATGAAACGGGAATACAACGCCCTACACCTTTTAGAAGAAATCAAACTTTAACGCCTACAAGTTGTAGAAATTTGGGGTCAAAAATTGCTTCTAATGTGGAGAAACAAAAAGAGGCACTCCAAGCTCATGTAATTTTTTTTGCTTCTGATTTTTTTCAGAATTTTTTTTCTGATTTTTATTAACATTTTTATTCTAATTTTTTAAAATTTCTTTTTTTTGCTTTCCTAATTTTATTCTGTTATATAGAAAGCAAAGATTCATCAAAGTCCTTCAATTACTCGGGCGGCCTCTCAACAAGTTTCAAACGTTTCAAGACGTCAACAGCTTCAAAATTTACCCACCAAAAGTAACAATTCCTCTCCTGTAGCAAAATCAAAACCTGTACTTACTAGACAGGTAGTTTTAAATTTTAAAATATCTCGCTTGCTTCAATTTTTATTTTAAAATAATTTTTTTGCTTCAAGTATTAAAAATACCCCCTGTTTCAATTATTTTTTAAAATATTTTTTTTCTAATTTTTAGGTAAGCACTGCAAGTCGTCCAATTTTAATACATAGCAGTGGTGGAGGAAGTACCAGCAGCAACAACAACAATAATAACAATAATAGTAATACTAGTAGCAGTTCAGATAAGAAAACAAAAGCAAAATGGATTTAAAAAATTAATTAATTATTTAATTAAAATTTAAAAAAATTATAATATTTTTGATTATTATATTTTGATAAAATAAAGTTTCTGCAAGTTTTAAAAATATTCTTAAGTCTTTCAAAATAGGTTTATTAAAGTTATTAAGTTTACGCTTAAGTTTATTTAAGTTTGTAAGTTTACCGTTAAGTTTTAAGTATTCAAGTTTTCCGAAAATTAAAGTTTGCAACTTTGCGATTGTAATTATTATTTTACAAAACTTTCCGGAAAGTTTATAATTTTCTATTAAATTAAAATTTTTCCGGAAAGTTTCCGTTAGGTTTACAATTCTTCCAATAAAATTAATTATCGAATAAAAATTAAAACTTATACAAAAGGCCACCCCAAAGATTGTATTATTTAAAATCAAATTTTTATTTTCATTTAAGTTTAGTAGACAAATGCTTAGATTCAATAAAATCTTTTTTTTCTTCTCAATTTATTTTTTTTCATTAATTCATTACCCTTCCATTTCAAATTTTACAAAAGAATAAAGAAAAAAGCTAACTACTTTCATCTTTCCCTTTCCCCCTTCATTATACATACACATCTGCTACAGATTCATTTTATTTATTTATTGTGTTGATTTTCTCTTATACAAATTTAATATACTGCCAACTTTGTCCCCCCAACTTTGTGTAAAAAGTGTGTAAAAAAGAGAATTAAATGAGAATGGCTCGTTTTTCTAATTTTTCCTTATCATGATCAGATAGCAATATTTTTAATTAAAAAATGTTGATTTTATTTTATTGTAAATTTGTATTAGCCAGTAGCGACATATGTTTATTATTCATTTTTTAAAATATAAAAAAATACCAATAGAAAATCCTCCAGCTTCACTACATTAAAATTGTAACTTGTTTTACAAACCTGATTTAAAAATTACAAAAGTACGCCTGCTTCAAGTTTTATGGGAGTAACTTAATAAGCGAATACAATTTGTAAAACATTTTTACAAATTGTAAAAACTTAGGTTGTAAAGATTAGTGTTTACTTACAACCTGAGTTTCTACAATTTGTATAAATGTTTTACAAATCGTATCAGCTTATTAAACCTAAACTATTATTTAATTGTAAAACATTTTTATATATTGTAAAAACTTAGGTTGTAAAGAAAAAAAGTTTAAGATTGTAATAATTAAAAAACTTGAAAAAAGTTTTAAGTTTGTAAACTTGAATTTATTAAGCAATGTAAAACTTGATGTTTACTATCAAGTTTTAATTCTAAGTTTTATTAAAAGCTTTATTAAAAATAAACTTCAACTTAATTGTAAAACTTTTTACAAATTGTAAAATTATTAAAGTTGTAAACTTTAATTTACTTATTAATTACATTATTAATTTTTATTTACTCTGTATTTGCTTTTTTCTGTTTTATTTTAATGTCGAATGATTAATCTATTATTACAATCAATCCAAACTGATTCCACTCTTTAATATAAAAATATTTAAAATTTTCAAATAAAAATTTAATTTTTAATTATTTAACTAACAGTAATTTTTTTTAAAAAAATAAATAAAAATGAGAGAAGCATTCGGCCAAATCCAAGCAATTGTGGCTAAACTTAAGCCAAGAAATGACGATGATTTTATTGATAGACTCCATTATATAATTACCCCTTCAATTCTTTTTACTTTTTCATTTATTGTTGGTGCCAAACAGTTTGTTGGGCAGCCTATTCAGTGTTGGGCACCGGCTGAGTTTAAAAGGCAATGGTCACGCTATGCTGAAGGTTTATGCTTTGTTGAGGTAATAGTAGAATAAAATGTAAAGAAAATTTGTAGAAGAAATGTCCGTTAAATTTTTTAAGTTAGTAATAAAATAATAAGCCAAAAAAAGTTTTTAAGATTGTAATAGTTAATAAAACTTGAAAAAAAGTTTTAAGTTTGTAAACTTGAATTTATCCAACAAAACATTTTAAACAAATGTTTCTAAAACTTGATGTTTTCTATCAAGTTCTAATTCTACTTAAGTTTACAAATCCAAGTTTATTTTTAACAGAATACGTATTTTGTTGGAATGGATGAGCGTTTCCCGATGCGTCCAATCGAACGTGAGAGACGTGAAATTCACTATTATCAGTGGGTACCATTTATATTGGTTGGAGAAGCTTTGCTAATGATGTTGCCGAAGCTTTTGTGGAATGCTTTTAATTGGAAAAGCGGTTGGATTTTTTGGAAATTTCAAAGATTGACTCAATCCTTTCAACAGGTTTGGACATCCGATCATTAGTTCAGCGTGCTAAGAAACTTTCCGAATCGGGTGAATATGAAGGAAAGATGAAAGCAAGCCAGGACTTAGAAGAACGACTTGCCATTGGATTGAAACAGGCGAAATATAGGAATATGACTAAAACTGGACGTGGTTAGTATAAACAAGCTTAATTTAAAAATTTACAATTAACAAACAAGTTTAAAGCTTATTTTACAATTTGTAAATAAAACAAGTTCATTTTACAATTTGTAAAATTTAAGTTTATTTAATTAATCTTATTTTACAATTGTAATATTATTAATAAAAGGTTTCACAAAAAATAAACTTGTCACAGAAATAGGTTTACAAACTTAAGTTTATAAATTTTAATTTAATTACAAAATACATTTCCAGGCGGAATAATTCAAGAATGCCCAGAAACATTGAATGGGCCCTGGGCATCTGCTAGTTTTGTCACAGGCTGTTATCTTGCATTAAAGTTGCTTAATTTTGTCTCTATTCTTCTTCAACTTTATGTTTTGACTTTGTTCTTGGGAAATGCAAATGAATCTGGAAAAGAAAGTTTTTGGGGATTTGTGGTTGTTAACGATTTGTTGAATGGACGGGATTGGCATAAATCTGGAGCTTTTCCAAGGGTATATAATTAATCAAGAAAATTAAATTGACTTTAAAGAGGACATAAATCATCTACTTAATTTTATAGGTAACCTATTGTGACTTTGAAATTCGCCAAGCGGCGAGGGAAATGCGTCCAATGCAATTCTCCCTCCAATGTGTTTTAATGGTAAAGCCTTTTTTATTTTCGATTAAAAAATTTTTTTAATTTAAAGATTAATATGATAAACGAGAAAATCTTCCTTTTTATTTGGTTCTGGCTTATAGCTCTAGCAGTTATAGGCACTTTCAATTTACTTTATTGGTTCTATCAAGCTTTTTGTGTGACCTCCGCTGATCGTTTTGTTCGTTCCCAATTGGTGACTTCTATTTAAAAATTTCAAAAAAATTTTTTTATAAAATTTTTTAGCGCCTCTCTATAGCTAATATGCCAAGCAATAAAGAAATTAGAGAATTTGTTCGGGTAGGTCTCTCCTATGATGGAATAACAGTGTTGCGATTAATTGCCCTAAATTGTGACCCAACAATATGTTCCCTTCTTGTTCGCTATTTGTGGGAAAGATTCGAACAATGTGAGAGAAAAAAACTTTTTTTTTGCTTAAAATATTTTCTGAAAATTTAAAGCATTTCTTTCTGGTCAAAGAAATGGTGGCGAACAAATAAACAATAATAATGGAAACACAAACAATCAGAATTATTCTACATGTGAGAAGAAAAAGTTTTAAAAATACAAAATTTAATTAACATGATTCGATAATTTAAATATAAACAGGGATTTAAATTAAAACTTTAAAGTTTACAATTATTATATTTGTATTTATTAAAGTTTATTTTCAAGTTTATTTAAAGTTTATTTTTAAGTTTGTAAAATATTTAAGTTTATAAACTTAAGTTTGTCCAATAATTAAGTTTATAAACTTAAGTTTGTTCAAAATATGAATTAGTTCCAACTTTATTTTACTAGTTATTGTCAAGTTTATTTAATTAATACTTAAGTTTATTAACTTAAGTTTGTTTATTAAACTTTATTTTCAACGTTGTTTAAATAGGTTTTAGTTTTAAGTTTATTTAAAATGCAAGTTTATAATAAACTTGTTTTACAATTATTAAAATATTTTTTTTACAATTGTAATTTTATTTTTATTAAAATTAATTCAAGTTTATTTACTAAACTAGATTTTACAATAGTGATATTAATATATTAATATCGTCTAACAAAAATACAAAATAAAAATGCGTCGTTGTTGGGTAGTAGATCTTTTATAGCTTTGAGGAGTTTTTTAAGAATACAAAAATCATTCCGAATTAATTTGTGGTACTTCATCGAACCTCTCATTTGTTTTGTTGGCAAGTTTTTGTTTGAGGGAATGCGCTTGTTCGCCCAATTCTTCCAATTTGGTCATTTTAACTCCAAGTAAACGTCGGTTTTCTTCTACTCCTCTTCTTTAAAATTAAATTATTTTTTCTTTAAATTTTAAATTTTTATTTACTCACTTTACATATTTATCTGAAAGGCGTTTGTATCTAAAAAATTATTTTTATTTTTTAAATTTTAATTAAAATTCAATTACTCCATTGGGGCATTCTTTTTAGTAACTCCATTAAGTTCAATAAGTCTAAGACGAGCATTAGTTTCTCGAATCTCTTTTAAATCATTTTCATAACTGGATTCAATTGTTTTTACAAATTGTTTTTTGTCTGATTCAATTAGGGCTTCGATACTGTCATTAATCTAAAAATTATGGACATTATGAGGATTGGGGGGGCATTATTTAAACTTTACGTCTTTAATTAATTTATGCCAAGAAAGTTTGTCAATATTATTATTCTTCTTTGGAACTGTCCCAAAAGCCATTGACAACCGTCTGGCAGATTGTGAAGTAAATTGGGGGAAGTTGGAAGGGAGGATGGGGAAACAACAATTTTTCTTTGCAAAAGCCTGGAAAAAAACTTTTTTTCTAAAAAATTTTTTTCTCTCTCCCACCTTCAACAATTTCTGTATTTTATGATTTAATTCATATTCCTCCATTGAAGGCAATTGTACTTCTAATTCTTCCAAACGCGATTTTCTTTGCTTATCGGCTATAATTTTTAAGGGAATTTATTTAAATAAAATCTCTTAATAGAATAACAAGTATCTGAAGCTGTCGTCATTTTTCTTTCACTTGAAGTTTTAATATTATTTCTGATGCTTGAACTGCCTGCTGAGGTGCCAGATATCTCATCTAGAGAGACTGAAGAGGCGTGATACTTTAAAAATAATTTTTTTAATTCCCCACCCCCTCTAGAAAATTAGGTACCTTTTCCTGTTCCCCTTTATGCCTTCTATGAAATCTTGGCAGTCTATGCCAACCACCCGTATTTTCTGAAGTTTTTCGCTTCTGAAAACGGCTCCCTCCTTTTTCTCTCTTTTTATTATTTTTGTAATTATTATTTCCATCAGAATCGTCCATACAACTTGCAGCAGCACTGTCTTCTGTTGCTGTTGTTTGAACTCCCTCAATTAATGTTTTCTGGTTTTGTTCTGACACGGCAGATTTTCCGTTGCCTTGAGGTGTTCCTGAGGCTGAAATGGTTAATTATACTTTTTCCGGAGAATACATAAATATGAATAATAAAAAATAACTTTCCGGAAAAATAACTACATACATATATAGGTAGTTCCGGAAATAATTATATTCCTTCAGGAAAGTATTTTTTAATTCTACAAACATTCCGGAAAATAAATATATTAATTATAGTTATACTCCTTCCGGAAAGTTATATCTTAATTAAACATAGTTGCTCCGGAAAATAATTCAGGAAATATTCTAATAATTAATCTTACCAGCAGCCATGCTTTTACTATTTTCTTCTTCACCATCCGAGCCCATTTCTACACTTTCCAAAGCTTCAAGCAACCTTTGATTTTGTTCCTCACGTGCTAATCTAACCTCTCGATCCTTTTCACTTACTTTAATTTTAATATTTTTGTTTTAACTTTTTTAAATCAAATGGTTACATTGTTGTTGTTTTTGTGCGGCCTGTATAGGATTTTGGAGGGCGTCAACTAATTCCCTGTGGGCATCACTCACATAATCTTGTATTTCTATATGAACAAAAAGTGACGGTCCGAGAGGTTTGTTAAAACCATTCCTTAAATCTAAATGGCGATATCCAGGCTGCATTGCTTGAATAGGAATAACACGTTGACATAACATACGTGAAGTGCTGAAAGAATAAATTGTATTTTGCTGGGAATAATTTTTTTATTAAATTATTGTATTAATATATTCCGGAAACAATAAACTATAATTCCGGAAAAGTAGAATTTAATAAAGAATAATATCTATACTTCTTCCGGAAAATATCCATAGAAATAATTATATTTCCGGAAAATACTTATATGTATATTTCCGGAAAGGGATATTTAATATATGTAAGTATTACTTCCGGAAAATAACGCATAAAAATAAATATATTTCCGGAAAATATATGTATTTTAGTAAAAGTATATTCAACATTAGTATTCCTTCCGGAAAATTATATTATTTTCTTTCCGGAAAATAACTCTCAATCTAAAAAAGTATAACTCAACCTTTTTATATATTCTTTCCGGAAAATAAATTTATAAAATATTTTCCGGAAACTTTCCTGAGCATAAACTTTAATTTATTTACCCTTCTTCATATACTGAAAAGCGTAGAAATGCCATCGCCGGCAAAATAATCTTTTCCACACGGAAAGAACTACCACCATAAATATCCATAAAAATAGTGTTAAGTCCATCCGAAGTTACTGAAGGTGTTCGGAACATTCTAAAATTAATTTTTAATTTTTTTTTAATTTATTTTTACCTCTTTCTCGAATCCCCTGGAAGCCCAAACAAGTCAATTTCAACATAAACTGCCATTTTTGGTTTATCACAAATTAGAGAAAGTAATTGGACAGAAATTACAGTTAAACAGAGTGAATAAGGAACCTTTTTAAATTTACAAAAATAAATTTTTTCTAAATTAACCAAAAAAACTCACAACATTTTCAATTCTATCCAACTCAAAAGGACTAAAACTAAGATTTGGTTCACTCATACAAGCAGGTTTAGCTATATAACCACATTTAGCATTCATTTCAAAAAGGGCAAAATTTATTTGATTGGGTAAATCGGGAGTTTGTAAATTAATTGCGGACATTTGACAACCGCTTGAATGAGGAGGAAAAAATATTTTTTAATTCAAAAAATTTTTTTTACCAATTCCAAAAGATTAAAGGCATATAATTGCTTGAATCAACACGGGATCTTTAATTATTTTTTAATTAAAAAATTATTTTTAAAAAATATACCAACCCTTTGGGATAAACACGTGTAATTTGTCGTATATTATGGTTACTAAATTCTTCTGGATACTATAAATAATTAATAATTAATTTTATAATTAAAAGTACAATTTGTAAAATTCGATCCGGAAAATAATTTAGAAAAATAAAAACTTTCCGGAAAGGAAATAAATTAAAATTATTTCCGGAAAATTTGTTTAGAAAATTATAAACTTTCCGGAAAAAGAAATAAAGTTAATTTCTTTCCGGAAAAAGAAATAAAATTTAAAAACTTCCGGAAACAAACTAAAACTTTTTTCCGGAATCAGGTTGTATTTTTCTATACATGTTGTATTTTCCAACCTGTTTAAGCAACTCAATGGCTTTCGTTTCATTTAACGAATAAAGTTCTGTGCTAATTTGACGTTCATTACAACGTTCAAAGCTTGTTATTTTTCCCATAGCACGCATCTTTAAAATAGAAAATGTTTAATAAAAATATTTTTATAACCCACATAAGTAACTAATTCACTCAATTCTGTTACTGTTGAAGTTGTTGTTGCTTCAGTAATATTTGTGTTTGTTGTTGTATTTGTTGAAGTAGATGTTGTTGGTGTAATTGTTGATGATAAAACTTTGTTGTCGAAGCTTTCAACGCTTGTTGTCGTTTGTCTTGTTATGTTGCTCCCGGCAGGTTGATCATCATCACACGACCCCAACTCTCCGATGAAGACTTAAAAAAATTTTTTTTCTTAAATTAATAATTCTGATTCTCAATTCTGATTTTCAATTTTGATTTTTCTTTTACAATTTTACATTTCTTAAATAAAAACCTACTCCTTGTAACAGTCCTCTCCTCTTCCAATTCAGGCCTGTCAGTAACCGAATCCATCGACCCTATATTCTCTTTTAAATTAATATTTTTTAATTCTGATATTTTATCCATAGAATTAATAGTTGTTAAAGTATTCAATTGTTCCTTCTGTGGAGTATCAGAAACAGCAGCCCCTCCTCCATTTCTTTTCTCTTCAATTTTATTTTTAATCAAAATTTTTCTTCGCAACAAATTTGGACTGGGCAAACTAACGCCTGGCTTTCCAACTTGAAAATAAAAAGATAAATTACAATTTGTAATTTTGATTTTACAATTCTTACATTACAATAATTGTAAAATTATTTTAATAAACTTTAATAAAATTGTAATTTCGATTTTACAATTTGTATTTTCTTTTCAAGTTTATTTTTCTTTTCAAGTTTATTTTTTGACGTCTGGTTTTCCAAGTTTAAAAGTTGGTAAGGTAAAATACAACTTTTAATTTAAGTTTTACATTTTGCATTTTTAACGCCTAGGTTTCCAACTTGAAATTAAAAAGAAAAAAATTACAATTTGTAATTTTTCAAACTTGGATTTGTAACTTGAAAAGCTGGAAAGTTAAAATATAACTTGTAATTTTGATTTTACAATTTGTAATTTTCTTAAATATTATAAAACTTTACTAGGGTAATTTTCAATGCTTTCAGTCAATAATAAATCTCCAAGTATTTCCCTGCAATATTGTGCCATCACAACTTGTTGCTTTTGGCTGCAGTGATTTTCAAATGATAGGATTACTGGGAGATCAGAAGTAACGAATGCTGTCTCAGCTATTGCTTTGATTACATCCTTTAAATTTAATTAAATAATTTAAAGATTTTTGCCGAAATCTCTTGGTTAGACTTAGAATTTTTTTTATTATTCATCAAAATTGTGATTAGGTATATTTGTCAAAATCACCAGTATATTTATTAACAAATCATTCCCTCTTTCTATACCTTAAAAAGTATTGTTGTACAAAAACATATATGAGTAGGTCCATGTGTTATCATCGGATCCCCATTAGGTCCGTCCCAACAATCAAGCTCCACCGAACGGCAACCCGATAGCAAAGCATATCTATATATAGAAACTGAAGAACGGGATTTCATTTGTCTTCCTTTTAGGTAAGTATTGTGTGAAGAGTTGATAAAATAATGACTGAAATAAATAAAAATTTAAATTATTTAGTTCTCATGTATGAAAGGGGTGAACTATTTAATAATGGCTGGTTTTCCAACTCGAAAAAAAGGAAAAATAGAATTACAATTTGTAATCACAATTTGTAAAACTTTTGTAAAACTTTAGAAGAGAAACTAAAAATTCTGATTTTTGTGTTTTCTTTTTTTTAAATTTTTATTCTGATTTTTTCTTTAAAGTTTATCTTTATTTTAATATTCTGATTTTAATATTCTGATTTTTATGTATGTATTTTTTCTTCTATTTATCTTTATCCTCCCTCTAATAGAAACACATTACTTTTAAAAATTTCAATTAATTATTTTATAATTAAAAAATTCTTTAGTTACCTCAAAGGTCTATTTAACGAATCATCATTTTTCTCATAATATTCCTTCATTATAGGCAAATTATATCCACTCAATAAAAATCTAATAAATCCACTTTCATTTAAACAACCACCCCCAACATTTTCTTCTTCTTTCCCCTCTTCTTTCTCTAATTTTTCCAAATCAGTTAATTGACATTCATTTACAATTTTTAAAGCAGAATCTGTTGACATTAAAGGATACAAAATTTCATTTAATCTTTTATCCCTCTGGTCCTCAATTAAAAATGTGTGGAATTGTGAAAGGTTAATAGAAGAAGAATTATTAAATTTTTGATTAAATATAGCTTCAATATCGCTTCGATTAATACAAATTTGGTAAAGTTTTAATAAGAATGAATGGTCTAATAAAAGTTTGGAAGTTCGTTGGTGCTTGAAAAAATGAAATAAAATTAAATTCTGATTTTTATATTTTTAAAACTTTTATTCTGATTTTTGTGTTTTATTTTCATAAACTTAAATTCTGATTTTTCTTTAAGTTTTCTCTTAATTCTGATTTTTGTGTTTTTTTGTATTTTGTTTAATTCTGATTTCTTTCTTACAATTAATTACGATTTTTGTATTTTTTAAAAGTTTTATTCTGATTTTTGTGTTTTCTTCTCATAAACTTAAATTCTGATTTTTCTCTCAAGTTTTCTCTTAATTCTGATTTTTGTATTTTCTTTTTTAACCTGAATTCTGATTTTTCTTTAAAGTTTATTTATAAATTCTGTTTTTTTGTGTTTATTTATTTTATTACAAATTTATTCAAAAAATTTATACTTAAAATTTTATCTATTTACCTTATCCTTCAAAATAGGTAATTTTCTAACCAAAATTTCCTCTTGTATTTTTCTTTCTTCTTTTTGTTTATCAGAAGGGAAAAGGATTTGTAAAAGTTGTTCAATACTAAAGGATTGTTCATCTGAGAGGGAGCAACGTAAAGGGGCGAAAAGCTTTCTCCAATAAAACCAATTATCGTGAACAGAACGGTGGTGTTTTAAAGCATATTTACGTAATTCCTTTAAAAATATAAACAATTAATTGTGTTTTATTTCTGATTTTTGTATTTTTCTGAGGTTTATTTAAATTCTGATTTCTGTATTTTCCTTTTTCCTTTAATTCTGATTTTTGTATTTTCTCTTGTTTATTAAATTCTGGTTTTGTATTTTAGATAATTCTGATATTTACTTTCTTAAATTCTGATTTTTTCTTTTAAGGTTTTTCTTTAATTTCTGATTTTTCTCTAAGTTTCTTTTAATTCTGAATTTTGTATTTTCTCCGAATAATTTATTAAATTCTGGTTTTTGTATTTTCCTTTTTCCTTTAATTCTGATTCTTGTATTTTTTCCTGTTTATTAAATACTGGTTTTGTATTTTAGATATATTAATTCTGATTAGATAATTCTGATGTTTAATTTCTTAAATTCTGATTTTTTCCTTAAAATTTCTTTTAATTCTGGTTTTGTATTTTCTACAAATAATTTATTAAATTCTGATTTTTGTATTTTTAAGATGTATATTTAGATTCTGAATTTTGTATTTTTTCTCTTATTAATTTATTAAATAAAATTCTACCTGTACCCAAAGCCTCGCAGTTTCCGCCGACTTTGCAAGAAACACAAAAGACGAGGGACTAACAAATTTTCTCCCATGCATTACAGTTACCATTCCTTGACAAAAATCATTATTTGAAGTATTTGTAGCAAATCCAGTAGCCATTTGTTGTAAAGCTAAAGCCCCATTTTCTGTTGTTATTTTGTTTTTGTCTGGGGATGTTTGGCCTAACAAAACATCCACAATTTCGTCTAAATAAACAAATTGTTCTAATGTTGTTTCCTTACGAATACAACTGCGACACCATAAAATCTTTAAAAAAATTTTTTGAATTTTTTAAAATTTTCAAAAAAAATTTTTTTTAATTGGGAAAAATAAAAATTCTGATTTTTGAATTTCCTTATTTATTTTATTTATTCTGATTTTCCTTTTAAAGTTTATTTTTATTCTGATTTTTGTATTTTTCCTTATTTTTTCTTATTAATTTTCACACCAGCTTTATTTACTAAAATTCGTGATAAAAATTTTAAATTCCAAAATTTTTAAGGAAATGATGTTTATTTTAATATTTTTAATTTATTTTTATCATTTTTATGACTTCATAATTTGTATTTATTTTAATAAACTATTCAACAAATTTAATTATTTTAATATATTTAAATTTTAATATGCGTCAGACAGACATTTAATTAGTTTTTAAAAATAATTTTTTTGGAAGTACATATATAAATTCTTTAAAAAAATAATAAAATAAATTAAGAAGAGATAAGAAAGAATAAAGATTATATTATGTTAAAATATTTAATGAATTTTTAATTTTTAAAAATTGATTTTTGGAAAATAATGAAAAATTTCAACTTGACTAAATTTTTGATTTTATATTGGTACTATGTTCCAAAATTATAAGGTCACCCCTATTTTTTATCATATCTCATTGAAAAATCATCGAAACTTTTTGAAATTTTTACATAATTTTAATTAATAATTTTAGTAATTTTATTAAATTACTAGGAGTTGTGGACATACATACAAAATTACGTAAACTCAATTTAAATTTTTCTTAATTGGTTGATCACTGGGTAATGCGAGGGGAGAACTACCTTAAGCGATACAACAGAATCTAAATATCATCATTTTATTTGCAATTTTTAATCCAAAAAGCTGTAAAGATGACCGAGGCCTACCGCTATCTAATTTTTGACTTTTGTATTTATTTGTAATTTTCCCCCCTCAAATCTCGCATTTCCATATTACTTCCCCAAAAACTCCATCTTTTTCAAAAAATCTTCATTCACTTACCAATTCCTCTTCATCAATCCCAATATCCACAATTCTTCTTCCCCCGCCTCCATCTGCAGGGCCATCAAACTTAAATACTCTACAAGGGGGTGGGGCAACAGGTTCCAAATCTTGTTGTGATTCAACAATTACTAATAAACTTGAAGATACTTTTCTTGTCCTTAAAATCAGTTAAATAAAAAAAAATTTTTTTTAATTAAAAACCGATTTTGGTTGTCATAATTATCATCAACTATTTGTTGATGAACATTACTGCCTTGTGGATTAAGCCAATTATTTTCATTATTAATAATGTTTGTGGTTGCTGCAGTCATTTTTTGTTAAATAAACAAAAATAAAACTTTTTTTACAAATTGTAATTCTTTTATAATTAATTTTACAATTTGTAGTTTTTATAATAAAGTTGGAATTTTATAGTTATTTTGCAACTTTTTTTACAATTTGTACTTCTTTCCAACCTTCTTTACAATTTGTAATTCTGCTGTAAAAATTGCAACTTTTTTTACAATTTGTAATTCTGATGTAAAAATTGTAACTTTTTTACAATTTGTAATTATGTGGTGAAACCTGAAACTTGGTTTACAATTTGTACTTTTATTAATGTAGTTCGGTTGTAAAATTAAAATTTTGCAATTCCTTTTGTAAATTGTAATTAATTTTACAATTTATTTTTTAAAATTTTATCTTTAATTATTTATTATTTTTTGTTAATTTTAATTATTATCACCGGGTTTTTTCTAATTTAATAAAATAAAAATTGATTTTTAGCCAAAACTTTTTAATTATTTATTTTTCTCCAAAAAATATTTATCGAAAAAAGGAACAAAAAAATAAATTCTTTAAAAATAAAAATAAACAAAAAAACCAATTATAAAAACACTGATTAAAATTAATTAAAAATTAAAATATTTTATTTTTTAATAAAATTTCAAAACAGGAAAGAACAAAAAAAGTCGTGCTAGGATAATTAAATTGCGAAATTTTTTTTAAACAATTATTTAATAAAAAATAAGAGGAAGTATGTAAATGTGTGTGGGTTGGTTGTTGGTAGGGGTGGAAGGAGGAATGCTTTTTTCGTGAAAATTTTTACTATAGAATGAGGAATTTATTTTTTTTTTGATAAAAATGTGGAATGGAAGCAACTTTTTAACACAACAAAGATCGGGAACATATTTTTGTTTTAAGGAATTTAAGGAAAATAATGGGGAGACTGGTTGCTTGTGAAGGTTGCCTTTCACTGCTTCAAGTGTTATAACTTTTTTCTTAATCAAGATAAAAATGAGATTTTTTGATTACCAAAAAGAGGAGATTCTAAGCTATAAAATAGGTGAAATAAAATTTTTTTAATAAAATTTTTTCAAAAATTTTTTAAAAGATTTAGAAATTTTAAAGTAAAATTAAATCAGAAATGCTCCCTGAAAAAGGGTTTCTTGACAGGAAAATAATAAAATATAAAATTGATAAAAAACGTAAAAATAAATCCTTTTTTGAAATATTTATGACCTCATCGGATCTTTATTTTTGTCATTTCAAAAAAGAAAGTAAAAGAAAAATAGGAGAGAGTATTTTTAAATGAAATTTGCATTGACCGTCAATTTAGGTAAATAAATTCTTTTTTTTGCTGACTTTTAAAATTGCAACGGAAATGCTAAAAAGAAGAGAAAAATGGGGATAAACATATAAATAAATATTTAGGTAAATATCCTTTAAAAAATAAATTTATAAAGTTAGAAAAAAAATAAAGAAAAAAATAGGCGTTTTTCAGGGAGTCGGAAATATGTAGATATTTCAAGGTACTAATTGTAAGAGTTACCCTACTGATTTTAGAGTTTTTATGTTTTACATACTTAGAAGAATGTAAATATACAAGAAGTTATTTTTGTTACAGCGATCCCGATATTTTTTTCACGATATGTTTCCCTGCCATTTTTTTGAATTCAAGTTAAATTGAATTTAAGGTTGGAATAATTTTAATTAAAAATTATTTTTATTAAAAAAAGGAGACATTAAAGGAGGCTTTTAAAACATTAATTTTGATATTTTAATTGTTTCTAATTTAAATAAAAATAAATTAAATAAAGAGCTTATACATGAAGACGTAAGCACAAACTTAATTAAATTAAACTTAAAAAATAAAATAATAAAAAGGTAAAATAAATAGGTTTATTTAATTGTTTATTTAAATTTGAAGGAAATAATTTTAAAAATTTTAAAAAATAATTTAAAAATATTTTTTAAAAATCAAAGAAAAATGACAAGAAACGATCACTAATTAATTACCGTATTTCCTCAAATAGTACGGCCGGCCGTACTATTTTTCAACCCTCTTCTAAAGGGCCGTACTATTTGAGGGGGCCGTACTAATTGAGGGGGCCGCACTATATTTCAACTCTCCTTCGGAATTATCTGAATCTTTTTTTGTTGACCCTGAATCTTTTTTTGTGTTTAAATTTTTTATAGTATCCACAATAGTATGCTCGGAAAATATCCCAAATCAATTTAAGACCCCGACTATAATGACATCAGTATCAGGCATTTTGTAGACCGTTTTGTAGAGCGAGATTACGTCGTGTTTTGTGGAGAGGCAAGCGTTAAATCAGTTCTTCCGCGCGTGCATAAGGTCAAGCATATTTGTGAGATCAATGATTTGGAGGGATTGAGTGAAAGTCTTTTAATTTCGAGGTATTAAGAGAGTAGAAAAATTATGGCAATGTCCATAATCAAGGACGATGGGGATTATGGGGGATATCAAGAATTTAGGAACATGTCGGAATTAAAAGCCTCTCATATCCTCATATAAAACCTCTCATATCCTCACATCTCTAATAAATACTTAATATTCTTCAACGTATAAGATAAACCTGATATTCTTTACATTACCTGTTTATCTTATTATCATAAAAAATAGGTGCGGAAATGGATTGAAATACTAGAATGTTTTGAGTTGCCCTTAATTTTTTAGCTAGAAAAAGTTGTCAATCCAACTTCCTAGTACTAAAAACTATTCGTTATTATAACATACGATAGTATGTTCATGCTGTGGAAAAATTGTGGATGGGAGATGGAATTGAACCATCACGGAAAGGGCCCAAACCGAAAGCACAACCAACTGTGCCACCATCCAACCCGATGCTGGGTTATTTATTTTCATTTATGTTCTTTCTGCAAGTACGGACACAATAGTTAGTCAACTTGATCCCAACTAATCCTTTTAAATTCATCCATACTCAAATCACTCCAATTCCATCGATATCCTTCATAATCCAACAAAATCCCCATTAATCCACCGATATCCTCTTAAGCCCTCCAACTTCTATGCCAATAGATATTAAGATTTAATAAATTAGTTAAATATTGCGATGAATAATTACTATGATTAAAAATTCAAATTTTGCCTATTTTTATATTTTTTTAGGTGGGGGCCGTACTATTTGGGGGGCCGTACTAATTGAGGGGGCCGTACTATTTTTCAACCCTCATCTAAAGGGCCGTACTAATAGAGGGGGCCGTACTAATTGAGGGGGCCGTACTATTTGAGGAAATACGGTAATTATTTTCAAGTTTTAAAAGAAAATTAAAAAATATTTTTTATTTAAATAAATAACCAAAAACAAATAAATAATTGGAGGGCATAGAAAATATAAACAAAAAAATTATTTTTCAAAAATTATGCCGGTCACGAGAGAAGAAAGAAAAACACAAAAACAACAAGGTTTGTAGGCTGTTTGGTAATAACGTCGAATAAAAATTGAATTTCCGTTGAGTGAAAAGATGATTTTGATGAAATACATTTTAGGGTGAAAAAGAGTACGTTAAACAAAATAAATAAATAAATTTGTGAAATAAACTGTTTGTAGCAAATAAGTTTCATAATTTAATAAGAAAAAAGTTGCAACTTCAAGTTTTGAGAATAATTACAATTGTAGATTAAAAATCAGAACTTTAATTGGAGAAATCAGAATTTTAATTTATTAAATCATATTCTGTTCTGATTTGTGTATTTTAAAAAATTCTGGTACTTTTCCGTTTTGTTACACCCCCATATATTAATGCTTAAAATGTCACATATAAGGTAATAAAAGGTGCTGAGTCGAACGGTACCTTTCTTTTTCCCAGGAGATGTCTGTGGACCGAGATATAGGGCTCGAAATGGTCAAAAACCATAGGGGGGAGTAAGTTCATTTTTGGGGTAAAAATTCGATTATACAAATAATACCCCATTCGAAAGAGCTTATGGAGCTGAGTCGAAAGACACCAAGATCAACGAAATCTGATTTGATTTGACCGAGATTCAGGTCCCTGAAAATTGAAGAACCACACAATTTTTTGTATCGTAACTCGGTCCAAACTTGTTCGAAGACGGTAATTTTGATGTCATTCGACTCAGCTCGTCGAGCTCGTTCGAATGAGTTATTATTTGCATATTTGAATTTTTTACCTCAAAATGGCCCAATGGTTTTTGACCATTTCGAGCCATTTATCTCGGTTCACAGACATCTCCTGGGAAAAAGAAGGGTACCGTTCGACTCAGCACCTTTAATTACCCTATATGTGCCATTTTGAGCGTTAATATAGGGGGGTGTAACAAAACGGAAAAGTACCAAAATTCTGATTTTTAAAAAATTCTGGTTTTTCTAAAATTCTGATTTTCTAAAATTCTGGTTTTTCTAAAATTCTGATTTTCTAAAATTCTGATTTTCTAAAATTCTGATTTTGTAAATAAAATTCTGATTTTTCTAAAATTAATTAACACCTACTTAAATTCTGATTTAATAAATTAAAATTCTGATTTTTTAATTTACAATTGTAATTATTCTTCATAATTGTAACTTTATATTTTTATTAATTAAAATTCTAAAAATTCTGATGTTTTAATTTAAAATTCTGATTTTTAATTTTTGAATGTTTTATATCAATTATGCTTTTTTGCCAAGTTGGAAATATATGGGGGAATAATACAAAAAATTTTTATATTAAATAAGGGGGGCTGTGTGACTGCGAATTGGCTGCGATTGTCAAATATGAAGAAGAAATAAATAAAATGAGGGGATGAATAATGAATTGGGGGAAGAAAAATATTTTATATTTTATTAAAGAATGGCGGAACGAAGGGGAAAAATAAATAAATAATAAAGGCAAAAAATTGGTTTTTTGCCTTTATTATTTTTGAAATTTCTTTTAATGAATTTTAAATTTAAAAAAATTTTTTTATAAAAAGATTACATGTCTTGAAAATTTTAAGGTAGTGTTTATTTAATTATTAAAGAAGGATAATATAAAACTAAAAATATCTAAGGCTTTAAAGGTCGAGATCAGCTGAACTTCGAAACCAATTTTTATGATTTGAAGTTATTTTTTATTTTTTTTATTTAATTTTTAATTTCTATTTGATTGTACCCAGGCTTGGTAATGGATACGGAAGTGGATACAGATAAGTTCAAAATGCCTGCAGATATCCGTTTGCATCCACCATAAATATCGGGATACGGATTCCAAAATCCATGTCAATTACCAAGTCTCATTGTACCCATTTTTAATCAAAAATTGTTAGGTAAACGCTGGTTTTTACTTTAAAAATTTTTTTTAATTAATCCAAAATTTTTTCGTTAATTAATCCAAAATTTTTTATTTAATATTCATTTAGTAGCTAATTTAATTTTCTATCTAAATAATGTCAAAAATAATTAAGAAATTTTATTTCACAAAAAGTTTAGAGTGTTTAACTGACTCCAATCAAAACGTCGTCTAAAATTTAATTTAATTAGACTAAATTAAAATCTTAATAAAAAAGATGATTGATTAAAAATAAAAATAATTAATTCAGTCTAGATCAGTTTACCTATTATTTAATGGCCCACCTAATTTTATATTTGTTTTAAAGTTTAAATCATTTGATTAAAAATTTTTTTCATTTTTTAAATTAATTCTCGATTAAATAATGAAGAGGAGATTAAATTTTTATTATTTATTTAAAACTGTTAATAAAAATAAAAAAAAGTTTAGACAGAAAGGTGTCAACAATTTGACGAAGAAAAGTAAAATAATAATAGGTAAATTAGTTTAAAATTAATTTGATTAAATAATTTAAAAATTTAAAATTATTTGTTTTTAGGTTGTGACGTCAGCATTGTTTTGATCTACTATATCTTTTTTTAAATATTTTTTAAACTAATTTTATATCATTCTAAAGTTCCTTTAACCCGAAAAAGATTAAAAATTTTTATTTAAAATTTATGAACAAATATCGTCTTTTAATCAAATGCCTCTCCAATTGAATGTCCTACTCTAACAGCAGAATAACCCTTTAAAAGACATGCCCTGGTTTCAATTAGAGGAAGCACATTATGTAGGAAAAATCACAATTTCCTCGTTTATTGGTCTATAACTTTTTTAATGATCAATTTGATTCTGTTTAGAGAAATAATCAGTACATTCAGAGTTTTAAAATGATCTTAAACTTAATAGGGAATATTTAAAAATAAAAAAATTAAGGGGGGAATACATAGCCAAAGTATAAAAAAAGGATACTCGCTTTAAATTCAACAAAAATATTTTTAAAATAAATTTAAAGTAATAAATCATTTTTAAAAAAAATTAGGGTAAATAATTAATTTAAAAAGAAAATAAAAAGTACAAAAGTGCAAATAAAAAAGTGCAAAAATACTTGAATAAAAATCTCTCCTCCGATCAATTTGAGCGCTGAGTGAAGAAAAATACACATTTATAAATAAAAAAACAACCATCTTTTGATTAATAGCAATTGAGTAAAACACAAATATATAATTGCGGTTTGGGTGCTTATTAAATAAATTTTAGAGGGGAAAAATAAAAATAAAACTTTGTTTTGTGAAATACCGTATTTCCTGAAATAGTACTCCCCCCTAAATTAGCACTCCCCCCTTAAATAGTACTCCCCTTTGGAGGAGGGTTGAAAAATAGTACTCCCCCCTGAATTAGTACTCCCCCTAAAATAGTACTCCCCCCAAAAATATTTTTCCTCTATACATATTTAAAAAAATAATACGAGACATTGAATTATTTTATTTATTCTAAGTATCGTTGTCGGTTTCACTTGATTCTTTGATAAACAAAACCTGAGAGCTTTCGGTTAACCGAAAACGAATCGAAATTTTAAACTAAAATTTTTCGAGGATTAAAGAGATATAATCCGATTAATTGGTGGAGTAAAAGTGGATTTTGGGTATATAAAGGGATTGATATCGGGTGTAAAATGGGTTCTGTATTAATCAAGTGGCATTTAAAAGACATCATTGGATTAAGGTTTGATATAGGAATTTGAGGGAATAATGAAGGGGGAGTAATATTAGGCGATTTTGGTTGATTAAGAGCGATTAAGCGATAAGTTGAATCATAAATCCTTCTTAATCAACTAATATCGGAAGTACAAAAGGGATGTGGAGGATATCGGTGTTTAATATGATAAATAACTAGACAGAGATTAGGTAATCCCTAGACACATGGGTTTAGTTGACCCTGATAAATCTTAGACCCGAAAATCCCCTTATATCCCTCGATATCACTCCAAATTCACTTATATCCTTTTTGATTTCCCTCAATAACCCGTATTTTAAGTCACTTGTGTTTAATTGTCTCGCAATTTGCTCAATTTTATACTAATTCGGATATTTTCTACAACTTTTATTAAAGAAATTTTTTGAAAATCAGGGTCCGGATCCGGCATTTTTCAAATAGCGAACTCTAATCGAATTTATTTTGAGATAAATTGAAATAAATTAAAATATTTTTTTTAATTTTGAAATAAATTTTCCTATGAAAAATCATGGAGGATGGTTGAAAAATAATACTCCCCCCTGAATTAGCACTCCCCCCTTAAATAGTACTCCCCTTTGGAGGAGGGTTGAAAAATAGTACTCCCGGGAGTACTATTTTAGGAAATACGGTAAGTTTATTTAAATATGTATGAGGTAATTACTTTTTATTTTTATTCAACCTTTTCCGGTTTTTAAGAAAAGCTAAACAAATTTTCCGGTCATCTAAATAAGTTTTACAGACCTTTTCCGGATTGTAATTTTTAATTTTCACTTAATAAAGTTGTTTAGAAAAAAAGTTTTGATTAAAAATAAGTTTATTTAATATTTATTTTACCTGTTTTATTCAAACATTTCCGGTTTGTATTTTTCTAGCTCACTTATAATTTATTATTTTCTCTTTTAAAAAAAGCTCTTTTTAAAAAAATTAGGTAAAATAAATTAATTGAAGCAGAATTCTTTTAAAATTATTTTAAAATGCTTAAAATGCTTCATTTAATTTTTAAAGTTTGAATTGTAAAAAGGTTAATATTTAAAATTAAAAAAAATTTTTTTTTGAAAGAACAAATTTTTTCCACATTTTTAAATTTAAAAAAAAATTATATTTTTTATGTAACTTATTTTAAAAAATTAATTTTGTCGAATAAAACAATTAAATAAGCGAAGTTCTATTCCCTAAAATTCTTGCATTCTGTGGTTGCTCATTACTACCAAAATTTGATGAAAATGTTCGAGACGTTTTTCTTATTAAAGCCCGAATATAATCTTAAAAATTTAAATTTTTTAAATTTAATTTCTCTCTCAAAAACCTCTCATTCTATTTGTAAAGGCTATAAACACAAAAGCATTTACAGAAGCAGAAAGTACATTCAAAACATTCCCAATATGTGAACGAATATAGTCTGTTTTGGTTGGACATTTATGTTTAATAATTAATTCCCATTTTCTTCCCAAATTGTAAAGGCTCATTGAATGAAGTAAAAGATATATAACTATCATGAGTACAATAGATATTGTAGCACGATATTCTTTAAAGTTTTACAAATTTACAATTAATTACTGTATAATTAAACTACATACATATAAGGGAATTATTAAAACTTAACGGGTATAGTATTAAAAATTGTAAAACCTTTCTAAAAATGATTACAATTTGTAAACTATTTCCGGTAATAATTTTACAAATTGTAAAACTTTACTGGAAATAGTTTTACAAATTGTATAACTTTTCCGGAAATATTCTTACAATTTGTAAAACTCTCAAAGTTATAATTCTCGATGTTTGTAAACTTTTCCGGAAACAAAAATAAATTTAAAATTATTTCCGGAAATAGTTTTACAAATTGTAAAACCTTTCTAGAAATAATTACAATTTGTAAATTTTTCTGGAAATACTATTACAATTTGTATAACTCTCAAAGCTATAACTCTAAATGTTTGTAACCTTTTTCGGAAACTAAATTAAATTTGAAATTGTTTCCGGAAATTACTTTACTAATAATTACGGAAATATTTATACATTATTTTCCGGAAGCTATCAACATTTCCGGAAAGTATGTACATTATTTGTACCTTGCTTCTGTCGCCCAGCAACGCAATTCCCCTCTATATTTTTAAAGCCTTGATTGCTGCAATTGTTTGATTTTATTTTTTGGGAAGATTCGGAAGATTGTCTTCGGAGTTTACACAATCCAACTTGTGAAGAAAGAGATAATCTTTGCCGTCGTTGACGTTTCATAATTTCAAAAAGTGTAAGAACAGAAAAAATAAACATTTGACCAAACGGTAGAAAATGAGATAAAATTGGATCAAGAATAGAATAGAAAACTATTCTGTATGGTGATAAAGTCTGCAAGTTAAATTTGAATTAATATGTATATTTGAAGAAGTTTAGTAAGGATTTTAAGTTTGCAATTTGTTAAGGATTTCCTGAAAGGATATTACAATATTTAAATATTTCCGGAAAACAATAATACAATTTGATTACAATTTGTAAATAGAACCGGAATCAATATTACAATTTATAATAACTCCGGAATTTAAATTACAATTTGTAAACATTCGGGAAATAATTAAACTCTTAATACTTTGATACCTCCGTCTTTTCAGGCCTTTTTTGTATTCGTACAATAGGATTCCACTTCCATTGCAATTCAACTACGAATGATGGAACCCTGTAGGCAATAATTACCAAAAACAAAATAGCTAACAAGACTCTTGCTCTAAAAATTGTGTCGTTTGAACGAGCGGATACTGGGCGAGAAATCTAATAAAAAATTTAAATATTTTTTATTGAAAATTCTTTTCTTCACACTTTCCAGTAACGGTGACCTGACAACGCTGCAATCGTCCTAAATTCAAAAATTATTTTTTGGGCTCTATTATGTATTTGATACCAAATATGTAGCATAACTACAGTTTGATACATTCTTGGAATAATATTGCGCAGAAAACGCCCTTCAAATAGGCAAAAACTAAAAATAGGGAGAGAAAACAATATTAAATTTAAATAAAATACCCATAAAAAGTATTCTCAACAGAATGTTGTCCATCACAAAAATCAGGCAACATACTATTTGCCAAAGAAACAATAATGTAGACATGATCGAGAATAAGCAAAGCTTTAAGGTAAACAAGAACACCTGAAACGATTTTAGGGGGCGAACACAGGCAAAATAATGCTGAGCCATTAGCAAAGAGGCCAACGAGTGAAAGAGGTAAAAGAAGGTAGATATTAATACTAGAAAAATAAACTTTATAAAATTCCGAAAGTTTAATTACATTAATAAATCCATTCAGAAAAATTATACTAATTATTCTAGAGTTATATTCATTCCGGAAGGAATTAATTAAATAAAATATTGTTCTAACTTTCCGGAAAGTTTTATTTCATTTAAATTTATTCCGGAAAGAATTATTCCATTAAAAATTAGTTCTATTCCGGATAGTTTTAAATATTTCCGGAAAGTTTCCGGAATAATTTATATTTCCTGAATAATTAAATATAACTCTGATTACATTCCGGAAAGTTTTATTACAATTATTCATTCCGGAAAATAAATTGTATTTAAACAAACCTAGACAGTAGATAATACAATTCATAATCATGAACCTTAGGCTCGTGATAATAACACGAATCATTCATAATTAATTTTAAAAAATAATTTAAAATAAAGATACTCAATTTTTGGTATTTTGTAAAAATAAATAAAGAAATATAGTAAATCTTTTTGGCCAATAAAAATATATAGGGAGCAGCTGTGGGAACATTTCTCTCTAAATTGGGATAGCCAAAATCTGTGTGGAGAAATTTTTTGGCCAAATTTTTAACTCAAAATATATATATTACTGCTATATTAGTGAAGGAATGGCTACTACTATTTTATTTACTTTTTGTAGTTAATTTTATTTTTTTGAGGATCGGTTTCGAGGGAGGGAAAGGGGAGGAGGAGGAGGTTGGGGGATGCTCTTAATTTGCAAAGTATGTGCTGCAAACTTGTACATATAAATTTTTAAATTATATTTTTTAGAAGAATAAAAAAAGGAAAAGATTTGAAAATTATGAAACAAGCTTTTAAATTTTTTTTGTAAAAACACAAGTTTAATAAAAGCTAGTATAATTTAACATTTTCTTCTTCTTCACATATTTTCTCATTCTTTCCTTATTTGTTAGCCGAATATTTTTTTTATGATTTTTACCAACACTTGTATTATCATCTACTCTTATTCTGACTTTGGGTACTAAAAGAATAGAAAATTTAAAAATAACTAAAGACACCCCTACCATCACCGTCATAACCTCCAGAATGTAGAGGTACCATTCTTTGCTTTTTACCAAGCACTCGACGTATTGGGCTTGCTCTGGTACGTTTTTGTAGGGACATTGCATTGCTTCTCTTTAATTTTAGAGTGTCATAGCCTTCCCCAATTTCATTTTCCTTTGTTAGTTTTTTAATATTTATTTGATGTCTTGAGGGTTTTGTTGACCTTGAATCCCTTCTTTTTATTTTTGCATTAGCCTTTGCTACTTCGTTAGCTGGGGGATTCATATAGGCATAGAGATATGGTTGACTAAATAAATCGTTTAAGTAACGGACTTTTTGGTTAAAAGTAAATGGCCTTCAAAATTTAAAGACTCTAATTCAACTTAGTTAAGTTAAAAAGTTATATACCTTCTTGTTCTCAGATGTCGCATACGTGCGAGACGTTGTGCCTCTAATAATAGATGTGTAAAGAAGATTTTATTATAGTTTTTCTTCACTTTTAGATTTAAATACCCCTAGTTAAAAATTCATTTTTTAAAGTTGGGGACTACAAGGTGGGGAGAGCTGTCTAAAAGGTACACTCATTAAGGTGCCTCCCATTATAAAACAAAGTTTCTCAAGCTGTGTCTATGAACGAGGCTCGATCATAATTTCAATTTAATTATTACCACTTGGAGGCAACTGCTCAGGGTTACATTTACGTCCACACTTCGCCGTACTCCTGTCTGGCAACCCACTTTTTTTATTCACAACAATAATGCTTTGTGCTGCTGCTACAGGCACTAATGAATGCCCAACATGGGGTAATGAATGAGGAAATGAATGTTTGTGTTGATTATTTGGAAATTTATTTCTTAAAAGTGTTGGGTGTAATGGACGAGATAATTTGTTTGTTCCTTTAAAAAGAGGAGAAAAAATTGAAACAAAATTTTTTTTATTAATTTTAAACCTCCTCCTTCCTCTCCTAAACGTTCAGATCCAAATTTTGTTTCTGCCAAGTCGGAAAAGAGGTTCATATGGGAGGGTTTATTGCTGAGTGTTTGATGTTGTTTGAAATGTCCTTTAATTGCTGGAGGTATATCGTCGTGATGTTGAGGTATCTGTTTTTTTAAATAATTTAAAAATGTTTCTGGATTTTTTAAGAAAATTTGAATTTTTTTAGCATTTAAGAATTGAATAAAAAAATTATTTCCAATTACCACTTGATCTTTAAGCTTTGAAGAGCGAAACGAATTAGTCTCATCATCATAAGGTCCCGCTTTATTTTGTGTGTTGTGTGACGTTGTTGTGATAAAATTGTTGTTACCAAGATTCGATGGGGATTGAGGGTTGTATGAAGGTACTTGGTTTTTAAAAAATTCTTTTGTAAATTCAATATTAATAGAATATTTTCTAACCATGAGACTTGATTAGCTGTGTTTCTCCACTGATAGTACTTCCCATCCTTCCTCGAACTTCTCCTCCTCCTCCAGTTTCTTCCTCTCCTCCCTCTCCAAATAGACGATTTCTTTCTTGTAATGCTCCCAACCCTACTTTATTCCCTCCTCCAAATTTACCAAGTCCAATTCCTCCAGTATTCCCGCCTTGGGGTTTTGCTGCAGTTCCAGAAGAAGGAATGCTGAAACCAGCACCACCTCCAACATAGCGGACGTGGTTTAGTACTGTCTTTGGAGCATTTTTCATAAAAACTCCTATCAAATAAGCTACCTATTTTTTAATTTTTCAAAATTTTTTTACCGCTCTCTGAAAGGAGTACACCTCCATCTCCAAAATATACTCCTTTATATGTTGCACATTCATTTGCTGATATACAGGCTATTTTTTAATAATTTTAATTTGGAAATTTTATTTAAAAATTTGCCTCCATCATGTGCCCGAACAAATCCTTTCTTTGTCTGACACTCACAACGTGCTGGTTTACATTCTTTACTGCATTTGAGCTTGAAAATTTAAAATAAAATATTTTTCAGAAAACATTTAAAAATTATTGTTATTGTTAATTAATATAAAAGAAATATTTTATTTTATATTTTTGAAATATACATATAGATTTCCGGAAATATTATAGTAATCATTTTTGCATTTCCGGAAGTCTTATTTTTATAATATTCTATTTTCCGGAAAGGTATTATTTTAATATTATTTTCCGGAAACCTACCACTACAGGCTCTTTACACGTTCCCTCACACCCACCACATTCAATATATTGTTCATTTGCCTGACAATCTTTTAGAAAGTCTGATGAATAAATACATTTAGTATTTGTTAGTACAATGGCAAATAATAAAATATATTTTTTATTCATTTATTTACATTAAATATTAAATTTTAATTTTAATTCAAATTTTAAATTAAATGAGCGTGTTAAAAACAATTATTCTATGTGACGTCGAAATAAATTTTTTCCTTTAATTTATTTTTTTCTTTTAATTTTTAACAAAAAATAACAATTTGATTTAACAAGTAAACAACCCTTGTAATTTTATAAAATAAAAAAAAATAAAATTATGAAAATAAAAAAAAACAAAGTCATGATGCAATTTTAGAGCATGTTATAAAACGGGTTTTGGGAAGTAAATAGAACTAATAATAAAAAAGTTCATTCGAGTGAAAGCGCGCAGATTGACCGAAAATAAGCAAAAAAATGGAAATTGAGGCAAATTTTTAAAAATAAATTTTTCTAAAAACATTCTTTCCCTTTTGAATGTTGAAAAATTTAAATTAACAACAATTACATGTTGTAAATGTTTAAAAATAAAACAAACACTTTTATTGTAATGTTGTTGTTAACAAAAACAATGTTTACATAAAAACAATGTTTTCATAAAAACAATGTTTTTACAAAAACATTCCCGGAAAGATTGTAAAATGTTTTCCGGAATTTTATATTCTTTCCAAAACAACAAAAACAAAATGTTTTCCGGAAAATGTTTTAAATTAAATAAACTTTTCCGGAAAAACATTCCGGAAAGATTATTAAATGTTTTCCGGAATTTTATATTATTTCTAAAACAACAAGAACAAAATAACAAAATGTTTTCCGGAAAATGTTCTAAATAAAATAAACTTTTCCGGAAAAATATTTCCTCCAACAATGTTTCTATAAATTATTTATTTATTGCGCAACACAACAAAATAATGAACACTTCCTCATAACTTAATTTAAGGTGTTAAATCATCCATACTATAAAATCTGCAATAAATTAGGTAAAAAGTTTATAAAAAATTTTATCGTGTCATCGGATCAATTTTTATTTATTTTTTGCTTATTTACTATAATCCTGTTTATAATTGGATTTAATATTTTTTACTTTTCTTTTAAGAAATATTTATTTTTTAATGCCACACACACACTCGTTATAAGCTAATTTAGTCCAAAAATTAAAGAAAAATCTTAGAAAAATTTCAAAAAATTTATAAAAATTTCATTCAAAATAAAATTTCCTTCTTCTTGTCAAACATCCTTCTTCTTTCTTCAATTCAAATAATTATTATTTGTTTTCACTTTAGTTGTAGCCTTTTGTCTTAATCGTTGCCGTTCGTCTGCATAAGCTTTCTGATACCATTTTGCTATCGGCGTCATTTCCTTTACTGGTCTAACCGGGGCCCTTATTTTTCCATTTCTTGAAGGTATTTTTGGCCAGCTTAAATTTAAAAAAATATATTTTTATTATTTTTTAATTTAAAAACCCTGAAGGAGGCGTCGTCTCGTTTTGCTCAAAACGTTGTTGTTTTTGCCGTTGTTTTTTATTTTCGGTAATTCTACTTTGTTTTTCCCCGGAAGAATTATATAACGATAAAATAATTAATAAAACATAAAATATTTTAATTAAATGGTCAGAAAACATTTTTTGTAAAATTTGTGGTTATACACTATTTATTAGAGGATAAATGAGAAAACGGAAGAAAATCTGGTAGTAATATGTAAACTTAAGTAAAATAAAAGGAGAAAAACACAAATAAAATATAAAAAGAAATACAAACAAAGAAACAAGTTTCTTATTTGTTTATTTCTAATATCTAGATTAAATAAATAAACTTTCCGGAATATATTGGGAGTATATTAAATTAGAGTAATAAAATATAAACTTTCCGGAATGTGTATTTCTTTTCCGGAAATTTTATTAGAAACATCAGTAAAATAATACTTAAAAGAATATTTTGAAAACTGAAGTAATTAAAAGAACAGATGAATAAAAGTTTAAAAAATAAAAGCTTCTAGGTATATGTAAAGAAATTTTGACAATTTTTCGGATGACAATTCAATTATTTATTTTTCCAAAAATCACTTTGACTTTATAATTTGCAATAAATTAATTTTTTTAATTAAATTAATGTTTATTAAATTTATTTAAATTTGCCCCTCAGGACCCCATCTAATACAATAGCCATTTATTTAATATTTATCAAACAATCTATCATGTTAATTATAAAATTTATTTAGTTATTGAGCAAATCGCTAGCAAATCTGTTAATATGTACCATCACATTTTTCAATAATTCCCTGAATTCCTTGGGCTTATTAATTTTCATAGACTCTAAAGAGAGACAATTTTAATAGAATTGAGATAATTTTTTTCCATTTTTATCTTCTTGTTTAAATTAAATTATTAATTTAAATTAAATTATCGAACTACATAACTCAGAACTTTACAAATTAAATTATAAAAATTAAATAAATTTAATTTTAATTTAATTTTTTAAATAATTAAACACAAATTAAATTCAAATAATCTAAATTTATGTACCTAATTTTAAATTTAATAATTTTTCTTTAAACCATTTAAAATAAAATATCTTCCCTTTTTCAATTAAAAAATACAAAAATTAAAATATTAAACATGTTTAATTAAAATAACGGCAAATTTATTACCTGGTTTCATAACGTGCGAAAAAAAATTTTTTTAAACAAGCTTATTAGTCCACTACAAAATTATTGTTGTTTACTCAATTTTAATAAAAGTATAAAAATATTTAAAAAAAAAATTCTTATTTCGTGTATATCAGTTGAAGTTTAATTCACATACACAAATTTGTCTAATTAAAATATTACGGTAAAATATTTGTAATTTTAATTAATAAAAGGTGTATATAAATACGAGAAATTATAAGCCTTTAATTATTTTAAAATTAAACGGAAACATTCCGGAAAATTTTTTAAAAATTATTTTAAAATATTACAGTGTGTAACAAAACTATAACCCCACCTAAAATTTTTTTATTTCTTAAGGTTCTAATAAACAGAATTTTTTAATTTTTATCCAATATTGAAAATGTAATTTCAAGCAAAAATTAAATAAATTTTTATTAAAAATTTTTACAAAAAAATTTTTTTTAACTTTTTATGAAATATAGGTGTAACATAACATCAAATACCGTATTTACTCTAATAATCCCCCATTCTTTATTAATTCCCCAGTCTCTATTAATTCCCCACCCTAGGGACGGGTTGAAACAATAATCCCCCAGCCTCTATTAATTCCCCAGTCTCTATTAATTCCCCACCCTAGCGATGGGTTGAAACAATAATCCCCCTGGGGGATTACTAGAGTAAATACGGTAAACCCACTTGGAAAAATTTTATTTTTCAATTAGAAATGCCCGAAAATAAATACGGTAAAACATGTTTTACAGAAAAGCATGTTTTAATTTTAGAAAAGTTTTTAAAAAATAATAAAATTTGTGTTTGTTTGCGTTTTAAAAATGTTTTTATTAAAAATGTTTGAAATTAATTTCGTTTTAAATAATTGTTACAAAACTTCCTTTTTATTTAAATATTAACAATTTAATTAATAGTAATTTTCAATGACAATCCAATTTTTTGTTTGGCTCTCTTCTTTAAGAATTCAATTTATTTATTTTGCAATTGTAATTAGTCTTCCTTCATTAATTCTTTATTTAATTGAAATAATTACAATTATTGGAAATAAAGAGTTTCACAATCCTTTTTACAAACTTTTTTTAATTCGTTCCGTTCCGGTAAGTTTATTTTACAATTACAAATTCTGGAAAATATTTCCGGAAAAACATCTTCAAAACATGTTTATTTTAAATTTCCGGAAAAACATGTTTGAAAATAAATACATAAATATATTTCCGGAAAACATGTTTGAGTAATATTACAAACCCTTTCCGGAAAAACATGTTTTAGATAATTTTCCGGAAAACAAGTTTTCAATTAATAATTTTAGAATATTCTCTACACACTCGACTCTTATTATTGTTATCGCCTAACAGTTCTTTTCGGTAATTGGCTATATCCTTTTTACGATTCATTGCCAAATTGGATGTTACGTCTTTCTTTCTTCCTTACATATTCTACAACTTTAGCTGATTTTTTGGCGACTTCTTTAATTCTTGTAAATCGTTGGACTGCAATTACTATGGCTATTAGTTATAAAAGGGTATTTAAATAGCCTGTTTTTTTTTAAATATATGTGCAAAAAATTCCGGAAACATTCCGGAAAACATTGTTTATTCAATCTTGTTTTGTTTCCTGACTCAATTCTGTTTTCGGAAAAATGTTCAAATCTAAACAAGTATTAAAAAAGCTCAAACATTTTTATTCCGGAAAATTAACACAACTTTTTTTACAAACAAAATTCTGAAACTTTACAATTCCCTTAAGGTTTGGAGTAAACTCATTTTACCTTCTGCATTGATAGTGTTTGGAATTCCAACTTTATTGTATATACCAATACTCACTGTAAATTGTTACCTTCAGAATGATACAAGTTCTGGAGGTTTTTACATAAATCAGGATAAAGTTGTCAGTTAACTTTTTAAATTTTAAATAAAATATTTAATAAAATTTTTAGACTTTTTATCAAGGATTCCCTTTAAATGTTTTTCTCTGCGTCAGCTTTTTGGTTGTTTGTATTCTTCTAAATATTGCAACTTTAATTTCTTATCGAAAACATTGCAAGAAGGATAAAAGAAATAAGAGTAATCAACAAATACATCATGAAAAGACTGAATATAAATTAATGGTTTATGCTATTGCTACTTTTATTGGGCATTTAATTATTGTCTTAGAACAAGTAAATATTTATATTTTTCCGAAAAGACATTGTAATATGTTCCGGAAAATGTTTAAGCTAATTTAAAATTCCGGAAAACATTGTATTATGCTTCCTGAAAATGTTTAAATAATTGGGATTCCGGAAAAACATTGTATTATATTTCCGGAAAATGGTTAGATTAATTAAAATTCCGGAAAAACATTATATTATGATTCCGGAAAATGTTTAAATTAATTTAAGATTCCGGAAAAACATTGTTTACTCTATTTTCGTAATCATTGGAAAACATTGTTTTATGTTTAATTTTCTCCGGAAAAACATTGTATTATCTTTAATTCAGTTATCAAAAAACATTCTTTTAGATAAATTCACTGTAATATTTCTCCAAAAAACATTGTTTTATTGAATTTTGTTTTAGGGAAAATGTTCGAATTAATTAAAGTTACGAAAAACATTGTTTCTTTTTATTTGTTGGAAACCTTGTTTTAGAGTATATTTCTTTCCGGAAAACATTGTTTTATTAAATTTTAGTTCAGGAAATGTTTAAAAAAACAATGTTTAGAAAACTTTGTTTTATCTTTAATTTCTTTTTTGAAAAACATTGTTTAAGTAAATTAATTTCCGTAAAACAAGTTTCAACAATGTTTTTTTAAATAATTTTCATTTTCTCAATTATTTAGCTATCAACAACAATATTTAAACAACCTGAATATGCTGCTGCTGTAATAACTCAATATCCTTGGACAATGGATTTTGGTTCTGTTGTTTTGCCTAGCTGGTTATTGTTTTGGGCTAGTGATAATTTTAGAAAATTTATTTTTAAAAAATTTTGCCCAAAATTTTTACAAAATTTTAGTATTACAATTAAATTTAACGCTGTGCAACAAGCAACAATGGTTAAACCTGTTAATAATGTGCATAATACAAAAACTTAGAAATAAATTTACAATTCATTTTGTAATCCATTTGTAAAATACTCTACCACAAATTGTAATTTTATCAAAAATTGTAATTTCCAGAATAACCCATTTACTATATTGTACTCATATTTGCAATTGTAAAAATTGAAAAACTTTTTTTTCAGAAATTGTAAAATTGTAATTTCAAATAATTGTGGATTTACAAATTCTGATTATATTAAAATTCAGAAAATAAACTTTTCCCTCCTAACAAAAACCAGAATAAATATCAGAATTTGTAAAATAATATTTTTATATTTACAATTAACTGGCAAGTTTAAAAATAAAAAATATCATAAATTGAGGATTATTTTAAATTATAATTTTTTAAAAACAATGAAAGGCAGTGTTTAAGCATAGAAAAAAGAAAATTATGAGAGGGTAATATTTTTAAATTTTAATCATCATCAAAATCATCATTCCATTTATTTTCATCATAAATGTCTTCATACTCCTTAGAAAATTCAATAAATCTTTTTGTTTCATTATTATTAATTTCAATTTGATTTTTTAAAGATGGCGGGGAAGGTGGCAGTACTTTTGGACGAATAAAAGAATTAGAAAGTCCAGAAGACGTAGGTAGAGGTGGGAGAGGTGGAGGTGGTCTTTTTGGTCTGTTGAGGGTGTTGGAAGAATAACTAAAGAAAATCAGAATTTAAAAAATCAGAATTTTAAAAATCAGAATTTTAAAAAATCAGAATTGTGAAAATCAGAATTTAAGAAATCAGAATTTTAGAAATCAGAATTTCAAAAAATCAGAATTTTGAAAATCAGAATTTAAGAAATCAGAATTTTGAAAATCAGAATTTAAGAAATCAGAATTTTGCAAATCAGAATTTTAAAAAATCAGAATTTTAAAAATCAGAATTTCAAAAAATCAGAATTTTAAAAATCAGAATTTCAAAAAATCAGAATTTTGAAATCAGAATTTTATTAACTATATATTCTCTCAGATAAAATTCAGAATTTGTAAAATTGAAATTCAGTTAATAATTGTTAGTTTACAAATTCTGATTTTATTAAAACAAAAATCACAAATCAGAAAATAATTTTAATTGCAATTACAAATTCAGATTTTCTGACAAGTTTCTGATTTTATTATTATCTCTATTTACTTACCAAAGATTATTTTTCAACAGTGGTGGGGGAGGAGGTGGTCTAACGGGTCTTCTAACAATATCGCAACTTTGACTGCCTGCATTGAATTGACTCTTAAATTTAATAAAAAATACTTTTTAATTAATTTATCTATTTACATTTAAACGTTTCCTTCGTCTTCTTACAATTATTCCACTACATATTGACCATTTTATACGTTCCCAAAGGGCTCGAAGCCGACTAGTTAGCAACCATTCAATAAACGGCAGTCTAATTGTTTTTATCGTTGTTTGCTCGGCTGGTAATTCGACAGAGACTTGTTTTGTAGAAAGAGGGGTTGTTGAGGGCTTTTGTTGGGGAGTTTTGACAGCTATTTTATTGTTGTTTTCCTCTCCCCCAACAAAGGGCGGTATAGGCACAAAGAAATGATAATAACGTCTACGGCATTTTGGGGAATTGACAGATGTTTGGGGTAGACGAGCAACTGCACAGGGAAAGAGAAGCCATAGAAGAAATGGACCTGATGCTATAAGTCCAAATAAAATGCCTAGAAGCCACTGAAATGAAAAAAAAATTGAGAATGTTATATTAAATCAGAGGCATATTCTTTTCCGGATTTTGATTTTCACTAATTTTCTCTATTTTCCGGAAATTGTAAAATTGTAAATCCTCAAGTTTGTAATCTATTTAAACTTACAACAGCCCATATCGGCCATCTCCTAATACATTTTTCCGGTTCACAATTCCACTCATTACATTTATCAGCAAGCCCGCAATCGCATTGCTCTCCCTCTTCATAAACCCCATTGCCACAAATTGGTAGTGAGGAAGTGTGAGCCTCTGCTTTTGGTTCGCGCAGGAGACACCGGGTGCGCAAAGCCATATTTACCATTAATTGTAATGTACAGTCTTGGTCAAAACCACTTGAATAAAATATTTTATTCAAAATTTTTAAATTTATTTACGGAATTTTCAAACATCCAGCTCCAGATATACGCCTATCGAGCATAGCATTGCTTTCCAATTTTTTCTCTCCTTCCTTATTTTCTCTTTTATTTTGTAACCGGTGTTTTTCCGGATTATTTAAATTATTACAAGCACAGTTTGGAACATTCAAAGTTTCGTTTTCTGGACGGTGAGGGACTCCAATAAGATGAGCTACCTCATGAAAGAATATAGAAGCCATTGCTTCTGGGTTGTGAGGATAAAACTTAAAATATAATTTATTAAGATTAAATAATTCTTCTAACCCCAGCAAGCATTACACTCTTAGAATTACACATTCCCCCAACAAAAGCAAGCCCTCCCGCATAACGATAACTAATCAAAACAGCAAAATCATGAAAAGGAAGTTGTGCCATTCTTGAATTACGGTAAAGCTCGAAAGTGTAAAGTGATAAATCATCCCGGAATGTCTCCAAAACATCGACAACAATTAAACGGAGATTTATTTGATAAAAATACTGAAATAATTTTTTAGAGATTTTTTAATAATTTAAGGGAAAAACTTGCATTATTTGCTTCTTTGGCCAGACGCATTACCTCGCGTTTAACGATTACATGCTCGCGTCTGTAGTGGTCAGACTTTAAAATATATCAATAAAAATAATTATTTCTTAATTCCAACCGTTTTTAAATCAACAAAAATAAGAGCATACAAATAAATATTTATATGAGGATCTAAAGCTGCTAAAGAATAATCTGGAGCTGGATCGCCCCAAACCGCTGGCGCCCTTCTCCAACGATGGTGGCGCCGGAATTGATGGTTAGTTGGGGAAATGTTGGAAGTGAGTGGCGGTGATACAAAACATTTTTGAGCTTCATCATTATTTGCCTTACATGAAAAAAGAAATTTAGAAAATTTAATTAAAAATTTCTTTTACAGCTCTTTAAACAAACGATGAAACCGAGCGTTTAAAGAGCTGCTAGAGAAAAGTTGATTATTAAATTAATTTTTGGGTTACAATTGAGGTAAACTAATTTAAAAATAATTTTTAAAATATACCTAGTTTAATTCTTTCAAAAATTTAAAATAAATCTGACCTGATTTCTAATAAAAGACCCGTTAAATCTGTCTTTGTCTTTAATGTAGTTTTGTTCCAGTTTTTCTCCGAAATTATTTTTTAAGCAATAAATAGGTAATAAGATTAAAAATATCCAAAGTATTAAATATATTAATGTGGATTGGAGTAACCATTGTGAAAATAACATTCGTGTCCGTATATACGGCTCTCATTACATTATAGGCCGCTCCACTTAAATTTTGATAAAAAATTTTAAAGAATTTTTTAATTTTTTAATTTTTTTAGAGAATAAATTGGAAATTACAAATTGCGAATGTAAAAATAAAGGGATTGTAATAAATTGTAAAAACAAATTTTATAAAATATTTAAATATGTATGCAAATGCTTTAATGTTTTGCTCCAAACATCACTCAAAAACATCTTTATTTTATAGTTTGAATTTTTTTCTTTTTTCTTATCTAAATATTCTTACTAAATAAATTTCCGTAAGTAAATCATAAGATTTTAGTTTTTTTTGACTTCTTTATTTTTTAAATTAATTTTTTAAAAATCTACTAAAATGTTCGGCAAAAGGTCTCTGATAAAATTAAAAATAATTGGGTTAATTTTACTGATAAGATAATTTTTCTTTGTTTGTTTTTTGGATTTGTAAACCTTAAAAAACATACAAATAAAATATATTTGAAAAAATAAATAAAAATAAATTTCCTGGGAAAACCCAAGGAAAACCCTAAAGTGAGAAACAGATATTTATATATCGCTGACCACTAGTCACTAAGTAACTAAGTAAAAGGAGAATCAATGCTAGTTGTGGAAGGAGGAAAATGGACAAAACACGGATATGGCCACAGCCCTGGCGGCCACTTAGAAAAACTTAGTAGAGGTGCTGGGCAAATAATGGTCAAATAGTACATTGCAAGTACAAACTTAAAAATAAAAACTTGAAAATAAAATAATTTTAAAAAATAAACTTAGAAAATACAAATTGTAAAAATAAATTTTAAAGAATTACAATTTGTAAAAATAAACTTGAAATAAACTTAGAAAAATACAAATTGTAAAAATAAATTTCAAGGAATTACAATTGTAAAAATAAACTTGAATAAACTTAGAAATATACAAATTGTAAAAATAAATTTTAAAAAATTACAATTTGCAAAATAAACTTAAAATAAACTTGGAAAAATACAAATTGTAAAAATTACAATTTTAAACTTAAAATAAAAAAAATAAACTTGGAAAATACAAATCTGACAATAAAATTGTAAATTCCCAAGAGTTTTGTAAAATCTTAAAAGTTTTATATTTTTGGTTATTTATTTGTAATGTCCATTTACACTTACAAATCTCTCTCTTTTTTCCCTCTCTCTGTGGAATTGGCAAAAATTTCTAAGAAAGCGCTGCAATGGACAAATGGCCATTGGCCTGGCCCCCCTCCACCCCTATTCACTCTCCCCCATCCAACACAACTCTATGTTCTTCTCGGATTTCTTTTTTGAAAAAAAACTAGGCTAAGAAACAAAAAATAAATAGGGAGTAGAAGAAATAAATAAATAAATATTTTTTAACAATTTATTTTTTGGATGGATGACACAAACATTTTTATTTGATAAATGACCTGTTCTCCCAAAAAATATTTATTTGTTGAGGGGAAGATTTATTTATTTAAGTAATGAATAAAAAATTAAAATAAATTTTTTTAGTTAATTTTTGCTAGAAATTTTTTCTTTAAATTTTCTTTTAAAAAAATTTTTTTTGATAAAATTGTAAAAATAACTTTAAAAAATATTTGCCTTTTAAATATGAGAGATAAACAAAAACAGCTGGACATTACTCTAAATATCTCTTCAAAAATAATAATAAAAAAGCGTCTGTTGACCAAAATAAATTTTTTTGAAAACGATTTTTGATGATCCAATAAAAAAAGCAAAAATTCTTCTCAAAAAAGCCAGTTCATCCACCAGACATTTTTATATTTTTTAGGATGAAAGATATAAGCGATCCTTCCCGTGCCATCTTTTTTCCATAAATGAAAGAAATAATAACATTATTTTAGGGTTTTTAATGTGAAGAAAAACTGGCGAACATCTGTATAAGTTAATAAGCTTAAGATTTGTCTGACATGTGTAAAAATATTTTTTTTATTAAAAGGTTGTGTAAAATAAACACAAAGTTAATAATAAATACGAACTTGGAAATTACAAATTGTAAAACAAGTAATCCTTAAAATACAATTTGTAAATAATAAAAACCTGAAAATCGCAAATTGTAAATAATTAAACTTGGAAATTACAAATTGTGAAGGAAAGAAAAATTAAAAATTATCTTTTGTAAAAATCAAAACTTGAAAATTACAAATTGTAAATAAGTTTACACTTAAGAAAAATAAACTTAGAAAATAAATAATAAAATAATTAAATATATTCACAATTAGTGAAAAAATTTAAAGACAATAATTAAATTGTGAAAATTGCTTGTAAAAGTTACAAATATAGAAATAAAATATAAATAAATTCTAAATATGGTTTTCCAAATTTTTTTTATTTTTTTTCCCTGATATTTATTTTGGCTTTCAATTTTACTTTTTTTTATAAATTTATTACCCTTTTTATTATCATTTTTAGTCGCGACATGTTTTATATATTATTGCCAATTTTTTCTGATAATAAAATAGACAATGAAAAAAATATTTGGAGAATAATCAGAACAATATTTTTTATTTAAAAAAATAATTTTTGGTGTATAATTTAAATAATTTATAGTTATTTTTGCTGTGTTTTAATGTTCTCGAGACTATTTTTGGTGTTTTCTATTTTTGGTAGGCCATAATGACAAGTCAGTTGTTAATGGCATAAACTCAATCACTGCCAGGTGATTTTTGCTTATTTAAAGCTAAAAATAAATAAGAGGGTAAAAAAAAATAAGAAGGTAAAAATAAATAACCTGGTTTTAGCCAGCTAATGTGACAAACTTTCTCTTTTCAATTATTACACAAACTTAAATAAACTTAAAAAATTATTGCAAGTTTGTTCATTAAAGAGAAGATATATTGAAAATACAAACTTAAATAGAAAAAATACAAACTTGAAAGGATAAATATTGAGGAATAAACTTGAAAAAACACAAATAGTAAAATTAGAGAAGAAAAAATACAAACTTGAATAAAGAAATAGTATTAAGGAGAAAATAAACTTGAAAAAATACAAATTGTAAAATACAAAAATGAAAAATACAAACTTGAAAAAAATAAACTTGAAAAAATACAGAAAAATACAAACTTGAAAAAAAATAAACTTGAAAAACACATACATATTTTAAGTTGTGTGATATTCAAGTTTTAAAATACAACTTGAATAAAAAATACAAATGCTAATAGAAAAAAATAAACTTGAAAAAATACAGAAAAATACAAACTTGAAAAAAAATAAACTTGAAAAACACATGTATTTTAAGTTTTGTGATATTCAAGTTTTAATAAAACTTGAATAAAAATACAAACTTGAATAGAGAAAATAAACTTAAAAATACAAATTGTAAAAATAAATTTACAAATTGTAAAATTAAACAAACTTAAATACCCCAAAACTCTTAAATTATGTAAATTTTAATAAAACATTTATTTCACTCTAAAACTAAAAAAGGAAGTGTGCATAAAAATATGTCTACATTAAATTCGGTTGCGTGCAGTATAATGAAGTAAAATGAATAATCCGCCTCCTGTCGGCCAATAATTCGGACATTTTTTCTTCTTTATTCTCCAGCCTAATTCTTTTAAAAAAGAGGCATTAATCCGTCGTTTCCGCTCTTGTCCCATAAATATATTTATTTAATTTTAGTTTAATTTGGGGGAAATTGAGGGGGAATTAGAGTCTGAGGGATTGAAGGAGGATAATTAATGCTATAGAAGGGAGACAAAAAGAATTTGTACTAAGATTTATTGGATTTTCTTCTTTCTCCTTAATGTCTAGCTGTGAAATAAACAAAGAAAATTTTGCCAAAATTACTCAAAAAATGCGCGAATAAAAAATATAATTTATTTTTTTTGGAAATTAATTAGAAAATTTAAAAAAAATTAAAAACTAAAAATATATTTAAAATGTATATATCTGTCAAAATTGAGATTATCCTTTAAAAAAAACTTCTTTATATAAATATTTAATCATCAACAGAACACAAAGCTTCCTTTAACAAGGAAGAAGCGTTATCCTCATCAATGGCTACAAAACGTTCTTGACGCTTTGAGAAAAAATAGCTTTAAAAAAATTTTTTTAGAATTTTAAAATAAATTTATTTATATTTACAGTTCTCCAGTAAATATATCTAGCCAAAATGCTTGTAGACCAACAAGCCTCTTCTCTATATGTTCTCGTAAAAATTCGTGTGAAGCTATATTTGTTAGTTGTTGTAAAGTGTTTATTTGTGATAATTTGTCTTCTACGCCATAATTATTTTCTGGATCGATTCGGGCAGTAAATCTGTAAAAATTTCGAAAATTTCGTTTTAAAGTCGAAATTTCGTTTAAAGCCGAAATTTCGTAAATTTTCGAATTTCGTAAAAAATATTTTTTATTCACCTCATCAACCCATTTTCTGAAGCAAATTCCAATTTTTTACAACTCTCTCCACTTTTAACAAGTTTATCAAGCTTTTGGATGCTCAAATGGCCATTATGCCTTAACCAATGGTCCATAGGAGATTCGGGGTCAAATGCCCTTCCATTATAGAGTTGATAAAGGGTATTTATTGCCTTACAGTCTGAATGGCCACAAACAAGTACTTGACAGACATTTCCACGCCTGAAAAGGAAAATTGACGAAATGAATTTTGGGCATTTTGAAATTGGACGCTTTGAAAATTTAAACCCAACTTTATTGCCAATTCGAGAGCAGCTGGTTCTGTTGTAACAGAAACTTCTGAAGCAGTTCCTCCTATTTTTATACGAAATATTGTTCGAAACAATTTCTCAAAAATTACCAAAATTCCGTGCAAGAGGCACCATATTCGCTGAATTTCTCACAACAAAAAGGTCACCTATACGGGCCTGCATAAACTTGGAGGGCTGCAATCTGTCAGAAAATGACTTTTTGGGCATTTTTAATTTTTTCACCTCGAATCCATACACGTAAACAAAACTGCTCGGGGGTCGGGATCAGACCTGGGCGAAACTCAAAATTTTTTTCTGACGAAACGAAACGAAACAAAATTTTTTAAAAATCGTTTCGTTAACGAAACGAAACGAAACAACCAAAATCTTACGAAACGAAACGAAACAAAACGAAACATTTTAATATTCAAAAAATTTTCAAAACTGCATTTATTTCGAAATTATTCGACCTCAAATACGTTATTAGTCGACTATGACTTATAAATGATTTAGTTATTGGTTTATTTACAACAATTGTGTCCCATAAGCCAGGCCCGTAGCAAGGAAAATTTTCGGGGAAGGGGGGGGGGGTCAATCATTTTCGAAGCCAAATTTTTGGCGACGCTTTTTTTTTAAATAAAATTGAATATTTTTCAAGTAAAATTTTATTTTAAGCGCCGCAGACGAAAAATTTTAAAATTTTGAAAGGCCGTAGGCCAAAAAATTCACCATCTTGCTCCATTGCCTACCCAAATTGTCTCCATATCTCCATTTCGAGAGGAAGGCGATATAAGCTAGTGCTTCGCCGGAAGTTCCGGTTCCAGTATTTCCGCAACTCGCAATCCGCAATTTTTAAATTATGATGCGAGTCCGGTAATAGAATTTGTCGTCGATTAAGTAATATGTATATGTGGATTAGGGAGTGGAGTATAAACGGATTTGTAGTATATAAGTAATTGCTATCTTCCTTTTTCAGCGCCGCAGGCGAAAATTTTGACAATTTGGGAAAGCCAAGAAGCCGAAATTCTTTTTTTTTCAGCGCCGCAGGCGAAAATTTTTTAAATTTTCAATAAAAGATGGTAAATTTTATAGATTTTGGCCTTAGTTTAGGCTTAAAAAATTGTTTCGTTTCGTTGAAAAATCACAGGTGTTTCGTAACGAAACGAAACGAAACAAATTTAAAAGTGTTTCGTAACGAAACGAGACGAAACAGTAAAAATCATACGAAACATACGAAACAACGAAACGAAACGAAACGTTTCGCCCACGTCTGGTCGGGATGGTCACGAACTCGTTCAAATTCTTTAACCATTGCTGGGCGTTTAAATTTCCTGAAGAGTAGAATTCCATCAAATATTCGTTTTATACTTTCGTGCATTAAAAACAACTTTAAAGAAAAATAAAATTTTTATTGGCAAACCAATTATGGCAAACTTAAAAATTAATAAAAGACGAAAAATTTAAAAATTCAATATTTAACCACAACAATTCTCTCTCCACTTTTATTCCGCACTATTTTATCATATGCAGTATACCCATAAAATGGTCTCATCGCCAATCGATGAGCAAAAAATAAAGGTAGTTTTGGCTGGGTAAGTTAAAAAAGGTTTTTTTAAAGGGCATTTAATGAATTAATTTTTTAAAAGGAGGATAAAATTAAATTTTAAGAATATTTTGTAACTCTCGATCTACTCTTTATTTAGAAAAAAATTAAATTTAAAGCTTGACCCGTTCAAAAGTTATAGAACATCAAAGAATGTCAACTACAATTAAAGTCGCCTTGCTTAAAGAGTGTTTAAAAAAAGTTTTAAAAATTAAAAAATAAATTTAAAAAACAAAAATTTATTAAAAACAAATTTTAAAAATATATAATTTTATCAATTAATTAAAATTCCAACGAACGGATTCGAACCCGTGACCTATTCCAAAAATTAACCCACTTAACCACAAATAACAAAATTTTAAAACTAATCAGGATAAGGAGAACCATGCAATGGCGAAACTTTTTCTTTATCACTAAGCCTCTTATCTTCTTTTTTGGCGCCAGGAATGTGTTCAAAATCTTTTTCTTTGTACTCGGGAAAGCCTTTGTCTTTTTCTACAGCCCCTCCTTTTGTAGCAACTGTTGGTGCTCTTTTTTCTGTTTCTGCATCGGCTTCTAGTTGTTGCTAAAAAGAAAAAAAAGTTTCGAAAAATATTTGGAGAACCAAAACGATTTTTTAATTTTCAAAAAAATTTTCTATAAAATGATCCACCAACAAAAAAATTTAAAGTATAGCGAACGAATTCGAACTCATGACTTATTCCAAAAATTAACCCACTTAGCCACAAAACTTTAAAGAAAAATCCCTTAATAGATTACCTGTTGTCTAGCTCTATTAAGCCTAATCTCCTCTTCAGAAGGCGGAAATCGACGAGTCATTTTTGTCCAGGAAAGCCACTCAACTGGCGGGTCTGGAGCGCCAGGCGCTGGGTCATAACCTCTAAAATTAATTTAAAATTAATTTTAAAACCCACAAAAAACCTCGAAACATTTCCCGAACTTCTCGGCTTAGACAATTCGTAGTATCTATTTCCATATTGATCTTCTCCAATATATTGTTTCGGAAGTTTTGTATCTGCCCAAAGTAATTTCCAAATTGTTAACCAAGGGCCTGGACGTGTAGGTTTGTTGCTCATTTTTTAAAGAAAACTAAAATTTAAACAGAAATAAAATATTAAAACACACACTATTTCGCAATAATGAGAAAAAGGAAAAACAACACAACGCCAAAAAAATAAGTTAAATTTTAAAAGGACAGTTCATCGCCGAAGAAAAGGCAACGAGACGTTTCTAAGCAATGACCACTGGTCAGTTTTTAGCGTCTTTTAAACAAGCGAGATTAGTTAACAGCACAGGCGCCCTGAATCACATTAAACGTTAATCCGTAGCTTTTGAATTTACATTATTCTTTTAGACGAGAAATTTTTCAACTTCTTGGAAAAACAATTTCGCTTAGTTTAAATAAAATTTCTGTTCCTCAATTTTAGTTATTTGATTGCTGTAAAATTAAAATGCAATTTCTACCACATGAAGTTCAACTTGATGTATTAAAATGTTTTAATTTTAATCAATTAATTTCTTTTAAATTAACAAATGTTTACTTTAGCAATTTAATTAAAAAATATGAGGGGGAATTGGCAAGAATGAAATTCAAAGGACTTTGGATAGTAAATATTTATTAAATAAATATTTTTTTATTTAAATTAATTTTAGTTGAATAATAATGATTTTCGAGGATTTAGACACATTAACCGTCAATCTGGAGCTTTCGAATTTACTTTAAATGATCAACTTTTGAATAAGGTTAAATTAATTTGTAATTAAATTTAAATTTTTTTCAGTGGCAAGCAACGATATCTAAATCAATTCCGTTGTTTTCACATGAATTTGGCAGAAAATTATTCTGTATAAGAATGGAAGGTTTGAAACAATTACCGTAAATACTCGAATTGAAGCCCTGGGCTTATATTTTTCAATGAGTTTCCTCAGATGGGCTGATTTTAGAGGTGGGCTTCGGTAATATTGAAGCGTACAGACCCCATTTTTTCCTCCGCAATTTTCCCCTATATTTTTACAAAATGGTCAGACTTTTCCTTTCTTCCATCCAATTTGCCTTTCTAATTTTTGCCTACAATCAAACAAAAAGGGTAAGACTTCGGCTCATGAACACAACAGAACTTATATTTTTCTTGTATAAAATTGTGTAAAAAGGTAAAATATCAGTATAAAAGTACTCAAAATGGTCCTCTTGTGCATTTTTCCCGGATTTTCAGACCCCTGAAAATCCGGGTACCATAGGGGGGAGTAAACTGTTTTTTGGGGTCAAAAATTCGAATATGCAAATAATAGCTCATTCGAAAGGGCTCGACGAGCTGAGTTGAATGACACCAAAATCAGATCGATTGGAAGATTATGAACAAAGTTATGACCAACAGAATCTTCGCTGGAAAAACTGTTTTTGTGCTGCTACGGAGGGTAGGCCGGGCATGGTCTTCGCTACACGATGGCCGTGTTTCGCTGCGGTCGTGCTCGCTACGCTCGCGGCGACCGTAGCGAAGCGGCGGCCGTCGTTCCGCTCGACATGCCCGGCTTCCTCCGCAGCGGCAAAAACTTTTTTCCGCGAAACCCTTGTGGAAGGGGTTAAAACATCGGTCATAACTTTGTCAAATGACGTCTGATTTCATTGATTTTGGTGTCATTCGACTCAGCTCAGCGAGCTCTTTCGAATGAGGTATAATTTGCATATTCGAATTTTTGGCCCCAAAAATCAGCTTGGTCCCCCCTATGCTTTCCGAATTTTCAGGGGTCTGAAAATCCGGGAAAAATACAAAAGAGGACCATTTTGAGCACTTTTATACTGATATTTTATCTTCCCACACCTTTTTATACAAGAAAAACATAAGTTCTGTTGTGTTCATGAGCCGAAGTCTAGCCAAAAAGTATTTTAGAAAAACAAAAAAAAAAGTATTTTAGTCTGACCATTTTGTAAAAATATAGGGGAAAATTGCGGAGGAAAAAATGGGGTCTGTACGCTTCAATATTACCTAAGCCCACCTCTAAAATCAGCCCATCTGAGGAAACCCATTGAAAAATATAAGCCCAGGGCTTCAATTAGAATATTTACGGTATATGTAAATTTTACTCAATTTATGAGTAAGTTAGACATTAATTTTTATAACCACAAATTCCTATCTCAAAATAATTTAATTATCAATTTAGTAGACGAAAATTATATTTTAAAATTGCCAAATTTTCAAAAAAAAATTGAAGAAATGATTTTTGTTCGTTGCTGGTTGGAAAAACTATTTAAATGTGGTTTTGAATTTGTCAGTTTTCCCAAATGTGTATTTAATCCAGAAATGATCAATATTTTATTTGATAACGACAAAACAATTCCTCTTAAATTTCACACAAAAAAAGCAATTTTATGGACTACCGACAACACTATTGAAAATGTTTTAAAATTTTCTTTAAATCATTTATCAATTTCTGAATTACTTGAAATTAATTTTGGAGATACTAACATTACAGAATACACAAATATTTTATTAAATATTTTAATAAATGAAGGCAATAAATTTCCAAAAATTGAATTTATTAACTCCAAATTAATACAACTTTATGATCTTTTTATAGAGGTGTTATCTTTTATATTTAAATAAAAATAAATTTTAATTTTAGTATATAGCAACATCGAAAAACTGTTCAAAAATTGTACCTGCTATTACTTTTGTTTTTCCTACTGCCCCGAATTTTAAATTAAGTGAAAGGGCAGAAAAAGTTGAAATTGAGCAATTAAATGATAAAAAAATTACAAAATACCAAATTGGCAATATTCACAATCCAGATATCAGATTTTCATTTTGCAATAAAGTTTATGATGGATCGTTTACTCACGTTAATATCGAAAAAATACAAGAGTGAATTTGAGAAGAAAATTTTATTTAATTTATTGGACAACAAAATATTTTTTTGATTATTGGTTTCATCGATTCTCGTATAAAAAATGTGTGCTATTCATTTTTATAAATTTTAAATTAAGTGAATTTATTCATGAACTTTGAAAGGATTTATAGCGGTTTTTATGTGACTTTTATTAAATGATAATGTTACATTTTTAATATTTTCCAAACAACTTTAGTTCAAAATAAGATTAAACACTCCCATTTATAATGAGATAAATTATCTCTATTTGCTTTCAATCGAAAATCCTTTTATGCATTAGATCAATTCAATTTTGGATTATTACTCTTTTCTCTATTTATTTTTCTATTCAAAAAATAAAATGTCATTTCTTTTATTTTTCCGTTTAACCCGATTTTTCCTTTTAAGAATTTTTCATTTTATTAAAATCTATATTAATTACCTAAAAATAAAAAATCCATTAATTTATTTAATTTTAATATTTTTAATTTTATTTTCAATTAATTTTTTGTCGAATTTTCAACAAAAACATTACTTCCCTCCCCTCCCATTTTGTGAAAAAAATTCTTTAAATTATTTTTATAAGGTTTGGAAAAATATTTTTCTTTAAATTTTATTTTTAAAATTTAAGTTATATTCTCTATCAGAATACCCTCAACCAGACCCATCTCCTTTAAATTGGATAAATATTAAATTTAAATTAGAGCCTTCAATAAATTCAATATCATTAAATTTATGTAAAATAAACAAATTTAATTATTTTTCAAGTTTATTTGTTGTTGTAATTTCGAAACTTGAGCATTTTAAACGTAGAAGTTTGTTGAGGGCACAATTTAAAGATAACGGTAATGTTTTTGTTAGTTTGTAAAACTTGGTTATTAAAACTTGGAATTGTAAACTTAAAGCTGAGAATTGTTGAATTCTAAAACTTGAATTTACAAATTGTAAATCTTAAAACTTGAATTTACAAATTGTAAATCTTAAAACTTGAATTTACAAATTGTAAAACTTGAAAACACGAGATTGTAAAACTTTAAAACTTGAATTACAAATTGTGAATAAAATAAAAAATAAAACTTAGAATAGTAAACTTTTAAAACTTGCTAAAATACAAGTTTGAAAGCTGGATTGTAAAACCTAAAAACTAGGGATTGTAAAATTGTAAAACTGAATTTGTAATTTTAAAACTTCAATATTTATATTCTTTCCCTCTCTCAAGGTATAACTTCTTTTATTTTTGTACTTGCTGCTGCAAATGCTAGCACAAATATTATAGAAGCCATTCACACAGAAGCTAATAAAGAGCAAGATTTACTTGTTTTAGCTAATTTGGAAGAGAATTATCGTCTTTTAACTTACAAAACCCGTGCTTGGTTACAATGGTTGGTGGATAATTTTGATGAAATTTGTGGACCCCCTCGTTTCCTTCTTAAAATAGACGATGATGTGATGGTACTTGAAATTTAAAAATTAATTTAAAAATATTTTAATTAGGTCAATTGGAATGCTTTATCACGTCTTTTACAAAGAGCAGGCCCAAGCCCCAAAAAATTACTTTTCTGCCGTGCAATTCCTAAAGGGCAGATTTCACGAAATCCGGCTTCTAAATGGTTTTTGTCGAGTAGAGAATATAAAAGAAACAAGCCTAGAGGGCTCGGATTATATTGCCAAGGTATGGCTATTGTGCTTACTCGTGATCTACTACGCTCAGCTTTATCAAATACAAAGATTGTGCAATTTCTTTGGGTAAAAATTAATTTTTTGAAAATTAATTTAGTTAATTAGATGGATGATTGGTATTTGACACATGCATTATTATTTAATACAAACGTTACTTTTGTTGATATTGCCCCACAAATACAAAGTATAGACGAGGAAACAAAGTTTAATATAAAAGATGTTGGCCTCTCATTAAATGTTTATTATACCCCTATATTTGCGCATTTTAGGTAAACATAGAGAAGAAAAACATTTAAAACATTTTATTTATAGACCAGCCGAACATTTCCCACAAACGAGAAAGTTGAGAGAGTGGAAGAAAATGTTGGATATTAAACCTAAGTCAACAAAAACATGCATACTTTAATGTTTTAGGGAATTATATACAATGTTTTTGTTTGTTTTAATTTAAATTATTGTTCGACAAAAACAAGTTTAAGTTTTATTAAAATAAAGTTTTAATAAAAACACTCTCTAATTATAAACTTACAAAAAATTATAAACTTTCACCACAAGATACCGCAAGCCCAAGGTACCGCAGAGCTATAACCTTGTTTAAAATTTTCGAACCCACGGCGGCCTAGTATGATTCGATTCGACTCGTCTAGGTGAGGCGAACCATACAGGGCGTTCCGGATTCGACAATTTTGAATGAAGCTATAGCTCTGCGGTACCACAAATCCATCTATATCCCTCTTAATCCCTTGAATTACACTGTATTATAAAAGCATTTAAATCAACCTCCGTTTTCATCTCTCCAAACATCAAAAACTTCAACAAAACACCAAAAACAACGCAAAACAACAACAATGAGTGCTCCACCGCCACCCGAGCCGCCAAAGAAGGACGACGCGCCGCCGCCACCAGCTGCTCCTCCTGCTCCACCGCCAGCGTCATTGAAAGCACCGAGTGAGGCATCTACCAAGAAGAAGGGAAAATCTGCTGGATCTCTGCCACCGCCGTCAGCCAGTCCAAGTGGTGCTGCTATTGGTCTCCGGCAAGTTGAGGTTCAAAGTTTCAGCGACATTCGTCCGGCGTTGCAGAAATGGCTCGATGGTCAGGATAAGCTGTTCGGAGCGGCTGAGAAGAATACCGGTCTTGAACGTGAAAAGGTGAGGAAGAAATTTTTTTGAAGTTTTTCTCATCCACTTTTCTTTTTTAGATTTTCTATGCCATCTGCGGTTTTCTTTTCCTTTGGTTGCTTGCTGCTCCGGGTGCTGGTCTCATCTGTAACTTGATTGGTGTTGTCTATCCTGCCTATGCTTCAGTTGTTGCTTTGCGTTCGGCTGGGAAAGGTCTTTAAAAAATAATTTCTTACATTCAAAGTAAATTCATTAAATTTAAGAGGACGACACGCAGTGGCTCGTGTATTGGACTACCTATGGAACCTTCTCTCTTGTGGATCAATTCGCCGACCGCATCACTCCCTACTTTCCGCTGTATTGGCCGCTCAAAGCGCTCTTCCTTCTCTACTTGTATTTGCCTCAAACTTATGGAGCGCAGAATATGTACGTCAAGTACCTCGACCCGGCGTTCGATAAGTTGGCGAAGTGAGTCTTTTAAGGATGTTTTTCAAAAAAATTTGATAATTTTTAGACGAGTGGCGGGAATGTAGAAGTTTGTTCGATGCGCTTGGATGTTGATGGTGGATGCAAAAAAGAGGACGGGGGAATATGTAAAGATGAATAAAATAGAAAAATGTATTGATAAATAATTACCCCCTACATAAATAAATATATTTTCCTTCTGCCTATTGTATGTATTGATATTATTGAAAGTATGTATTTTGTTGTATAAAATTTTCTTGAGATTTTTTGAAAATTTATTAATAGGTGGGAAATCGGTAGATAAGTTTCGAATCGGGAGTTGTTGGGTTAAATGATTTGGGAAGTTAAAGCTTTTAATTTGGATTTTGATTGATTAGATATATCTCGGATTTTTTAATCCCTCCAAATCCCCTTAGGACGGAGGGAAGTTCTCCCCTAGAGCTACCGTTCCATCATTATCAAAAAAGGTCGAATATGTTTTTAAACTTTAATAACTCAAAAATAACGTTTCACTATGCAGTGGAACCTTGTTTTTACGATTTATTTTATCAGCGTGATCGTTTAAAAAAAATAGATAAAAGTCCCAAAAAACCACGTTCTAATTATAAACTTACAAAAACAAACAAATTTTTTAGTAAACAAACTTGTTTGTCTATATTAAAGTTTTTGTTTAAATATTTTATAAATAAATTATTAAAATGGAACTTGTATAATAATTGTTTTTATTAACAAACAAACTTGCTTATATTTGCAATGTTCATTCCGTTTCCCTTGGAAACGGAATGAACTTGAAATGAGGGGAATTGTTAAATTGGGGGGTTGGACACAAGTCTTTGCAACAAGGGCCAAGGACAATTACGATTTTTTATGAGGCGAGGGGGGGGGTAGCTATTATTTTGTGGCGGCTGGCACTAGCCATGCTTTTTTTATAATAATAAAAATATAAAAATGTTTCTAAAAATATTTTTATTTATTTTTCTTGTAAGAATGGATGGATATTTTAATTTAAATTTTAATTTTTTTTTAATTTTTTATTAGCCTCGAGAAAAAAAATAATATTTTTCTATTTTAGTCCTTTCCATATTTGTATTAATTAATCCTAAGCCTACAGCTTTACTTAGTTTTCTTATTTTAATTAATTCTTGCATATTGCTATTCTAATTATATTTGCTATTTATTAACTTTTAATCTTCTAAATATTTAGAGTTTTACAGAAAAAAATAATCTTTTCAAATAATCCTTCTTTTAATTTTTATGATACTAAAAAATTTATTTCCATAATTTCCCAATCAGTCTATAATAAAAATGAAATCTGAAAGTGAAACATCATTAGATAATGAAGCAAGACCAACAAAAGCAGAATTAGTCCAACTTGTTAATCAGGTTGGTTCCGGAAAGTTTATATAGTATATTTAAAAAATAATGAAGCATTTCCGGAAAACTTGTTCTTCAAGTTTATTTAATTTTAAGTTTATTTCCGGAAAATACATGTATTTTAAATTGTTTATTTATTTTTCTTTCCGGAAAACACAAATTATATATAGTACATTAGATTCCGGAAAATACATTCCGGAAAATATAAATTATTTCTGAAGAACATGTGTTTTGAAAAATGTGTTTTCCGGAAAACATCTATGTATTTTTGTATTTATCTTTAAATATTATATTAGATTCCGGAAAATACATTTCTTTTAAAAAGTTTATGTATTCTGTTTCCGGAAAATACAAATAAAATATTTTCCGGAAAATAGGAATATGATTGATAGTTGCTTTCGGATATTCTAAATTTCTGGAAAACACAACTCTTATATTTAATTTTAATAATTTAAACAGTTTCTCATTCAAAACGATTTGCCAGTAACAGCTGCCGCTTTACAAAAAGAATGTGAAAAGTTGCTGGGAGGCAGGTGGAGTGGGCATAATTCTAATGTCACTCGTAGCGGTCGCTTTCGTAGGCATACGACGGTAATACCTAATTTGGATGGCGACGCGTGTTTGGCAGAATGGTTGAGTGATAGTGGGGCTGTTGGGGTTAGTGTTGTAATTGAAAAAAATTTTTTTTTGAAAATTTATATATTTTTAGACCCCTTCAGCATCCTCTCCAAACGAAATGACTAATTCCTCCTCAAAATCCCCACCCTCTCGTTTACGTAAACCAGCTAAATCAACAACATTGAAAAAGGGACAATCTCAAAATAGTGAAAATAAAAATGAAAGAAGCCTGCAAAAGCAATGTAGTAGCCGTTCTAGCCAAATTTCTCCAGCTCCTTCCCAAAAAAGAGCAAATTCTCGTAATAAATCGAAAAATTTAAATGAAGATTTAAATATTTCTTCAACAAAAATTGAACAAAAACAGGGAGGAAAAAATAAAAATGTTTTGAGGAAGGCTGACTCTGTTGGGAATATTTCTGTAAATGAAGCTTCCCCAAAACAACAACAACAAACTTCTTCCCCTCCTCCTGATCCAATACACTCTTCAAATGTTTTTTAATGTTTTATTCTAAAAATAACATTAAATTTGTAGCAATTAACAATTACAGAAGATATTGTAGAAAATAAAAATTGGCTTTGTGCTAATTTAGATTTATCACTTATTAATCAAGCATTGTTAAAACCAAGTGTTTCTGGAGGGAGAGCAAGTGCTTTGTTGTTACAGGCTCTAAGACAAGTTTGTCTATGTTTTAAATCTTGATTGATGTTTGTCTCCATGTTTTGTTTTTCTTGTGTTTGTTTGTTTTAAAGTTTTATTCGATGTTTATATTCAAGTTTTAGAATGTTTGTTGTTTTTCTTGTTTTTATGTTTTTCTCATGTTTTCTTATGTTTTTAAGCTTTCCAAGTTTATTTTTATGTGTTTGTTTATTTCTTTGTTTGGTGTTTCTCTTCAAGTTTGTTTTCTTTTTGTTTCTAACGTTGTTGTCTCTCTTTCAATTGTTTACTGTTTTCATGTTTTGCCTATTGTGTTTGTTTATTAAGTTTGTCTAATGGTTTCCAAGGTATTTAATGTCTATCTATGTTTATGCCTGTGTTCGTTTCCAAGTTTATTTAATTGTTTCCATGTCTATTACCACCATTTAAACCGCAACTCTAGATGATCACCAAAAATACAATTACCGACGGAGATGCTAATTTATCAGCATTAATAGCAAAAGATTTGTTTCAATTACGTTTTCGTAAACAGGTGTATAATTAAATAAAATATTAATTTTTATTTAATTTCCATTAAAGTCAATAGCATCCGCTCTCTTTCATGATGATACTACTTTAGCAGCAGATTATGTTAGAGAACAATTAGCAAGGCTTTTAAATGTTTTTGCTTCATTTAGAAAGGGACGGGACTATTTGTTGTGTTCTACTAATTTAAATAATAATTTAAATTCTAATTATGGGCAAGGGAGACAACAACTTATTTATGAATGTAGTCAAACATTGAAGGTAAAAATATAAAAACTTGAACATTTAATAAAGAAAACTTGAAAACCAAATTTGAAAACATTTAATAAACATTCAACAAAACTTTATTTCAAATTAAATAAAAAACTAAAAACTTTTTCCTTATTTGTTAGGGAAACAGGCGTCCTTTACTAAGCCCTAACGCTTCAGAACAATTATTAGCAGCCTTACAAAAATTAAGTATTCGACCTTCTGCACAACGAGAACTGTTAATTAATGGCATTTTTGAATGGTTATGTACCCAATTGGGACAACAAAAATTTGGACAGGCTGGGTTGGAATTTGGGGTTGCTTTGTTACACAATCTTGTTGTAAACCCAATTTCGCATTCAATCGCTGTTAGACATAAAAAGAGACTTTTGGAGACTTTAAGAATTTTGTTAGGATCTGCTAGAGGTGGACAGGTTGAAGGAAAAAAGTTAAAATCTCTGTAAAAATATCCACAATTTAAAGGCACTACAGTACACTTGTTCAACTCTTTATATTCTCCTTTGCCTTCCACAAGTGAGAAAAACTGCTCGAGATTCTACTGATCTTGAAAAGATTTTAATTGAACGTGCTCAGAAGGAAAAGAATCTGGAACATATTCGACAACTGATTGTTGTATATTTGTTGCTTCGAGGAGGTAGTTGTTTTGAATATTGAATATTAGAGACCTCGGGGATATTATGGGACTCAAATGTCTAACAAAGAAGTAAACTAAACTCAAACATTCCTTAATAGTCTCTAGAATTCTTGGTACCTATCAGAGGTGGGTCGGAATCGGAAATCGGAAGAGCTGGAAATCGGAACTGGCTCAAAAGTCGGAAATCGGAAATCAAAATTTTTTTCGGAAATCGGAAGGAAAAAAACGTCGAAAAAAACCGATCCACCTCTGGTACCTATCTCGATCGGTTTGTCCTAATCCTATCCCTAATTCATAAATAACCCCAAAAGTAATTGTTTGGACTCTAATGTCTAATCAAAAATTACTTTAAAACCCCACCCAATATACTCTAAATTGCTTTTATATTCTCTTAACCTATATAAAATACAAATTATTATTTCTTCTCTCTTATTTTCTCCTTTCAATCTCCTCAACAATTTTGCTGTTTTTTATTCTTCTCCTTTTTTTCTCCTTGTTGTCAGCCGCCGTCACTCGTGCCAGCCTCTCCCAACACCAACGCGCGCGTCTGTTTTTGTTGTGTCCTCTTTTTCGCAGTGCATTCCCGCCTTTGAATCCCGGCTTTTTTGAAGAGAGAGGAGGGTTAGCTAGCTGTCTTTTACTACTTTTCTTTAAATTTCTTTTACCTTTTTTTATTGTTGCTGGTAGTATTTGTAGTTGTAGTTGTCGGTCATGGTCAATTCCTTTAATTTTAATATAAATATTCACAAAAATGACCAAAAAATGTTTTGTCTGATTTTTTAAATGAATCTCTTTCAAAATTTAAAAAAAAATATTTTTTAGACTTTTAAAAATACACTAGACTCTTATAACTCAAAATTAAATTGAATCTCTCCCTAATTTTCTAACATTTCTACCCTCCTTTTTTCTTAATTTTAATTCTAAATTTCGAATATTTCCAGTCATACTGGCTACTTTAAACGTCTCCCAATTCTTTCTCATTTCAATCAAAATCCAAACTCTGATAACCTAACATTTTCAGACTCAAATACTTCCTATTTTCAAGCTTTCTTCAAATTTCAGCCTCAAATATCCAAAATTCCTTTACTCCCCTTTCCCTTCTAATTCTCTAACCCGCGATAATCTTCTTCTTCTTCCCATCATTTTCCTCCCCAATTTTACACAAATATTTTTCCTCATGATATTTATTCTCTCCGTTACTCCCGTCACCACCACCGCAAAGAAGAAAAAAAAACAAGTGAAGGTCCTTCTCGTTTCTTCCTTTACTTTCCCCTTTTTCTCTACTTTAATGTCTAACTCTTATTGCCAGCCGGCAATTTCTTCTTTTAGTACTTTTTTTTGGAGGACCACGCGTTTAAGAAAAATGGTCACGGAGAAAAACTCTCTAAAAACTATTGAAAAGTCCCCCCAAAAATATTCAAACTTCCAAAAGATCACCAGTCCAGTAAAGTGGTGATCTTTTGGGTTATATTAAAATTAATTCAACTTTCTGCACTATTTTCTCTTTCTCTGCCTTTAGTGTTGAAAACTAACTTTTTGCTCTATTTAAAAAAATACCGCTCCTTCTCTCGTATTTTTCTTTCTTACATATTTGTAAGTAGTTATCAACAAGTAAATAAATAAAAAAATGTTAAATCTGTTGCATAAATTCCTCTCCCCCCTTTCTCTCCAGAAAATTTTAGAGGGGAGGATTTAATGTAAAAATGAGCTGTCCATGACCTGGATATTTTTAAAGAATAAAAATTAGGTGAAGGGCGTTTTTTCGGTTTTTTTCAATTTTTTGAAAAATTAGAGGAGAAGAGATTTTTGATGGTCCACCTTCTCTTTTTTTGTCCACTCCCCCCCTCCACACATTTCCTCCTACATTTCCTTCTTGCGCTGCTTTTGCCCTCTTTTTTAGAGAGAAACAAATAGCCGATGGTTTTGTTACTAAAATAGGTGTTTTCCTCATTTGTTTGTTACTAAATCTCTCAAATCTTTGAATTATTCTCTCTATTTTAAAAAATTAAAAATTATTTTTTAAATAAAAATTAAAAATTGTGGCTTTATTTTCCTTTGTTTTTTGTCTTCCCTGAGACTATAACTGTGATGAAATATTTTCACACCTTTTTCTTCTAGGTGCTCACAGTTGTATTCTTTGGGCGCACAATTACTTGGGAATGCCTTTTAAACAAATTCCGGAAACATTTTATTTTTTCCGGTAATTAATTCTAGTATATTATATTTTCCTTCCGGAATTTTTATATTTATATTTGTCGTCCGGAAAGTTGGTATACTATGTATAAAAGTAATAGAGAGAATAGGGTATATGTATTTTTCCGGAAATTTATATTCCCTCTCCGGAAAGTTAGAGAGTATTGTTTTATTTCCGGAAACTTTTTATTTTATTATTTCCGGAAAGTTAATTCTAGTTTATTATATTTTCCTTCCGGAATTAATATATTTATATTTGTCTTCCGGAAAGTTGGTTATATAAAAGTAATAGAGAAAATAATGTATATATTTTTCCGGAAATTTATATTCCTTTTCCGGAAAGTTAGAGAGGATTGTTTTATTTCCGGAAACCTTTAATATTGCCCCCGTCCAAAAATACTTCTATTTTTATTTTTAAAACTAAGAACTTGACGTACCGGAAAAACGGAAACAATTAACGACAACAGTAACTGATTTGGAAGATGCGGTACTGATACTTTCTTATTTAAATTTTAAATTATTTTTATAAAGTTCCCCGATTATCTAGAAGCAGAAATTGATTCAACCGACCCTTTAGTGCCTGGACACAGCGAATTATTTGGAAAAAGACTGCTTATAAAAAATTTTTTGTCCAAACCGCTTCCGCCCTCCCTAGCAAAATATTACCTTCCTTTGTCTCAATTTACTATTGAAGAGGAAGGACAACGAGAAAATGTTTGGTGGATTTATTCTTAGATTAAATTAAGTAAATTAATCAGGTTCCCGGTGTTGTGCCAGTTAGACGGCAACAACCAACAGTTCAAACAACAAATTTGTCAGGCTCTTCTCCTCGAAAAAAGTCACAACAGAAGCGAGTTTCCAACAACAAAGAAGCTTCCTCCTCCTTCTTGTTGAAGCCTGAAAGGGAAGGGGGCGGCTATGTTTCGGGAGTATTGCCTTTAATACGTCAAGTACATTTTGAACGGACAAACACTGTTTGGAATTTTGGGGAAATTTAAAAAAAATAAAATAAATTTAGATGAGTTCTCACGCAACTTTTGTAGTGGAAAATAACAGCCGTCGGCCTCTAATAGCGAATGATGGGTTTGAAAACGGTCTGGAAATAATTTTTACAAATTGTAAAAAAATAAATCAAAATTTCCAAAAATAGGAATGACTTACAAACTGGAGAACGGCACGGAATGGGAACACATTCGGGATTTTACGGGAGTCAAGTCCTTGAAAAAAAATCCCCGGCGCTGAGTTTTGGGTTCTAAACGACAAAAAGGAATACCGGGATTAGCCCTATATGATACCCGTCCCGTTCAACCTTTCCAAACAATTCCATTACGGAATCGCGGGAATGCTATTTTGGCGCAATCTAGTACAAAAACTTACTAACTTTCAAAGCTTGAATCTAAATTAATTTTTTCTTCCAGTAATTGCTTCCCTCAAAGGAAATGCTTTAATAGAGGAGCATTGCCAAAGAATAGTTCAACAAAATTTTCAACAACTTAAAATAGCTAATGGAAACGAGGATGTTGAAATTCTTCAAAATTCTTGCGAAATGTTAATTATTGAGGAAATCCACAATAATTTTGAAGAAGAAATTAATTTCCAATCAACCTCTACTGAAATTAATTTTTTGGATAAACAAATTCACCAACAAAATCGCCCCAACACAACAATAATAAAAAAGGAAATAACTAAAATGTTTAGCAGTAAATTGGGGGGAAGAACACAAAATAATCGAAAACAAGAGAAAAGACTTCAAAAGGAAGTTTTGGCTGAAAAAGTGGAAGATGCGAGTATTGGAGGGGGTGTTGATGGAGTTAAAAGTGAAGAAATGTAAATAGAAATATTTATTTTGAGTAATATAATTTGATAAATTTTAGAGATTATGAGGAAAAAGAATATACGGCTGCATTTGCGGCTCGACCCAAAATTAGAAGAACACCTCCAAAATTGCCAGATGATGAGGGGTTATTGGATGAAGAATGAAAAATTTTTTTATTTTTTTGTGATTGGTTTATATTAATGAAAATATAATTTAATTACTAAATTGTATTTTAATATAGGTATGTAAATTGAAAGGCTTTAACCTGTCAAAAATGGTATTAATAAATGCTGCATAAAATAAAAATAATTTAATCGAAAGTCAATGAAAAAAACCAATAATTTTTAAAAATCTTTTATTATCCAATAAATCAAATAAAATTTCATCCTCTAAAATTCTATTCTTTCATTTTTTGATAAGAATATGTATTTATAAAAAATCATTCCATTATTCAATTGTTAATTGCAAATCCACTTTTGGATTGAAAATATTGGCAATTTGATAATTTGTATTTTTTAAATTATTTACTTGATTAATTTTAATTTTTTATGCTCTCTCGTTTAATTTAAAATTTTGTGATTGAATAAAATTTAAAATAATGAAAGGCCCCCTTTTTCCTCAAATGTTGTTTATGCTAAAATTTGTATTTATTTTTAATTATTTGTAAATAATTAACTATTTCAAATTTTGTTTCAGATTTTAAGCAAAAAATGACTTCATTAACTTCTTTAAAATCTGTCAACATTTTTATTACTGGGGCAAACAGAGGAATTGGTATTGGGTTGGTAAAGGAAATCTTAAAACAAGTTAAAGGTGTAAATAATTTATTTGCGGGTTGTCGGAATCCAGAGGAAGCTAAAGTTTTTTTAAAATTAATTTTGAAAAAAAAAATTATAAAATAAAGGAACTTCAAACTTTATCCAGTCAAAACCCTTCTGTTAAAATTGTGAAAATTGATGTTTCTTCAGATGAAAGTATTCGGGTTGCGGCAGGTTAGAATATACATTTTTTTAATTTGGGTAATTTTGGTTTGCTATTTTGCTTTCTAATTCTCCATATTTTGGTCAAATCAATTTAAAAGATTAAGGGGGATGGAAACTATTAAGTAAAAATATTGGAATCTTCTCATTTTCAATTTTTCGAAGCCCTCACATTTTATCCTATATGTATATTTTAGTAAAATTCTATCATATGTCCCAGAGAACCTGTTCGGACAAACAATATGTCATTCGAAAGAGCCCATCGAGCTTATCATATCGTTTGTCCGAATTGGTTCCTGAGACGACAGTATTTTTTCCAATATTTTTGTGGGCGTGTTAAGTAAATTTAACCTTTTTTGATTGATTTAATGAAAAAAAAAGTATAAGGAAAAATTAAAGGAAAAATTGGAAAAAGGTGGAGGAAAGTCGTCCAAAATTACCTATAAAATTTTTTTATATAATTCTTTTTCAGAAAAAATTGGTACCCAAGTTAAAGACATTCATTTGTTAATAAACAATGCTGGGATTTTTGAAAAAGAGGTTTTCTAAATTAAATTTAAAGACCTTTAAATAATTAAATATTTTTTTAAAGAAAGGTTATTCTATACACCAACCAAATCGAGATATTTTCCAAAAACATTTTGATATTAATTCAACTGGGGCAGCTATAGTTACTTCGGTTTGGGATTTTATTTTGTTAAAATTCAAATAAAATTTCAGAATTTTTTGCCTCTCCTTTTGACTGCCGCCTCTTCTGGATTTTCCCCTTTAGTTGTCAATATTAGCTCTATTTTGGGGTGTATTTCTCGTATAGTTCCAATTTCTTCATTAGAGCACAACTCGGTTATTTACGGAATGAGCAAGGTTGTTTTTGTTAAATATTTTGGTAATTTGAGAGTTTCAACTACACTAAAGTCCGCTCCAAAAAAACCTAGACACCCCAAATTTTTCAATTAAGTCAATTCTTTGAAACGGACTTCACTACATTAACCCAATAAGAGATATGTGTGTAGGTTAGAAGTTTGGCCGGGAATTGTTCAATAATTCTTTTGGATGGCTATTTAGACGGGCCTACGAAAATTCTCAGAATTTTCGCCTTCGATCGGACAATAATCAATAGAAACGTTTACTTGACTAATCTTTAGCTAGACTTCTTTAGCCAAATCCTGTGATAACTATGGTTAACCGGGGACGGTGGGAAGTTTTAGTATTTATTTTCTGTAGCAAAAAATTTCCTTCTGAATTTAACTTGAAAAAGTTTTAAACCTGCCCAAAAATAGAGGAAATTTCTGCAATATTTCCTTAAATAAAAGTTTATAAAAATTTATTTTAGGCAGCCCTTAATTACTACACAAAAGCACTTTCTTTGGAGGAACCCAAACTAATAACAGTAGCTTTACATCCAGGCTGGGTCAAAACAGAAATGGGGGGAGATAATGCTCTTTTGTCTATTGAAGAAGCCTCTTCAGATATTATTAAACGAGTATGTCTTTTGAAGAAGGAAGATTCGGGAAAATTTATGGATTCGAAAATAGAATTGACGCCTTGAATTTTGTGGATGGTAAAACAAATTTAGAGAAAATTTTTAAAAAATTAATTCACTTAATTTAAAAATATATAGAATAAATATATATATTTTATTTATTTTGTACGATCATGAATAAATAAACCTAATCTACATTTTGTTAAAGAAAACATTTTTTTGGAAAATTTATTTGAATACTAAAAGTTAATTTAAAAAATGTTGATACAATTGAAAAATTATTCTCGCTCGTCACTTATATGTATTTCTTTCCTAAATGAGTTCTCAACGCCGCCAGCAAGGATTTTGAAAATTTTAAATCTAATCTAACGTTTCGTGTTAATATTTATTAAACCAAACGATTAAAAATATAAGTAAATCAGCGAGCCGAAAGCGAAAATTTTGGAGAATTTTCAGAAGACCGAGAAGCATTGAAGAGGCCAGCTCTGGGGTTGCGGTACGGGATTCCGCAAAATCGTGCTCGGGATCCCTCCCGCATGGACCTCTAAAAGGAACAAAAAAATTAGATTTTGGAGAAAAAAAGTGGGGGAAACGAAATTCAAAATTACCACATTTCTTTAAAATTGTTTAAAAGGTATCACGACTTTTGCGCCGAGAACATTTGCGCCGCGACTTTTGCGCCGCGACTTATGCGCCGCGACTTATGCGCCGAGCGACTTATGCGCCGCGACTTTTGCGCCGCCATAATTTAAAAAAATAATATCTACAGTCGGACCTAATTATAGTGTACTCCTTAAAAAATGGTATCCGGGAGCTGAAGGGATTTCAGGAAGTACAATATTTCGGGAAGTACAATAGCCCCCTCTAATAAACCGACCCCATAGGGGGCCATCTTCAAAGAACTTGACTTTTTCAAATCAGGATATTAGACTGCTACCCCTATTCATGCATGATTTTCTGCCAGAATAGGGTGCACTATAGTGTAGGGTTGTCGGGTCCAGAATATCCGGATCTGAAAAAAGCCGGATAGTCGAAAATTTTAGGTCGGATATCGGATCCGGATCTTGATATCCGAAGATCTCCAACTATCCTAACCTTCTATAGTGAGGTCCAGATGTAGTTTTTCATAATTATTAATGATAGTGGCGGCGCAAAAGTCGTCCGGCGCAAAAGTCGCGGCGCAAACGTCGCCCGGCGCAAAAGTCGCGGCGCAAAAGTCCCCCGGCGCAAAAGTCGCTCGGCGCATAAGTCGCGGCGCAAAAGTCGCGGCGCATAAGTCGCGGCGCAAATGTTCTCGGCGCAAAAGTCACGGAACCGTTTAAAAATACTTAAAAATAAATGGGGTTTAACCAGATAAATACAAAAATAATTTATAATCAAAAGAGCCTATGAACAACAAAAAATTTTTAAAATAATTATATTTCTCCAATAAATCAAAAATAATTTTATTTTCCTCATCTCAACTTCTACTCTTTGATTTTTCCGATTAGAACATTTGCCACTCCAACTCCTCTAATTCTTGGTTTTTCTCTAGTTGAAAATGAGAATTTCAGTTTTGGATAATAAATATTGGCAAGTTGGTAACGGGTACATTCACCTCCTCCATCCAACTGTTTAATTTCAACCTTCTCTGCTCTCTCACTTAATTTAAGATTTGTGGAACTACGAAAGGCTAATTCAATAAAAGACACTATTTTTGAACAGTCTTTGGATGTTGCTATATACTAAAAAATGTTTTAGGATTTATTTTTAATTTTTCCCGAAAACAACTTACTTCAACAATATTTTCATAAAGAAGTACTACGTTTATAGAATCCACCACATTTACAGAACAATTGAAAAATTCAAAACTAATTTCTTTAAAATTGTCTCCTCCATTCGTTAAAATTTCAAACAAAATATCCTTATATTTTTCTATAATGTCCTGATATAGACGAAGAGAAGTATGAAGATTTCCACTTGACAAATTATTTAAGATAAATTGAAGTGAATTTTGCATAGTGTGCTCCATAATTTTTATTTGACAGCAGTGAATATAAACACGTTTAGGAGTCTTTGCATTTCCAAATAATAATTGAAGCAGTTCTTGATTAAATACAAATTCGTTAATCTCCCCATAATCAAAAGAACAATCAAATACTAATTTATTCAAATAATAATAAACAATTTTTAAATCCTCTTTACTTTTGATAATTGTTGGCAGTTGTAGTAGAATATGGTGTGCATTTCGGAAAACTAAAAAAAATTTAAAGGAAAAGAAAATTAAATAAAGGAAGTTTGTATCCCTTTTGTATTATCGCTTAGTACTTTCCACGGTACCGCAAGCCCAAATGTACCGCAAAGCTATAACTTTGTTAAAAATTGTCAAATCCGGGACGCTCTGTTAAGTTCTCGAAACAGCTCTACAAGCCATACCAAGACGCCCCGAATTCTACAATTCTGAACAAAATTATAGCTCTCCAATACCTTGGCCTCCTCTCATTATTCTCTACTGCAGACTAAAGCGAACTCGATAAAATTTTATTAAGCAAGATCTGACCTTTAGTTACGCAAACAACAAGAGTTTTGCTTGGATCTTGCTTAGGTAGATACACAGAAATTGGTTTTTCAAGTCCATTTTTGAACTAAAAATGAAAGAAATTTTAAGAGGTATTTCAAATTACCTTCTCTTCAAGTTGCTCATTCAAAGTAAAGTCAAGAGGTCTGCCTTCCAATTTAATTAATTTATGAGGATGCTTGTATTGCTCGAGATATTGCTTAAAAATATTTAAAAATTAAATTAATTATGTAAAGCATGTAGCGCTATTTAATTCCTAAAGTTGAGCTTTAGGCGTGGTGTAATAGCTAACACATCAGTCCGGTCTAATGAAGTTGCTAGTCTACATCCAGACCAGGGCTGGGCTTATTTCGTACTTTCGCGTTTCGCATTCTCGCATTTTTTGGCGCGAAAAGTTTCGCATTTCGCTTTTTATTTTTTCATTACGCCCAGCCCTGATCCAGACGCCGAATAACCTTTAGCACTAGCTAAAGGAGAGAAATAGCTATAGCCCCCTAGCTTCTTTACTATCAAAAAATATTACAATATAAATTTGACATAATTTCTCCTTAGCAAGTTCTTCTTGAAAATAATTAATGAAATCGTGAAGACAAAAATTCGTCTGTTTGACTGAGCATAATTGTTCATAGTTGAGGAATTTAAAAACATCAAGTATTGCCTCTGCTGGTAAACAAAGCATTTTTTAGACGATAAAGCACTAAAAAAATAAGTTTAAAAATTATTTAAAAATCTGTACAGTTTGTTAGGTACTAAACTCCAAAGTCTTCATAATAACAAAAGAATTAACGAAATAAGAAGGTAACTAACAAACTGTGCTTAATCACGATAGAAATAATAAAATGAACAATAAGAATATAGTTAAAAAATACCGAATATGTTGTTGGAAACAAAACAGAATAACAGAAAAGTTGATAAAATGACACACTTAACTAACACAGAATAACATTATAGAGTGGCTTTTATACTAACTGGCTGGGTCAAGACAGAAATGGGGGGATATAATGCTCTTTTGTCTATTGAAGAAGCTTCTTCAGATATTATTAAACGGATATGTCTTTTGAGGAAGGAAGATTCAGGAAAATTTATGGATTCAAAAATGGACTTAACGCCCTGAATTTTTAGATATTTTAGCAATTTTAGAGAGAAAATTCTTTTAAAAATTAATTTAAAATTAATTTAAAATTTGGATCATAGTAGTCCGGCTAGTCTTATGTATCTTCCTCTATCAGAATACTCTTAATCCACTGAAATCTCTCTTAATCCATATCTGTGTTTGGATTGATATCTTGCGAATTTTAGATTAAGCGGAATTAGAAGAGATATCCGAAAATTTGGAAGGATATCGGGGATATCCAAGGATCTCGGAAGGCTTAATGTTCAAATCAGCGTTGCAGGAAAGCCTTGAGATATATTCTTTCCTTTTTTGCAACAGTTTTACGAGGACTTTATCCCCATACAGTATTTTCCCAGCCCTACATATAAATTAAAGTTGAGTACGAGCGAGTTCGAGTATACTCGACTCGATCGCTCGGGTTTTTTTCGTCTTTACTCGGGCTTGGAACTCGGAATCCTAATACACGGCACTACTCGAACTCGGCTTTTCCTCAATTACTCGGTACTCGACTTACTCTAATATAAATATTTAAAGAACGTAAGTATTCTAATATAAGCCCATCCGAGGAGACCCGCAGAAAAATATAAGCCCAGGGCTTCTATTAGAATATTCACGCTAACCTTTTAAAAAAATGTTAAATAAATTCTTTAAGAACAAAAATAATTTAATCGAAATGAAAAACAACCACAATAACAACATTAAATCTTAAATAAAACTTTGAATTTCGCCCTCTTCAATTTCCCCCTCTTTTTATTATTGTAATGTGATTACAAAAAGCTAATGCATCCTTCCATTCTTTAACACAAAATTCAAATTTCAAATTTGGATTGTAAATATTGGAAATCTCGTAATTAATATATATTGTATAGTCTAATTGGTTAATTTCCACATTTTCTGCTCTTTCAGTTAATTTAAAACTTGTGGAATTTGTATAGTTTAAAATAATTATAGGCACCATTTGTGAACAGTCATTAGATGTTGTTATATACTAAGAAATTTTGAAATTATCTTTTGACTTTTACCTTATACGTCCACAAAATGAGTGCCAGCCGAATTTGATCGGCTATAACTTTTTGAAGCTTGCTTGATCCAATACAAATGAATTTTATATCATTCGAAAGCCCCTCGGTAAGTTGCATATTTTTTCTAATAGGATAGATAAGATCTGATCAGTCATTAAAAAGTTATAACCCGATAAATGTAAAAGCCATCAAATAAATGGACTTATCGACTTGTAACTTTTTAATGGCTGATCATATCTGATCTATCCTATTAGAAAAAAAATACAGCTTATCGTGGGCTTTCGAGTGATATAAAATTAATTTGTATTGGATCAAGCCAAAAAAGATATAGCCGATCAAATTCGTCTGGCTCTCAGTTTGCGGTCCGGAAAAGACCGAAATTATTTTTGACTTTTCTTTAACTTACATCAAGTATAAAATCATAAACCGTAATTAACTTTGAATTACAAAAATAAATTTGGGGGAATTTATCCCCTTCATTCACTGACATAAAAAATAAAATCTCCAAATCTTCTTCTGTAATATCAACACTATCTAAATTGATGCTAAAAGATTTGGAAATTGATAAATGCTCAAAATAAAATTCCAAATGAAAAGTGTCGTCGTTAGCCCAAAAACAAGCTTCTTCAATGTTAAATTTGAGGGGAATTGTTTTGTTGTTTTCAAATAAAATATTAATCATTTCTGGATTAAATACTCCTTTATCAAAATAAGCACATTCAAAAGCACAATTAAATAAGTGTTCTAACCAGCAACGGACAATAATCATTTCTTCAATATTTTTGGGAATGTTTGGCAATTTTAAAACATAATGGGGTTCTCTGTCCTTTTCAATACTAACGAGGAAATCTCTGTAAGGTCCATAATTATTTAAAAATAAGGGAATTTCATTTATCGCTGCTTGCCACTGAAAAATGTGATTTGTTTAATCAAAAGGTTTATTTGGTACTTTTTGGTTATCTCCCTCCACCCCCTTCCCTCAATTTCATTTCCTTCTTTTTCTTATATTCAGGTTCGAAGCTAAAGAGGGGAAAAGTTTTTAAATGAATTTGTAAGAAAATAACAGAAATTTGGGCTTCAAAATGATCATGATAAAGCTCCTATAGTTAGAAGCTATAGGAGCTCTATCACTTAGCTACCTGGGCATCGACTAATACTTTCTCTTTTTCTTAAAGATCGTTTAACCTCCCCTAAGCGTTTTAAATACTCTAGGTATTTAAAACGTCATCAATTCTTACAATAAATTTTATTTGTTTTTATTGCTTATGCTTAACCATTGCATAAATCTTTTTGCCCCTATTTTGAAAGAAGAACAAGGAAAGAAAAATGGGAGAGGGAGGGGGCTAGTTAACCCAAAAAGTACCAATTAGGGGTAATTTAACCTTCTCCACAAGTTGCTCATTTAAATTAAATTCAAAAACTCCAGAAGCAGGTTCAATAATTTTATATGAATGAAGAAAACCAACATCAAACAAAAATTAATTTAAATTACTTTAAAATTATTATTTAAATATTTACTATTTGAAGTTTTTTAAATTTCATTCGAAAGCACAATTTCCCCTCATATTTATTAATTAAATTGTAAAAATAAGAATTAATTTGTTTAATAGAAAATAATTGTTCGAAATTAAAACATTTTAAAATGTCTAGTTGAACTTCAATTGGGAATGAAAACATTTTAATAATTTTATCTAAAATTATTTTGTGGAAAATGAAAGAAAATTAAAATGAGGGGGGAGTAAATTGGGAAAATTAGACTGAAAATAATTAAAATTTTAGCTACATTGGAGGCCTTAAGGCCTGTATGGACATTTTTGTGTTCATCAAATTAAATGGAGTTAAAAAAACTTTTCTATTTACAAAAAAAATTAGTCAGTGTTTGACAAATAAAATAAAATAATCAACAAAATAAATAGTTATCATTGGATTAGTCAATTAAATTATTCCCCAAATTAAAAGAAAGGCTCTCTTCTTAAATATTTAACAAATATAAATGAAGGGAGAGAGCCAATTCTCTGTGGGAAATTAAAATAAAGTCGGTTTCTGGTCTTTTATTAGGCGCTGAAAATGAGTTTTTTCAACTAATATTCAATAAAAAATTAGTCTTCGATTCGATTAAACATTTCTCAGAAATAAAACTTGATATTTTTAAATTCCTCAATTATCAACAATTATCTTCAATTAAACAAACAAATTTATATTTTTATGATTTTATTAATAATTTTGAAGGAGGTTGTTCAGAAGCACGTCACTTATACTGTTCCATAAATGTCTTGTGAACATTCTCAAAAGTCCATTCCGACTCTATATTAACGTATCTCAACACTGTGTTGCTATGACTAAACTTCACTGAATTATAGTGACTACACAATACTTGGGACAAAAAATTGTATCATATAGTGGGGTTATCCTAAATTGGAAGTAACGGCTTAGGGCCTAGATAGCTCTCTCCTCCTATCAAATGCCCAAATAAATTTTAAAATCTAAAATTGCATCTATTTTTGGCTATTTTTAAAATGAAGAACAGTGTTTGATGTATTTTAGATGTAAAAAATTTGGTAATTATTTAACATAGTTTCGAGGCAGGCAATCAAAAACAAAATGCCTGAATTGAAGGTAGAGTGAGTGTAACCTTTATTAATTGCCTTCCCTCAAATAATTACCCAACTTCCATTAATTACCCCCTCCAGCGATGATTAAAATAATAAGCAACCCCCAACAAATGCCCTAAAACACGTTCAAATTTCAAACCTCGTATAATTACCTTCCCTCAAATAATTACTCCCTCCAGCGGAAAGTTGATACAATAATTACCCAGGGTAGTTATCAAAGGATATGCGATAGTTGTCTTTTTACAAGATGAAGTTAAAATTAAATTAAAATTTTAGCATATAATAACATCTGAGGACTGTTCAAAAATGGTGCCTGATATTGTTCTTGATTTTTCTGATTCTCCAAATTTTAAATTAAATGAAAGGGCAAAAAAAATAGTAAATTATCAAGTATAAAATACACAAATTATCAATGATAATTAAATAATTTTAAAGATAAATTGATTTTCAAAATTTGACTTTTTTTCATTTATACAAAAAACCGCTAGTACATAGTTGTCGATTACCTACTTATCTTCTTGTAAATCTGTTTATTTTTAAAATTTCTTTGGTTTGGATCTCCATCTTTTGAAACAAAAAACTTTTTTTTCTTTAATTTGATTTAAATATTTAAAAATTTGTTGTTTTTCATTCATAATGCAAAAATACAACTAATCTGAAGACAAAAATTGAGGAGTTCTATCTCCTTGACCTTTAAAAATTTTCAAAATTTTTGCCTGTGGAAAGTTCCAGTAACCAAACCCATCATCTCCCCCTGTATAAATACATATAAGAGACATAATACTCTCATTTAGTTTCTGCCTCATTTTCCATAATAAAACTGCAATTTTTCTGGTTCTAAATAGTAAAGTTTACTACATTTTGTATTTCTAGGTTACATACCAATGTTTTCTCTACCACTTGAAGTTCAGCTTGATATATTAAAATGTCTTAATTTCAACCAAATATTTTCTGTTAAACAAACCAATTTTTATTTTTTCAATTTAATTAATAAATATGAGGGAGACTTGTGCTTTCGAATAAAATTCAGCGAACTTTTACTAGTAAATATTTTTATTTTTTTTAATTTAAATTAATTTTAGATTGATTATGACCATCTTCTATGGTTACCTTCATATAAATTTATTGAACCTAAATCTGGAATTTTTGAATTTACTTTAAATAGACAACTTAAAAAGAAGGTTAAATTAATTTTTAATTAAATTTTACTTTTATTTTTTTCAGTGGAAGAGAGCAATATCTAAATCAATTCCGTTGTATGAATATGACATAAACTTCATTTTATGTATAAAGACAGGTATAAAAATACTTGCATATTGCTTTAATTTTAGTCAATCTATGTGGAAATTAATCCCTAATTAGCGCGAGGGTAATAGTGTCGTTTCCCAGCCCCATTTTTTCCTCCCAATTTTCTACCCTATGTTTGTACGGAATGGTCAAATTTTCCCCTTTCTTTCATCAAATTTGCCTTTCCATATTTTGCCTAAAAACAATCAAAAAGATTAATTTTTTATTCATTTCTTTCACAAGGATAAAAAAGTGATTCATGATGCCAAAAATTATAAAAAACATTTTCAATATTGCCAAATCGTTTTCGCCACAGAAATTCCGGGAGATAACTTTTATAGGTCCTTTTTTGTGGTCAGATGCGTACCTTCAAAGAAGGTACCACATAAATAACCTTAGAGTAAAGATTTTTTAAAAAAAACTTGAAAAAAAGAACCTTGTCTTGCTCTACAATTTCTGGTTGTACACCGCCAACATCCATATCTTTCGTCTTTCTTAACACTTATTGTTGTTCGACCCCCACATTTGTAGCAAGTTCTCTTTCCATGAAGAAGTCCAAGCTTCTCAAGCCATGCATCGAAATCATTATCACTCAAACGTAATTTTTCATATAAATCAATAGGTTTGAAATTCTTTAGTTCTTCCATTTTTATTAATTGGGAAAATGATTCTTCTCATTACTCTAATACTTTTTTAAATATCACAAATTAATCTTTTTGATTGTTTTTAGGCAAAATATGGAAAGGCAAATTTGATGAAAGAAAGGGGAAAATTTGACCATTCCGTACAAACATAGGGTAGAAAATTGGGAGGAAAAAATGGGGCTGGGAAACGACACTATTACCGCGCGAAGATTATCTCATCTGATTCATGCAATTTTTCAACTAATTTTTCTATTTAGTTGACACAAAACCTCATCATGTTCTAAAATTGCCCAACATTCCAAAAAATATTGAAGAAATGATTATTATTCGTTGCTGGCTTGAACAATTATTTAAATGTGCTTTTGAATATGCTCATTTTGATGAATGTTTATTTAATCAGGAAATGCTCAATATATTATTTTATAACGACAAAACTCTTAAATTTAACATTAACCGCCCATATATTTCTTCTAATAATGAAATTTGTGAAAATAAGCTGGACATCATTTTAGACCATTTAATAATTTTCGAATTTCTTGTGATTGATTTTACACATGTTAAGATTGTTGGGCAATATATGGATACTTTATTTAATATTTTAATAAATAGAGGCGATAAATTAAATCAAGTTCGGCTTGTGTTAGGTCCATATTGGTCGTCACAACTTAATAATTTTTTAGTTGAAGTAAGTTATCCCGGTTTTTTAAATTAAATTTAAATTTAAGTATATAACAACATCTAAAGACTGTTCAAAAATGGTGCCTGATATTCGCCTAAAATGTCTTGATAAACCAAATTTAAAATTAAGTGAAAGAGCAAAAGAAGTTAAAAATTCAAATGATCTAAAATCTACAAGTTATCTAATTACAAATATTCACAATCCAAAAACAAAATTTTATTTTAATACTTCAGAACCCAAAGATAATTCGAGTAATTATACTTTAAGAATAATAAAAGAGTAAAATTTAATGGTTCTCGGACAATGAAATTAAAGAAAGATTGTTATCATTTATTTTTTTGTTGCGTTAAACAATTTTTGAAAAACTTTATAAAAATTAATTCTAATTATTTTTAACGGCTATTATTAATACACATTTAATTTAGTTCAGTATTTAGTACATTAATTTCAAAAAATTTATTCTCTTTTCCAAATCTGTCGGTTAATAGCCGGTCGCCAACTATATAGACTAGTTTTAATGTGTAAAAGTCGGAATTCGTAAAATAATCTTAGAAAAACTGCGTTTATACCGGGGATGTCAAGGGTTGAGAAAAAAAATCACTCAAAATTTTCTTTGGATTAAGTAACAAAAGAAGTCCGGGTTAGTATAAAAGCGCCTTAATAATTTATACATCAACCAACACTACAACTCACTGCACTTCGTGACGACAACGCTGTGCTCAATTCAACTAAAGGCCGCTTTTGGTTTGTCTCTGTGCTGCTCACTCTTGCTTTGGCGTCTCAGTACAATGGCCGAGAAACGAGGATGTATCATACAAGGGTTGTTTTCTAAACTAACTTTTTCTTCTCTTTCAGCTAAGAAGTACATTCATGAGCATGAGGATACCATCGAGATCCAAGACTCGGACATGGGACTGACGTTCTTCAGTGGGAGCTCGCCGCCGCGGATACAGAAGATCGACATCTTCTCCTACTTCTTTGGATGGTTGTTCCCTGGAGACTGGATCTTGCAGATTGACAACCGTGTAAGCTTCTGCAATTATTAGGGTAATTACTCAGTTTAAACGTCAAATTTTCTGGCCATAAACTCGGCAGAAGACTTCACGGCAGCAACCCAATATTCTGGCGCTGAACCCAAACCCTTGTTCATCCGTTTCCGCAGGGACGACTACTTCAGAATGATCAACCTCAAGGTCACACAAATCAGGCGAAACCCGAGCCACAATTTCATCCAGCTGCAGATCAGATGGCGAGAAGATCTTCCAATTGGGATAACTGTGGAGAAGAAGGTAATTGAGTTATGAGGGCTTGCCATTGATAATAGCTTTCAATTCCAGGGATCTAGTATCATCGTCACGAACATTGAGCCAAGCAGTGTAGCTGCGCACCGAGCCATTTCCAGTTGACGATACGGGAAAGAAACTGGTTGCAACACCGAGTCGGGATGGTGGGACGCGCACTGAAGAACCGGTGGAGACGGCCGAGGAGGAACCTGCCACAGAGGCTCCTGGAAAGGATATCAGACAAATGAAATAGAGAAAGCTGGATTCGAACATTTTAAAGTTAACCATAGGTAACTGTTGTGTATGGGCGTCAGCCCTTAAAGTGTTTAGTATAAAAGCCCAGCCAATAGTTAGTTCTCGGTCTCAGTTTTAGTTCTTCTTCCTACCCCAACCTTCGCCTGCTTTGTATTTCTTTGTGCAATAAACGTTTCTGTTAGCTTCCTCTACGTAACCGGGGTCGTAACAGATTTGGCGCGGTCGCAAACCAGTATCGTCTACTTCGGAAAAGAAAAGGGTACTCTTGTGTTATCTCCCCCCATTTTTTATGCCCCCCTTTTTCTTCTCTTTCCTTCCTTTCTCATTGCCGCTTAAAATTAAAAAATGGTCAAAGGCAAATAATGGTCAAAGGCAATCACTAAATTTATTTAAAAAGACATTCAATCTGAGAAAGGAGTCATTTTTGAATTTTTATTAAATTTGTTTTCGAAAAATGAATATCTTCAAACTTCCTCAAAATGAAGCACTTCACGGTTAATCACCGCTACAACTTTGTTGACCCAAAAACTGCAGCTAACACGCAAAAAATCGAACGTCTTTGGGGATCTGCGAAATGGAGGAATAAAAAACATCGGGGAACATCGCGGCATCACTTGGAAAGTTACTTGGCAGAATTCATGTGTAGACAAGAAGCTAAAGGGGAAAATTTTTTTGAATGGATTTGTAAGAAAATTGCGGAATTTTGGCCTCCAGAATAATGTTTATTTGTCATTTTTTTGTTTTTATAAATTTATTGCCTTTGACCATTATTTGCCTTTGACCATTTTTTAATTTTAAGCGGCAATGAGAAAGGAAGGAAAGAGAAGAAAAAGGGGGGCATAAAAAATGGGGGGAGATAACACAAGAGTACCAAGAAAAGTTCGGCAACAGCTACAAAAAAAGTGCGGCAACAGCTACAGAAAAAAATGGCCCTGATAAGTAAAGTGAAAACATGGTGGGAAAACCATGAGTGTAATGTAAAGAACAGTGTTGATATTCTCCATGTGAGTATGAGTGTGAAACCTAAATGGTTAACAAAAAAAGTGTTAGTGAATGGAAACGAAGTGGAATTCATTTTAGATTCAGGCGCTCAAATCAGTTGTATAAGTGAAGTGACATGGAAGAATATTGGTAGCCCAAAGCTCACTGGAGTGCCCTGCAAGGGTAGAAGTTTCACAGGAAACGAGTTTAGTATGTTGGGCAGTTTTATGGCGAGTGTCGAAGTAGACGATAGTAAACAAGTATTGGTGACACATGTCACAAGTGAAAAATTGAATTTGTTTGGCCTACCATGGATAATTGAAGTTGAGAATAAATTGGGATATCCAATAGTGTCTAGTATTAGAAAGAGTGAAGAACCGATTAAAGTGTTAGAAATTGAAAAGGCACAAAGTAAAATTAGTGAAATAGTAAACAAATTGTCAGTGCAGTTTAAGAAAGTGTTTGAGCCAGGCTTAGGCCATTGTACGAAAATGAAGGCTCATTTGTATATGAAGCCAGGAGTGAGTCCAGTATTTGTACGGGCTAGACCAGTACCTATTGGCGTTAAAGACGCAATTGAAAAAGAGTTAAACAGATTGAGTGAAATTGGAGCTATTAAGCCAATTGAATTTGCTAACTGGGCAGCGCCCATTTTAGCTATTAAAAAGGCAAATGGCAAAACAAGAGTGTGTATGGATTATTCAACCGGGTTGAACAATGCAATTGAATTGGATAGGCATCCTTTGCCAAAGCCTAGTGAAATATGGGCTGAGATCCATGGAAGTAAAGTGTTTTCGCAATTGGATCTCAGAGATGCCTATTTACAAATTGAGTTAGACGAGCAATCTAAAAAAGTGGCGTGTATTAATACACACAAAGGATTGTTTGAAGTGCAAAGATTGCCGTTTGGAGTGAAATCAGCACCAGGAATATTTCAAAGATTAATGGATAAATTGATAAGTGGAATTCCTGGAGTGTTTGCATATTTAGATGATTTAATAATAGTGTCTAAAAATATTGAAGATCATAAAGTGCAATTGTTTGAGATATTTGATCGAATTGAAAAGTGGGGATTAAAAATCCAGTTAGAAATGTGTAATTTCTTTAAAGAAAAATTGAAGTTCTTAGGCCATATTGTATCCAAAAGTGGAATTGAGCCCGACCCTGAAAAGAAAAAGAAAATTAGTGAATTGACACGTCCAAGAGATGTTAAAGAATTGAAATCTTTTATGGGTACAATTAATTATTATGGGCGGTTTGTTAGTGAAATGCATAAATATAGAGGGCCATTGGATAAATTGCTTAAAAAAGAAGTGAAGTGGGAGTGGGGCCAAGATCAGGAACAGGCCTTCCAAGGTGTAAAAAAAGTGCTAAATTCTGACTTAATGCTAACGCATTTCGATCCAGATTTAGAAATAGTAGTGACAGCTGATGCATCGAATTATGGAGTGGGTGCAGTGATATCACATAAATTCCCAAATGGAAAAGAAAAAGTGATTGAATATGCGAGTAAGTCATTGAATGATGCAGAGAAGAATTATAGTCAAATTGAAAAAGAAGGCCTAGCATTAGTGTTTGCAGTGCAAAAGTTTCATAAAATGCTATTCGGCCGAAAGTTCATATTGAGAACGGATCATAAACCGTTATTGGCCATCTTTGGCAAAAATAAAGGAATCAAAGTGTTCTCTGCATCGAGATTACAAAGATGGGCATTATTATTGACAAATTACGATTTTAAAATCGAATTTGTAAGTACAAATCAGATGGGTATGGCTGATACATTGTCAAGATTGATAAGTGAAAAAAGTGAAGTAGAAGATAAAGTGATTGCATTAGTGGCAGAAAGTGAAAATTGTAGTAATGAAGATTGTTGTGAGGAGAACTCATTGTTAGTGGAAGAGTCAGTTAAATATGTATTAAACATAATGTTGGATGAAGTGCCAGTGAATGCCGAACAAGTGAAAAGTGAGACAGAAAATGATAGTGAATTAAAAATGATTAAACAATTTATTAGAAATGGGTGGCCAAAAGTAGTGAGTGATCCGACATTAAGTATTTGGTCGAACAGAAGACAAGAATTGGAAGTGATTGATGAGTGTATTATGTGTAGTGGAAAAATAGTGATCCCAAAAACTTTGAGGAAAAGTGTATTGAAAGTATTACATGAAACACATCCGGGAAGTGCAAAAATGAAAGGAGTCGCCCGGGAGTATATGTATTGGCCAAACATTGGTAGAGATATTGAAGATTGGGTCGCAAATTGTGGAATGTGCCAATCAGCGGCAAAAAGACCAATTAAAAGTGAATTGCGACCATGGCCAATTACAAACAGAAATTGGGAAAGAGTGCATATTGATTTTGCTGGGCCGTGTAAAGACGGAAAAGTATATTTTATTGTAATTGATGCGCACTCAAAGTGGCCTGAAGTGTTTGAAAACATGACAACCTCAGCAAAAGACGTTATAAAGTGTTTTGAGTGGTTGGGAACCCATTACGGGTACCCAGAAACAATAGTGTCTGATAATGGAAGTCCATTCCGTTCAAATGAGTTTAAAGTGTATTGTCAAAATAAGGGGATTAGTCAAGTATTTAGTGCCCCATATCATCCACAATCCAATGGGCAAGTGGAAAGATTTGTGGATTATTTTAAAAGAATGATGACAAAAAATTGTAATAAGAAGAATTGGCTCAGTGAAGTGTTATTGTTTTATAGAGCCAGTCCTCATGAATCATTGGAAGGGAAATCTCCTAGTGAAGTGTTTCTTGGAAGAAAATTGCGATTGAATTTAGCGAGGTTAATACCAAAAAAAGTGTTCTTCCAAGAAAATAAAAATAAAACACCTCAACAAGTGAAAATGAAAAGTTGGTTTGATAAACACCATGGAGTAAAAAACCGAAAAATCGGTAAGTTAGTGTATTTCTTAAATTACCGAAAAGATGGTAAAATTAATTGGTTGAATGGTGAAGTGGAAAGTAAAAGGGGGGTTATCTATAAGATATACTCGCCAGTGTTAAATGCCGTAGTAACTCGGCACGAAAATCAAATTAGAAATAGAAGTTTAAGTGAAGATTGTAATAATTTGTGGAAAAGTGAAAGTGTAAGTGATAGTGGATTAAAAAGAGTTGATAAACCACATAAATATGGTTTGAGAGAAAGTATTAGACAGCCTCAAAAATTAGTGCTGACTAAGGAAAGTGTAAAAAAGTATGCTGAAGAGGCTATAAATTATCCAGTGAAATTAGTGAGACAAGTGGGAACAAGCCAAAGATGAAAGATGTCGAAGATGATAATAATATGGAGATGTAGATGAGCCACATATATAAAATTTTGTGATAATATTATTGTTGTATTTTTATGTTTTTGTAATGTTGTATGTATTTTTGTTCCCATTGTCCTTATTCCCCCAAAATTATTGTATGTATTTTTTGTTTGTTGTTTGGCTGGAAAGTGTTAGTATATTGTAAAGCTTCGGCTTTAAGTGAAGCCGAACCTTTTTTTCAAGGGGGGAGGTGTTGTGTATGGGCGTCAGCCCTTAAAGTGTTTAGTATAAAAGCCCAGCCAATAGTTAGTTCTCGGTCTCAGTTTTAGTTCTTCTTCCTACCCCAACCTTCGCCTGCTTTGTATTTCTTTGTGCAATAAACGTTTCTGTTAGCTTCCTCTACGTAACCGGGGTCGTAACAGTAACCAAAGAATGAGAAATAAATTTAATAGTTTAAGATATCATTTTATTGATCCCAAAACCAAAGCACACACCCAGACTGTTGAAAGAATGTGGGGTAGTGCAAAATGGCGAAATAAGAAACATAGAGGGACGGCACGCCATCATTTAGAAAGTTATTTTGCCGAGTTCATGTGGAGAAAGATGATTGGCGATAGTGATGCATTCGAAGAATTGATGATTGCTTGGGGGAAATATTGGGAATTGGAATGATTTTTTATATTTTTCTTTTTACATTTTTCTTTTATACATATTTTTCTTTCTTCATTTTCCTTTATATATTTTTCTGACCATTTTTTACGAATTAAATAGTCCGTATAAAAAGTCCGCAAGAACTGGTTTGGGATAACTCACAAGTACCCATATTTTCCTTTGTTGTTATCTTGGATTTATTTATATGTTGTTGTATATTTCCTAAATTTCCTTGTGTGTAATATGTACATATGTCTCATAATATATTCTATTAGATTTATTGTAAATTTGTTTTGTATGTAAATGTGTTTTTCGAATAAATTTTTTGTAAAATATTGCGAATATATGGGAGGGGTGTGGCAGAACCGAAAAGTACCGCAAAACATGTTTAAATAAATTAAAAAATATTGAAATTTATTTTACAAAACAAAAAAACAATTTAACCGAAAAAATGAGAGAACATCGTTTTAATTTTCGAAAACCATTAAATTCTCTTTTTTATTATTCTTAAAGTATAAATTAGAGTTCGAACCCGGGCCGGGCCCGGACCGGTTTTTTCCGGGCCCGGTGGCCCGGAACCGGGTATTTTTGAGAAAATCCGGTTTTTCCGGGCTAACCGGTTTTTCCGGTTTTATCCGGAAAAACCGGCCCGGGTGCGATTTCGAGTAAAAAAAACCGGGTCCCGGGCCCGGTAATTTTTTGCCGGGCCCGGAGAGTCGCCTCCGGCGGTGAAAAAGGAAGAAATCTGGCCTCTTGGCCTTTCGAAATTCTCAAAATTTTCGCCTGCGGCGCTGAAAAAAGAAGATTTTGCTCCTTGGCCTTCCAATATTCACAAAATTTTCGCCTGCGGCGCTAGAAAAAGAAGAAATCTAGCTCCTTGTCCACACAAATTCTCAAAATTTTCGCCTCCGGCGGTAAAAAAGAAAGAAATCTGGCTTGTTGAATTTTCAAAATTCTCAAAATTTTCGCCTGCGGCGCTTGAAAAGAAGAAAAGGGATTTTTATTGATATCGGAGGATTAACTCAAATTCTCTCGATATCCTTATTAAGCACCCACCATCAGTGGATTTAAGTGAAAAGTCGGATTTGAAGAATAAATCGGAGGATTAAGGGGGATATTATTATATTTGGAATTACTATGAATCCCTTCAAATTCATATTCTTCTATATCTCTCCAATCACTGATATCACATGGAGGATTCCCAAATACTTCAAATCCACTTATTTTACCAGACTATAAATTATTCAAAAATTGCGGATTGCGGACTGCGGATTTTAAAATTAAGATTGCGGATTGCGGCTGCGGAAATTTTTTTTTCACTTGCGGACACCCCTGCTATATATCCTTTAGCGCATCTATCCTTTGATTCATCTATCCTTTAATTGATCCTTTGTATGTTTTCCGATTTTTTGTATGTGTGATAATTTTTTTATGTTTTTAATAAATTTAGAAAAAACCGGGTCCGGGCCCGGGTCTGAAAAAATCCGGTTTTTCCGGGCTAACCGGTTTTTCCGGTTTTATCCGGAAAAACCGGTCCGGGTGCGATTTTGAGGAAAAAAACCGGGTCCCGGGCCCGGCATTTTGAAAAGTTCGAACTCTAGTATAAATACTAGAGTTATCCTTGGGTTCTGCAGTATAAAAATAAAATCTCAATTTTGGATTGTAAATGTTGAACATTTGATAACAAGTAGATTTTAAATCATAAATTTGTTTAATTTCTGTTGCTTTTTCACTTATACAACTTAAATTTAAATTTCTTTTAGTAAGATATTTCATTTTTGAACAGTCTCTAGATGTTGTTATATACTTAAATTTAATTTTAATTAAAAAAGCTTAGATACCGTATTTACTCGATTAATTTCCCACCCTCGATTAATTCCCCATGCCAGGGACGAGTTGAAAAAATAATTCCTCCGGGGAATTAATCGAGTAAATACGGTAGCTCTTACTTCAACAATAAGATCATAAAGATGAGGCACTCCATGTTTTAATACAAAACAAATTTGATGTAATATATCCCCTTTATTTATCAAAATATTAAATAAAATATCTGTATATTGCTCTATAATGTCAACATGTGTAAAATCTATTACAAGAAATTTGAAAATGTCTAAACAATTTAGAATGATGTCCAGCTTATTTTCAATTATATCATCGCTAGAAGATATATATGGGCGTTTAATGTTAAATTTAAGAGTTTTGTCGTTATCAAATAATATATTGAGCATTTCCGGATTAAATAAACATTTATCAAAATGGGCATATTCAAAAGCACATTTAAATAATCGTTCTAACCAGCAATGAATAATAATCATTTCTTCAATATTTTTTGGATAGTTTGGCAATTTCAAAATATTATGAGGTCTTCTGTCAACTAAATAGGAAAGTTTGAAGATTTTTTGGGACAATTGAGATAGAAATCAATCTTAATTAAGGGTACTTGTGGAAACTATTTGCGGACTTTTTTTGCGGACACAATTGTACGGAATATTTCTAAACCTGTCTTTATGCATAAAATGAAGTTTCTGTCATATTCATACAACGGACTTGATCTAGATATGGCTCTCTTCCACTGAAAAAAATAAAAGTAAAATTTAATTAAAAATTAATTTAACCTTCTTTTTAAGTTGTCTATTTAAAGTAAATTCAAAAACTCCAGATTTAGGTTCAATAAATTTATATGAAATTAAACTTCGAAGAGAGTCATATTCAATTTAAAATTAATTTAAATTTAAAAAAAAGTTTAGTTGATAATTATTTACTAGTAAAAGTTCGCTAAATTTTATTCGAAAGCACAATTGTCCCCCATATTTATTAATTAAATTGAGGAGGTAATAATTAGTTTGTTTAACAGAAAATAATTGGTTAAAATTTAAACATTTTAATACATCAAGTTGAACTTCAGTTGGTAGAGATAACATTTTAATTATCAAAAAATATCTAGAATGATTCAATATAGGTATGTACTATGTATATTCTGTCTAGAAAAAGTTAATCAGTGTTTAACAAAAAAAACTGTGTTGCTGACTAAGAAAATTAATCAGTAAATTAGTCAGCATTGGGTCAGTCAATTAAATTAGTCACCAAATTAAAAGAAAGGCTCTCTTCTTAAATATTTAACAAATATCAATATAGGAAAGGGAACAGGCCAACTGTCTGTCAAAAAGTCGGTCTCCGATCTTTTATTAGGCAATAAAATGTGCTTACTTATTATTTCCTACCTAGTAAATTAATAATTATCAAATAATATTTAATAAAAAGAAACAAAAAAAAATTCGTCATCTTATATTCACATTTCTTCCTTCTCAACTGGTAAAAGACTTGAATACAGCGCTCACTCAGCAGATCTAAACAAAGCAAACTTGTTTGACCCTGCTTGTCCAGAAGCATATCACTTACACTTTTCCTTAAATGTCTTGTGAACACTCAAAAGTTTATTCCGGCACTACATTAATGTATCTCAACACTTCTCGTCAAAGGTTAGTTTCGTCAGTAAGACAGTTCGTCTTGCAAACTTTTCCCTAATATCTCCATTTCCTTGGTTGCGGGGCGACTCGACCAAAACACGGTCCAGAGAAAAAATCTGTATTTTCACATTTCTAAAAAATATAGAATTTAGTGGATTCTAGACCAAGTTGCTTACAGGGATATCGAGGGATTTGGGTGGGTTAAAAGCGATATCAGGGTATGCGGAGATTAAACGGAATATGTAGGGATGTGGGCTTGATGTCGAGGGATCAAGAGGGCTTTAAGGGGATATCGGTGAATTTCGAGATATTGAAGGATAATTCCGTGATTTGTTAAGACCGTGACATGTCCGATTGTGACTTGTCTTTTCCGTGAGTTAGCCTGATACGATTTTCATTTGGCATTGAATTAGAGTATTACAAATTATTCAAAGAGAATTAGAGAAATATGGAAAAGTCTGGAAGAGCTTCGACAAATTTTTGGAAAATAAAAATACCTATATGTTTATCAAAAAACCAAATTAAACACAATATGCATAAAACAAATTTGCCTAATATTTTTAAAAACCACCCAGAAATCAATTTTTGGATTATAAACTGACAAGGAATTCACTGAGAATAATTAATTTCGAAAATATCAAGGAAAAAAATCTGGGCGGATTTTATCAATTACCAAAAAATAATAAAATAAATTATTGAATAAATTTAACAATAAATTTGTTTAATTATTAATTCTTCCAATTCTTCTTTATATAAAATGGAGTATTTAATTTTTGGATTGAATTTGTTGGAAAGTCGGTATTTTGTAATTAAATAATCGTCGTCATCATTATCATCCTCAATTTTTTCAGCTCTCTCATTTAAACTAGTAAGATTAATACGCTGACCATTCAATTCAATTGTAGCCACCATTTTTGAGCTTTTTGTGGACGTTTCTATATGCTAAAATTAGAAAAAAAATTAGAAAATTGTTAAATAAAAAAATATGATTTGGGTCCTTCAAAAATATTCTTTTAAAAATTTTAGCAGTCAAAAATTTAGAATATTTTAATATGGATAGTTTGTAAAATAAGTAGGGTTGCACCCCGAACGCTCTCCTTAAAAATGGCATTTTGTGGGGTGTTACCCCTAAACTTTTTCGGGGTTTTCGAGGGACGGGTCGGCTTGAAAAAAAAATTTGAAAAATCTTTCGGGAACGGGGGCGGGGTGCAACTCCAAAAATAAGTAAATCTGTCTAAACTCTTTTATGGAGAAAAACTTACATTTATAATAATATCAAAAAGTGTTTGCAAATTATTTGAATTTAAATGAACTTCATTAAATTTGTCTTCTTTCATTAAAATTTCAAATAAAATATCCGTATAATTTGTCATGTCCTTATTTGGAGGAAAAGTAATTGCAAGTGTTCCGCTAACACACAAATAATTCAAAGCAATTTTTAATTTATTTTCGCTAAAGTAGTCCATAAATAGCAAACATTTTTGAATATAAAATTGTTTGGAAGAATTTCCAAATAAAAATTCGAGAGCTTCTGAATTGAATATAACTTCATCAAACTCGCCATATTCGAAAGAACAATTAGATAATTTATTCAAAAAATGATAAACAATTTTGATGTCCTCTTTGCTTTGAATAATTGTTGGCAATTGAAGTACAAGATAAAGACTTTCACCTTCGTAATCTAAAAAATATTCTAATTAAAAATGAAACTTTACTCCATCTACAGTGACTATTGTAAGGAAGGGAAAGATCCAGCTGGCTAGCATTTAAAACGCTCACTAGGCGGGGGTTTAAGATCTATTAAAAGAGAGGGTGAAAGCAGTGTCCCGGTAGCTCAGTTGGTAGAGCACCTGTACGTGGTGAGCGAAAGCGCCTAGCAATAACTGCCAGGAGGTCGCAGGATCGAAGCCTGCCCGGGATTAAACTTTTACCTCGCTCTTACTCTATTAAAACCTAACAGACGAAAGTAATTAAAAACCAAAAAAAAGCGGAGCAGTTCAACTGAGTCCCGGCTCAATTGAGTCCCGGCCCTATAACTCAAGTTCGGCTTGATAATTTTTAATGTTTTTGGTACCATTTGATAGAGCATCAGATGGACTACAATATACCAAAAAATCAAAATTTTCTATTGATTGGTAGAAAAGGTATGATCTCTAAACTAACTTTTTCAAAAAAATCTGATTTTCGGCACTTTATCGATCATATCTTTTTTACCAGTTGGTCAGGAATTTTGATTTTTTGGTATATTGTAGCCTATTTAATGCCCTATCCAATGGTACCAAAAGCAAAAATAAAGTACTATCCCTTCATAAGTTATAGGGTCCGGGACTCAGTTGAGTCGGGACTCAATTGAGGTGTACCGAAAAAAAAGGTAAAGCTATTTGGAACTTATGCAGTTTGGGTACACAACCCAATTATTCGCGAGCTAAAAATAGAACTATATTACTTCGTAGTAGACAAAGCAACCGTTGACTCTTGCGAGACTCGTCACACATAACTCTGCGCGATGCACAGAATATGCACAAGCGTCTTGCCGACCTCCGTAAGGTTACTTTACCAATTTTGAGCTTGCGAATAACTGGGATGTGCCCCAAACTGCTAAGTTCCGCTGTTTACCACGACTTAAAGAATTTTTTTATTAAACAAAATTTAACTACCTTTAACTAATTGAATAACAATATTTTCGTTTGAATTCATAGATGAATACAAAGGAATCGGTTCTTCTAATCCATTTTCCCACTAAAAATAAAAGACATTTTGACTTTTTAATATTTTAATTACCTTCTCTTCAAGTTGTTCATTTAATTGAAAATTGAAATTTTCAGCATTTGGTTTAATTAATTTATGAGGATTTTCATTAAATCGATGAAAATAATCCTTTAATTTCTTTAAAATATAATTAATTAGTTAAAAAACGTTACAATTGAAATTTCGTAAAATTTCTCCAATGCAAGGTCCCCTTCAAATTCATAAATAAAATCGCGAAAATATAAATTTGTTCGTTTGATTGAACATAAATCCGCATAGCTGAGGAATTTAAAAATATCAATCTTCGTTTCTGTAGGCAAAGAATTAAGCATTTTTTGAAGAAAATTTAAATAAAGCACTTAAAACTAAAATTAAAAAATGATTGAGAAATTTAAGTTTGTTAGGTACTAAACTCAAGTCCTAGTAAATACCAGACCTGCTCATAGATACGGATTTTGCTATCCGTATCCGGATATATCCGTGAGGTCAATATCCGTATCCGTCCAACTTTTTAGGCACCGCAGGCTAGAATTTTAAGATGGATATCCGCGGATTTGAAGCATCATATCCGTATCCATTCGTATCCGCGGGTATCCGAATATTATCCATATCCGTGAGCAGGTCTGGTAAATACTAACAAAAATATAAACGAGATTAGACATTGACTAACTGTACTTAATCATACGGATTTTGAAAAATAAAAAATTTAGCAGAGTTGGAGACAAAAAAGAATAACAGAATGATAACAGAGTAACACTTAACACTGAGGCCCAGAATAAATTGGCTTTTATACTAAAACCGCTACGAAACTAAATCTTCATCTTAAAATACAAAAGGCGGTACTTCGGTGTTGCCACACCCCACCCATATATTCGCAAAATATATTTTCTCTTTGAACATATCTCTTTGAACATGCCACAGGGAAAATTGAGTGAAATTGAGGAAGCAAGACTGAGCACTAAAAAATTGTATACGAATTAAGGAGGAATAGAAACTATATCCTGCGAATATATGGGTGGGGTGTGGCAAAACCAAAAGTACCATCAAATGCCCAAACAAAATCTAAAATTGTATCTATTTTTGACTATTTTTAAAATGAAGAACCATTTTTTGATGTATTTTAGATGTCATATTTTGGTGTTTTGTTTCGGTGTACTTTTTTCAAAATAAGAGAGATACATACAGTGCCGGAAAAAAAGATAGGACCGAGATCTCGAAGAAATAAGTTACTGACTTCGTTCTTTTCATTTTTCTACTCAATATCGATGGAAATGTTTATAAAAATTTTTTATAGAATTTTTGACCGAACAAAAGTAAATATTTCTAGTCTGGTCCTATCTTTTTTTCCACCCCAAAAATTGAGTAGTATTGTTTAAAATTTTTTTGATAAAATTCTGTCGATAAAGTATACTGATATTTATACTCATTTTAAAGAGCACTTAATGGCCTACAATTTTTGTGTTGAAACTTTTTTCCTAGATGCCATTAAAAAAGAGATAAGCGAAGAAAACTAATTTAACAGCCACTGGTCCTATCTTTTTTTCCGGCACTGTATTTTTAATTATTTTACAAAATATGTACTTTTGAGTTTTTAACAAATAATAAGCATTAACTCGTTTTCTTTTTTTTTAAACAAATAAAACAAAAAAAACAATTTTAATTTAAAATTTGTCAAAGTAAAAGGCACTATTTTCGTGTAAAATCCCACATATCTATATGAATATCATCAGAAGAAGATAGATTCTGACTGTAAAATCGTCGAGGAATTGTTTTGTCACCATCAAATAGTAAATCAATCATTTTTGGATTAAATACACTTTCATTAAAATGTACACGTTCATAACCACAATTAAAAAGCTTTTCCAACCAGCAACGGGCAATAATCATTTCTTCAATAGTTTTTAGACAGTTTGACAATTTTAGAATGTAAAAAGAATTTTCTTCAGCTAAATAGAAAACTGAATTTTTTAAGGAATGAAAGTTGAGAGAATGAAATTTGCAGTTTAAAAATTTAGAGTCTAATTTGTTACTAAGAGTGTTTAGTGTAATTATTAATTATTGGAACTATTACATTATACTCCTACATGTCCGCAAATGAAGATGTGGAAATCTACATACATCGATATTTTATTGCCCGATCTTTATAATCCTTGAAAATTTTTTGATCTTTACGAGAGGAGAAAAGATAGAGGGAGAAGGCAAGATAAACATTACGGACGTGTAAGGCTATGATGCAACATTATACTCCTACATGTCCGCACCGCAGAGCTATAACTTCGTTAAAAATAGTTGAATCCGGGACGCCTTGGTATGGTTCGATGCGATTCGACGAGCTGAATCAGCCATATCAGGGCGTCCCAAGTTCGACCATTTTGAAAGCAGTTATAGCTCTGCGGTACGTTGGGGGTGTACCCTGATGCAATAGTTAACATTATTTTATATACAAATATTTCTAGACCTTTCATTTTAATACAAATAAGATAGCTGGATCCAAATTCGCCTAAAAACAATTTTTTGTCTACCGCTGTTTTCCACTGAAAACAAAAAATAATTTTTATTTAATCAAAAAATTAATTTATTTAACCTTCTTTTTAAGTTGATCATTTAAAGTAAATTCAAAAATTCCAGCTTGAGAGTCAATTAATTTATACGAAGGAAACCATCGAAGAGAGTTAGGGGTAATCCAAAATTAAAATTTTTAAATAAGTTAATTAATTAAATATTTACTATTGCGAGTTCTTTGAATTTCTTTCTTGCCAATCTTACTCCATATTTATTAATTAAATTGAGGAGGTAATAATTGGTTTGTTTAATAGAAAATAATTGGTCGAAATTAAAACATTTTAAAACGTCGAGTTGAACTTCGAGTGGTAAAGAAAACATTTTAATTTTATCTAAAGAAAGCTCTAAAATCATTAAATATCATAAAATACTGACTTAAATTTGAAAAACTTTATTGACCCTGACATTTTAGTATGTAATACATAAAAACTGGGAAAGATGTGTGGGGGGTAGTGCAAAATGGAGGAATAAGAAACATTGTGGAACAGCACAACATCGTTAGGGGAGTTATTTTGCCGAGTTTATGTGGAGGAAAATTATTGTTGAAGAAGGCGTTGCTGCTTGGAGGAATACTAGTTAGTGTAATAGTCCCTCCTACATATTAAATAAAATTTCCCACAAAAAGAATGTAGGGATAACGGAGCACCACTATAGTTTTTATAAATTTCATATTTGTGCCTGACCGGTTCCATCCTGATATTTCTGTATTAATCCGGTTCGGGACTAAATTGAATTTATGGTGGAAGAAAATAAAGGTGAGAGGCAAATGTCGGTTTAGCAAAACTCGGTCCAAATTGTTTGGGGTCTCTTAGGCTCGAGTGATGTTATTTGTTTGTTACAACTAGGAAGGTTATGTCAAATACGGGGAAGGTTGTTCCAACTGCCGGGAACAACATTCCTCGTAGCTGTTGGAAAAACTTTGTTCGTTGTTGGAACAGACTTTCCGTAGTTGGAATAGCCTCCTTGCCGTAACAAGATAACATGACCCCAAACCATTTGGACCGAGTTTTGTCCGACCATCTTTTGCCCTTACACGAGAAGATACATTTTTGTCTTAAAGTTCTTTAACAAAAAGAAGTATGGGAAAAATATTTTTAATATACATATTAAGAAATTTTAACAAATACATCGGAGAATATTCAAAAAATTAATGAAAATTTTTATCAAAAAAATTTTTAAACAAAATTTTAAATAAAGTAAATGAATCCATAGCTCATAAATTATAAATCAAGCTCAAAATATTGAGTGAAAAAGTGAAAAAAGAGGGGTTGACTTCCATAGTATTACCTCCAAAAAGTAAAATCAAAATCAAAAAAATCAAATTTAACAACAAATTCATTCAGTCATTAATTCATCAATTTCCAACAATTTCTTCAATCCTTTCGTTAAAGTATTCAAATTAAAATAAATATCATTTAATTCAATATTAGCCACCATTTTTGGGCTATCCATTGACATTTCAATACCCTAAAATACAAAAAAAAAATAAAATATTGATGTGTATGTAGTTAAAAAAATATTTTTGTTACAGTCAGACCTAGGCTTTAAATATCCCTTATTTCTGGAAATGTTGATTTTAAAAACGAGGGGTATCCAAAGTTTGGAGGTATCGCGTAGTCATCCCAGTTGCTAACGAAATTTAAAGAACCCCTAAAATCAACTTATGAGTATCAAAATCGTTGCCCGCCTTTATTTAAAAAAAGAGCCGCAAAACTAAAAAAAAGTGCCAACAAACTAATGGATGTCCACTTTATTAGCAAAAAGCTAAAGAATCTGGGATTTTTTTAGTAATATACATGCTAGAGGTAAAATATTAAGAATTTGGGATTTGCTTACTATAATTAAAGACAAATTTTTAGAAGGGTGTAACCTCGGTAATTATTTTTAATGCCATTTTTTTAAAAAAAACTTACATATAAACAAGAATAAAAATTAACAAGTTCTGACAGTTTATCCCAAATTAACTCGAATCCTCTAAACTTGTCTCCTCTCATTATAATTTCGAATAAAATAATTGCATAAACTTCAGGATTATTTACATGTTTAAATGTTTCACTGACTAAATTATGCAAAACATATCTTAAACAACCATTTGTATCGGTAGATTTAGGTGTCCAATCAAAAAAGCTCCCGGCGGCAATTTTGGATGCCCGCTTGTTTATAACATAAAATTTCCCGGGAATCTTCGCATTTTCAAAAAATAATTGGATTAATTCTGGATTGAAAATAAATTGGCAAAAATTGGCAAAAACAAAAGAACAATTGAATAATCGAGTTAAATAATGATAAACAATTTTCATTTGCTTTTTGTTTCTAATAATTGTTGGGAGGTCTAGAATAATGTTGTGTTCTTCGATATTGTTGTAAACTAAAAAATATATAAAAAATTTTTTTGGTATTAAAAAGCTTTTATTTCACTTATCGTTTTGAGTTTATTGGTATTTGCCCGACGAAAAAATAAAGGCTACGGGCCTGCTATAAACACCATTAATTTACACAAACTTATGTATAATTCACACACAAACCACGTATAAAACCTAGTAACCATTTACTTCCTTGAGAACCCCCCCCCCCCCCCTCCACTCAATAAAATTAATTAGACCATTTTATTATTCGATTTGTTTTGTTGATCTAATTATGTAAGAATTTCTAGCGGAAGATAAAAACTGCAGGGATATAGGGGTCCTAAAGTCCGCAAAATCCAAAGGGAGGAGTAAGCCGCCCAATTTTTTGTTTTATTACCATCCACAAAAAGGATTCTTTTTGTGTTTCTTTGAATTTTAAAAATCAAAAAATTCACCTATAGACAGGCTAATGACAATATTGTCAAGCAATCCGTGATCAGGTAAATACAAAGGAATTCGTTTTTGTTGTCCATTACTCCACTAAAAAGGAAAGGAAATTTAAAAACATTTAAGAAGCTATTTTTAACCATTTCATCAATTTGTTTATTCAATTCTTTATGTTGCTCGTCAAATAAAGCAAAATCAAAATTTCCAGCTTCGGGTCTAACGTATTTATGAGGAATTTCTTCGAAATTATTGAAAAAATCCTTTAAATTTAATTAAATTAGGGTTAGAGGGCTGGATTGTCGGATTTCGAGGTTGCCGGGGTAGAGCCTTCGGAGGTTGGGGATTTTGCCTAAAAATTCGTCGGGGGTCGGGATGCTACGCTAAAATAAACTTACGATAGTAAACTTGAATAATTCTTCTCGGGCAAGTTTCCCCTCGAAATTATTAATAAAATCACGAAAAAATAAATTTGTTTGTTTAATTGAAGATAATTGTTCATAATTGAAACATTTAAATATATCAAGCTTCGCTTCTGTTGGCAAAGAATAAAACATTTTTTGAAGAAATTTATTTAAGCACTTGAGAATATCTAAAATTAATTAAAGTTAAAAATAAATTAAAGATTGGATGTAAAGAGAGCAAAAAAAGTCGATAAAGGATATCACCCTCTACTAAGTAAATGCCGAAATTTATTTTATTCAAAATCAGAAAAAATGCAGCTTTTTTATCGTATCCCCACAAATCTCTATTCCTTAAAATCTCTACTGGGCTAAAATGCCTTATAATCTCTACACAGCTAAAATGCATTAAAATCTCTACTCGGCTAAAAATGATTAAAATAACTATTCCTTAAAATCTCTATTCCTCATAATCTCTACAAGGGTAAAATGCCTTAAAATCTCTACACGGCCAAAAATAGGATAAAATGTCTATTTTTTCATTCGGAAGCCTTTTGAGTGCCAACGTTCAGTGCGGAAACGTTGTTCTGATTTCTGGCTTATCTTTTGATATTATTTTGCTTGTATTATTTCTGCCGCTGCGGATGAACTCAGGCATGTCCAGCGGAACGACAGCAGCCGCTTCGATACGATCACCGCAAGCAAAATGAACACGACCGCAGCGAAGCAGTCGTGTATTATATCTTCGATATTTACAGCGGATACAAGCAGATATCCGCAGCCATTTTTAAATCAATTGTATCCGTATCCATTACCAAGTCTGGGTTTTCCAATGAATAGTTCATATTTTACACTTTTGGTGAGACTCTACCGTCCATTTGCACGCTGTAGAGATTTTAATTATTTTTACCCCAGTAGAGATTTTAAGGAATAGTTATTTTAAGGAATAGAGATTTTAAGCATTTTTACCCTAGTAGAGATTTTAAGGAATAGCGATTTTAAGGAATAGAGATTTTGTATGGGAGCCTTTTTTATTAAAGAGAGAGAAAACTAAAAAAGAGGAGAGTTAGAGGGCATTAGACAAAATTTGGGACCAAATGTCATCATTGGCAAAATGAAATTTAATTAATATGTTTCTTCGCCGTTTCATTGATAGCCCTACTTTATGTACAATTTTACTGTGGCACTATAATTGAACTTTAAAGGCTTAATGTTAGGAATTGAAAAAAAAACTAAAAATCTATCAAATATTAGTTGCTAGGTCTCGACAGATTTTTGGAAAAAGAGAAAAATATATATGATTTCAAAAAGTTTAAATTTCCACCAGCTTTGCTGAAATTTTGATTTTTTATAATAGTTAAACCCCGGCCGAAAGGCTGATGGAGAATACTTTTACAGAAATGTTTGTTTGTTTTTTTAATTCCAATCTCTCGCTGGAATGGGTAATGTGGGCAGGGTATTTATTTGAAGGAGGGTAACAAGTACCGTAAGTTATAAACGCAGTATATTGAAGATTGCTAAAAATATTGAAGATTGCCAAATATTTTACAAAAAAATTTATTCCAAAAACACATTTACATACAAAACAAATTTACAACAAATCTAATAGAATATATTATGAGACATATGTACATATTACACACAAGGAAATTTAGGAAATATACAACAACATATAAATGAATGCAAGATAACAACAAAGGAAAATATGAGTTTAGATATTATATTCAGTTCATTTTTATCTCTTTAGAATTCTTCCTCCTCTGTGGCAGGTTCCTCCTCGGCCGTCTCCACCGGTTCTTCAGTGCGCGTCCCACCATCCCGACTCGGTGTTGCAACCAGTTTCTTTCCCGTATCATCAACCGGAAATGGCTCGGACTCAACGTCAGGCACGTGATATACTGAAAATTAAAGAATTACCCAAAGACTCCTTTTCACTTATTCGAGTACCTCTCTTCGGCTTCCGTGGTTCTTCCTCCTCAATTGGAATGAGCTTCCACCGCTTATTCCAGAAGCCTTTAGCGCGCGTAAGTATTTCACACACGTCCTCGGCTGCGGTCGAGATCAGCTTCAGTGGAGGGGCATCCCGTTCGAGCTTGAGTACCACATTTTTCTTTTCAGTGATACTCTGTCGAATAGCCTGTAAATTAAAGGATTGAAAATTGTTTACAAAATTACTTGTAAAATAACACCTTTTTAGCTCCAGAGACGTCGTCTTTCACTTCCTTGCCGTTAACGTCCCGCAATATGTCGCCTGGAAGGATGTACTGCGCAGCTACACTGCTTGGCTCAATGTGCGAGACGATGATATTAGATCCCTGGAATTGAAAGCTATTATTAATGACAAGCCCTCATTACTCAATCAATTACCTTCTTCTCCACAGTTATCCCAATTGGAAGATCTTCTCGCCATCTGATCTGCAGCTGGATGAAATTGTGGCTCGGGTTTCGCCTGATTTGTGTGACCTTGAGGTTGATCATTCTGAAGTAGTCGTCCCTGCGGAAACGGATGAACAATGGTTTGGGTTCAGCGCCAGAATACTGGGTTGCTGCCGTGAAGTCTTCTGTCGAGTTTATGGCCTGAAAAATGGACGTTTAAATCGAGTATTACCCTAATAATCGCAAAAGCTTACCCGTTTGTCAATCTGCAAGATCCAGTCTCCAGGGAACAACCATCCAAAGAAGTAGGAGAAGATGTCGATCTTCTGTATCCGCGGCGGCGAGCTCCCACTGAAGAACGTCAGTCCCATGTCCGAGTCTTGGATCTCGATGGTATCCTCATGCTCATGAATGTACTTCTTAGCTGAAAGAGAAAAAAAAGTTAGTTTAGGAGACAACCCTTGTATGATACATCCTCGTTTCTCGGCCATTGCACTGAGACGCCAAGGCAAGAGTGAGCAGCACAGCGACAAACCAAAAGCGGCCTTGAGTTGAATTGAGCACAGCGTTGTCGTCACGAAGTGCAGTGAGTTGTAGTGTTGGTTTATGCATAATTTATTAAGGTGCTTTTATACTAACCTAAAATTCATAATAGAAAAATACTTCTTTATAAAATCCCCTGTTTATGCACACCCTTGAGAGTTTAAAAAATAAAAACACACTCCTTGTTGACAGCATACTAGTTAACAAAGAAAATTTTGTTAACATCACGCTAATAACGACGGAAGAAAACTAAAAGAGGAAGAAATCTGGCTTCTTAGTTAGCCTTCATAATTCTCCAAATTTTCACAGTCTGATTTCGTTTTAATTGAGGCAAACAGAATGTGGCGAAATTGATGTCAATTCTTAATTTTTACAAAAATATTTTTCAAACTATAGAATGTTCTCTGTTACATCAATATTGGTAATATGTACATTTTTTTGAAGTATTTTACAAATTAAAAATTAATTGGTGGTGGCCAAAAAGGGAAAAATAAATCAACAGGAAAATAGAAAAAAGAATAAAACAAATTTCAAAAAAAATAGAAAACCCAAAGAAAAATTTTATTCATCAACCAACACAAAATAAAATTTTAATAGTGACAAAAAAGAGAAAAATAATTTTATTTTTTTTAATTTTCTAAAACATTTTTTGACAATAAAAGAGTATATAATTAAATAAATTTTTTAAATAAAATTTCTTTTTCATTTGTCATCATTAATTGTTGCAAATGATGATGACATTGCTGCTACATCGTCTCTGCAATACGTGTGGAAAGCCTGAAAAATTAATCAGAATTTAATTTAAAAAATATGTATTTTAAATTATGTGTTCTCCGGAAAATTCTGATTTCAGAATTTAAAAAATGTGTTTTGTGTTTTATGTGTTTTACGAAAATTCTGATTTTTATTTGAAATCAGAATTTTTATTTCAAAAAGAGAATTCTGGTTTGTATTAAATCAAATATAATTCTGATTTTTATTAAAAATTCTGAAATTTGTAAAAAATACAAATTCTGATATTTATATAAATTTATTAACTATTTAATTCTGATTTCTTAATTAAATACAAAAATTCTGATTTTTATTTTTAAAAATACAAAAATTATTTTCAAATCAGAATTAAAATTAATTTTACAAATTGTTGTTTGTAAAATTCTCACCTTTCCATCAACAACAACGGAATCGAGAAGCTTCCAAGCATCTCCATCATCATCCCATTTCACCTCAAAACGTTCATTACATACACAACACTCCTTTAAATAATTTTTTGAATTTTTAATTTAAATAATTCCCCCTACTTTATTTTTAATAGAGTCAGCATCAACTACACCCAAATTATCATCAATACCACCAGGAGAAGATTGTCTTAGTTGAAATTTATCGCCTTTTAAAAAATTTTTAAATTCAAAAAAATTTAATTAAAGATTACTAGCAAAGTTAATTTCATTGACTTGATCATATTCAGAATATTTGAACCAATCCTAAAAATATTTAAAAATATTTGTATGTATTTACAGTTATTTTGCCCTAGTTTAATTCGTTTTTTATTTTGATTTCCGGGATTAATTTGTAAACTTAATTTTAAAATTAAAATAATTTCCAGATTAAATTTCAATTTATTTCTCAAAAATTAGCAAGTACATACATATGGTGGGTCAGCTAAACTATATCAGAAAAATATGCAGAATAAAGCATTTTATTTGAAAATTAAACTATTTTTAAGTGTTTAAAATGGTGCCCCTATATTTTGTCATATTTTTGACATATTTTTCTCTATTTATTCCCTATCTTTGAGGGGATGTTCCCTATTTTGGTGTTTTGGAAAAAGGACACCCTTCTAGTATATAGTATATACTTGTAATTTTTGTGGAATTATCTTTAAATTAAATACAGAAATAAACAAAAATTACTTACATCCAACATAAACCAAGGTTGGTTTTTTGGAGTAAAATCCTTTTTAGTTTTAGGGTCCTTCGTTATTTCTTCATTTAAATGCAATTTTGCATGTTGTTGATGTTGTTCACTATAAAGGTCTTTAAATCCAATACAACAATCTTGGCAACAATGACGTTGTTTGTGAATTGAGTCAATAACTGAATCATAACGACTAAAAAAAGAATTAATTAAAATAATCCCCCCTCCTCTTCCTTACATAATCAAAGAACGCATACTAAACAAATCAAAGCCAGCCATTGGCATTGCTCTCCTTTCCGAATGTTCAAAACGATGGGCACAAGGCACTGGAGGAGAATTTGAACGGCCCAAAGTTGTATTTCTTGCTTCGATAGCAGCTTGTCTTTCATGATTTTTTCGTTCAACTTGATTAGGTTGTGATAGATAACCCGAATTTATTAATCTTTGGAGTAGACTGGTAACATCAAATACAGGATCTATATAAAAGAATGATAAATACTTTTTAAATTTTTAAGAAATGCTACAGAAGAATGCTCAGGGCTGGTGTCCGTATTTTTTCGTATCCGGATATGTCAAGCCTATTCTGGCATAGTGCTCAATATTAATACCCCAAGAGGGTACAAAAAAAACTAATTTTCACCCTTTTTTGCTTCCGATTTAGGTTGCTGAAGTTTATTTGTTGAGATTTGTTGAGGTATTATTTGTTGTTGTCTAATTGCAGGCATATATCTCATTAATTCATAACTCGGTTCCGGGTCAATTCTAACTTCTGGAGGAGGGCCGCAAAGACTAATTTCATGCATCTTCCCATTAATAGATGCTTTAATTTTTGGACCTCCAAATGCCCCTTTGAATGGAAAGTTGCCCATATAAAGTTCACGTGAAGGGCCGCCAAAACGTAAAATATGAAGTTGGCCATCTATCAAAACTTGTTTTTGCTCTACAAAAGACATGCAATATGCTGTTTTATCAATTATTACATTACGAGATGGCCCAGCAAACGAAACACGGTGTGGGAGACCATTCCGTTCAATGACTGCTATTTGGTCGAGATAAAATACCTCATAAGCCTTTCCATCAACAAAAATCCGATTCTTTTCCGGAACACCCGGTAAACGTGGGGTAACGTTTTGGATGTTATGTTGAACATCTAAAATATTAATTAAGGTGATTTTTAGTTAATAATGTATTTTATTTACATCCGGAAATGTCTTTCGTATTTTAATTAACTTTCCGGAAAAAGTAGTGGAATGTACTCAAATATTACTAGAAACAATTTGTAAACTTAAGTTTCCGGAAAAGTTTCAAGTATTTTAATTAGAGTTGTTGACGACCGGCTAATAACCGGTACCTCCGGTTTTCGGTTAATCCAAATTTTAGAAACCCGGTTTTCGGTTTTTAGTTTTAGACAATTACCGGTTTTATTATGGGGGAATTTGTAATAAAATCACTCATTTTCACAAAATTCCGGTTTTCGGTTTTCAAAATTTTCTAAAATCGGTTAATTTTTGGCAAAAAATTTAAAAAATTCCGGTTTTAAAACCGGTCGCCAACAACCCTAATTTTCATGTCTAACGTCTATGTATATTATTTTCCGGAGCAATTATTAAATTATACTAAAATATAAGTTTATTTGCAAACTTAAGTTTCCGGAAGGATTTTATTAATTTATTTTTTTATTATTTACTTTGAAGAGTTGGAGGAGGAAAGTTATGTTGAGGAATTCCACTCATTGTTGTTATTTGAGGTGGAGGAATTTCTTTGTTAAATGGTGGCGGTTGTTGCAAATTTGTTGGAGGGGCACTAGAAACTTGTGGAATCATTATTAATTGTGGCTGGTCAGCAGCATAAAAGATTATTTGGGGTTGTAATGAAGGTGTAGAGTGAGAAGTCATCACCACATTGAATGCATGTGCACCCAGCGTCCGGGAGGGCTCAGGAACCTGAAAAAAAATGTTAACGGGAATTTTAAAAATGGACTAAAAACTGTTCCGGAAAACTTTAAATAAATTGAAGTATATTGTCCAGAAAATAGATAATATTCATCTTAAATGTTTCGGAAAACAGAGAAAACACCTATTCTTCAACAATATTACAGGCCAACGGAAAAACCTTTACAAAACTGTAGACTAACCGAAGAAATATTAAGAATTTCGGAAAAGTTTAGAAACTAATGACAGATGTACTCCTCAAACATAAAAATCTAAAAACACAAACATTTTGTTTCGAAACTCGAGGTTGTTGAGGCTTGACAGACCGTTGAGTTGATTTGTTACTAACATTACTGCTGCTATGTTGAGCTGTTGTGGTTGTTCTAGGACGCTTGGTTGGAGGCCCTCCTCCTTTGTGTTGTGATGATTGTTGTTGTGAAGGTTGTTGAGGTGGCTTGTTAGGCTTGTTAGCTAAAATAGAGAAAATAATATTCCAGGTTTTAAAGAAAAAAAAATTAATTTAAATAAACATCAAGTTTTTCAAAAAAACATTAATTAATTACAAACTTTTCTTTCCAGAAAAAATTAAAGTTCAATATTTCTGTTTTTCCGAAGTTTTATTTTTAATTAAAAGTTTTCTTAAAATTCTATTTACTTATTCGTCATACCTATTTACTTATTATTAGTGATGGGATTTATATGGACTATCAATTGAAAGATATTGACCAAATATAGACAATAATTAAAGTTTTAAACAGCTAATTTAAATATGGAAAAATATGTATTGATAACTCGAAAACCTTCAAATCAACATATGCGAAAACGTTTTTCGTCTCTTCATAACGAAAATTGGGCCTGGGAAAAAATATGGAAATGCATATAAATTCCATCCCTAATTATTACACGAACATTTACACAAATTATTTAATGTTTCCGGAAAAATTTTAAAATTTAAGGAAACAAAATATATTTTAATATTTTACTCATTAAATTTAAACGTTTTAATCTTTTATCTTCGAAAAACAAAATTTCCGAAAAAATATTTTTATTTATTTTCTCCAACAAAAATAAAAATTTTATTGTAACCATTAATGTCAGGCTGTATTTTCTTTTTTTCTGGTTGTTTTTCTTGTTGTTTATTTTCTTGTTTAACACCTGTTGGCTGTTTTCCATTGAGAAATTTAGGGTTAACATGTACTACATGTCCCCCTCCTCCTCCCCCTCCTTGTTGTTGCCCTGATGTTTGTTGTTGTTGTGATGACACTTCAATCTTCAAATCTGGATTCATTATAGGCCAAGCCCTATCCACAGAATTTATTTTTGTGTCGATCATGTAAAGTTTAGATTTTGTGAAAACGTCAGCCCAGGTGCAACGCAGCCGGTAAATTGAAGCTCTTGTACGTTCGTCTCCCTACAATGGGAAAACAAAAAATGTAAATTTTATATTGAAATTAGTTTTTGATTTCTTAATTTTAATTCGAAAATTGGAAAAAACAAGTTGCGTGACCACGTTCGAAAAAAGTGATCAAGAGATGGACGGTAAGCTTTTCAGAATGATTTGTTCAGCATCATTAAATCCAGCCAATCTTGATATCTTTCGACTCATTGTCCTCAAAAAAGATTACAGGCTATTAACGCCATAGATTTCTCTTTAACTTCTTTTAAGGATAAAATAAGATTCTAAACCTTATTCCCTTAATTAACAACCTAAAAACCCTTTAAAATTTGACAGCAACTAAATATGTGGACAATAAAAATGTCACAAAAACTCGAGGACATGTTGTTCAAATCAAGAATTTCTGTGCAAAGTCAAAGAGAATTCGTTCTCTTCTCAACACATATGAGATTTGTTGTTGCTTTTTGGGAAGAAGGAAGTTTCTTGGAATGGGAAGAAGGAAAGGGGAAGGAAATAAATTTAAAAGTAATGAAACTTTAAAACAATTTTAAAAAAATTTAGAAAACAAGAGAACCTTTTCAAGGCAATTTAGCATTTAAAATACTTAGAGAGGCTTTTAAGTTAACAATTTAATTTTAATATAAAGGAAACCAGTTAAGGGTGTTTTGAAAGATAGGTGTGCTCGTGTTGAGCTTAAAATAAGTCTTGGATCTGACTCCAACTCAATGTTTCTCTTTTTCAATGAAATTTTTCGAACACATCTGTATGATATTAAACTTACAAAACCCCTTCAGTTTACCCCAAAAAGATTTTCTTTTAGGATTTTGTTTTTTAAGGGCCAAAAATAAAGGGTTCTGCTTTGACCCCAAAAAACTCAACCAAACATTTCAACTCAATCCTTTTTTTAAAAAAACATTATTATCCCTACACAGGCCCACAATTTTATTCAAAATCTCAAGCCTGCAATTTTTTCATTTTTAAAAATAATTGAGATCTAACGTCAATATGAGAATAGAATTTTTAAAGAGATTTTTTAAGAGACTAGAAGAGAGAAGTGAATTGTGAGAAAATAAAAAATGGTGTAAAAATAAATAAAAAAATTGTCTCAAGAGATGTCCACCTCCTTGAATACATGAACAATCATGTCAACAATCTTCTTGGCAAACAGTTCACGATAACCTCCAGTTTTTTCAATGTTCTTTACGATTGAATCAATCACGTATAACACAACAATTTTGAGTGGAACAGAACACTAAAAATTGGAAAAGATGAGAAAAAGATGTTTCTAGTCGTTTAAACAAAAGTTTGAGTATGATTGTTTAAAGAGGAGATAACGGTAAAAGTAGGTTTTGTGTCCTCCCTCCCATTTTCTCTTTTCATCTCTCTAGAAAAAAGAGACGAATCGCAATTTCAATCTGTTATATGAGACTAAAATGTCTTCCTTTTTAAAATATTCAAGATTTATATTACCAAGTATGATGGATACGATTTGAATGTTAACAGGCACGAGAAATTCAGTCAAGGATACCCAAGAGAAATTAAGTCCAAATTTGCTGAGTATCCCCTCACAAAATCCAAAAACTTCAAAATTTAAACGAACCTTGTAGAGAGATTCCTCAATAACTCCAACAATTTCACTAGAATAAAAAGCATAGTCATTTGCCAAATCCGTAAGCAAATTTATCTGAAGTTTGTCATTCTTTGTCAGGTCAGAAAGGGCTTCTCTTAAAAAAAGAAAATTTTAAAATTAATAAAAATAAAAAACCTGTATTCCTTTGCTGCTTCACTAGCTGATACCATTTTTTTAAATAAAATTAAAGTTTTTACAAATCTTTAAAAAATATTTTTGTTTGTCCTGAAAAAATAAATAAAATTTTAATTAAGAACCAAAAAAATAAAAGTAAAAACGCGTTAGAGTTAACACATTATTATGTATCTACTACACATATACGTACATTTAAATTTATATAAAATCAAAAAAACATTCCCATGAAACATTTAAATCATTCATTTGCTGAGAAACTTGCTCATTTTAAATGAAGAAAAATGTCGATGTGTAAGACACAATGTTTGTATACGCGAATTCAAATCGATATACCTATTAATATTTTACGAGTCCATTAAATGCACAGCGGGTAGTCCCGCATAAAATGGCAAAAGGAAAAAAACCGGTAAAATTCAATTTCGTACCCCCCCCTATTTTCCTTCTTCAAAGTATTATAAAATGGTCAGTCAGACTTAGATTATAGAACTCGTCGAGCTGTGTCGAATGACACCAAAATCAAAAAAATTGTACTCGATTTGACCGAAATACAGACCCCTGAAAATTGAACAACCATGGGGGCGAAAACCCATAAGGACGAAAATTTATCCAAATGATAGCTCATTCGAAAGAGCTCGTCGAGCTGAGTCGAATGACACCAAAATCAATGTGATTGGACAAGATTTGACAAAGTTATGACATAAAGTCGCCGACTCCGTTAGGTCTACATAATGTCATAACTTTGTCAAACCATGTCTAATCACGTTGATTTTGGTGTCTTTCGACTCAGCTTGACGAGCTCTTTCGAATGAGCTATCATTTGGATAAAATTTTTTTATTTCAAAAAATCGCCCCTATGCTTGTTCAATTTTCAGAGGTCTGTATTTCGGTCAAATCGAGTCCAATTTTTTTGATTTTGGTGTCATTCGACACAGCTCGACGAGTTCTATAATAGAAGTCTGACTGACCATTTTATAATACTTTGTAGAAGGAAAAAGGAGGGGGGTACGAAATTGAATATTACCAAAAAACCCACAAAATATGTAAAATAAATTGACAGGCTTTAACCTGTTAAAAAATAAATTCTAATATAAAACAAAAATAATTTAATCGAAAGTTAACGATAAAATAAAAAGAAAATCGCTAGGAGAAGATAGGATTGAAAAATCGACGAGGAATTGTTTTGTCGTTGTCAAATAAAATATTGATCATTTCTGGATTAAATAAAGATTCAGTAAAATAAACAATTTCAAAAACACAATTAAAAAGTTTTTCCAACCAGCAACGAACAATAATCATTTCTTCAATTTTTTTTGGAAATGCTGGCAATTTTAAAATATAATAACGGGGATTTTTGTCAACTAAATAAAAAATGAATTTTAAAAAATTTTTTTAGTCAAATGAAATATAAATTTACATTCCTAAAAAAGCTTACTTTGCTAATAAATTGTTTAATAATTATTATTACATATAAAAAGTTTTAAACCTGTCGTGCAGATATAAAAAAACAAGCTGCTATCAGAAAGACATTTAAATAACGGAATTACTTTATCAATCGCTGCCTGCCACTGAAAGAATAAATAGTACTTGTGGGTTATCCCTACGAACTTTTGCGGACTATTTTTGCGGACACAATTGTACGGAATGGTCAATTCTCTCCCTCGCTAATGCTACGGTTACATAAAAATCGCGCGCGACACGCGACAGAAAAGATAATGTAAAAAGAGGAGAGAAAAATCGCGCGCGATTTTGTCGCTTTTTTCTAGTGGTTACATAAAAAGCGACTTCCGCCGGCGTCTTGTCGCGCGCGACTTTGTCGCTTTTTTGAGTGGTTACATAAAAAGCGACTTCCGCCGGCGACTTGTCGCGCGCGACTTTGTCGCTTTTTTGAGTGGTTACATAAAATGCGATTTCCGCCGGCGACTTGTCGCCGGCGACACTTTTTTTGATTCAAACATGTTTGAATTTTTGGCGACACTTTTTTGCGACATGCTATTTCTCGATCAATTTTGATCCGATTTTCAAAATTTAAAAAGATTCTGAAAGTTCAGTTTATTCTCTATCAGTAGTTATATCTCCCTTTTTCTCGTCGTCATACGCAAACGTAGGCAGGATTTTTTTCACATACGTCGTCACCAAATGCAAGCGTAGACAAGACCTCTCCTCAAATTACACGGTCAATAAGACACAACTACTCCATAGTCAGAGTCCAAAGGTTCAAGAAGTTTCAAAAGGGTTTATGAGGTAATTTGATCAAACCGGTTTGGTGTGAACTTTTTAAAGAAAAACACCTTACCAAACCATTTCCTATATTTTTCACAATATTACATAACCAAATGATTACCAAATGTTCTAGGGTTCAAGTAGTGGTTTAAACCGTTTCAAAGAAGGATTTCCCATATTTTTTCGTAAACATTAAAAAAACACCTTTCAAACGCTCTTCTCTATTTTCCAACTATCTTCTTTTCTTTCCCAAAGGGCTTAAGAGGTACTTTGATCAAACCGGTTTAAGAGGTAAATTTTCAAAGAAAAACACTTTACCGAACCATTCCCCAAATTTTTCAGTATATTACATAACCAAATGGTTCCTAAATGTTCAAGGGTTCAAGAAGTGGTTTAACCCGGTTCAAAAAAGGATTTTACATTTTTTCATAAAACAGTTAAAAAACACCTTTCGAACGCTCTTCTCTATTTTAACTATCTTCTTTTCTTTCCCAAAGGGTTTAAGGGGTACTTTGATCAAACCGTTTTAAGAGGTAAATTTTTAAAGAAAACCACCTTAACAAAACATTCCCCACATTTTTCACAAGATTACATATCTAAAAATTGTCCCTAAATGTTCAAGGATTCAAGAAGTATTTTTTAAACCGGTTTAGGTTCAAACAATGATTTTCCCTATTTTTCATAAGATTACGTAACTGAAAGGTTAAAATGGTTCCTAAATATTCAAGGGTTCAAGAAGTGGTTTTAAACCGGTTCAAACCAAGATTTCCCATATTTTTCACTTTAAACTGTTCTAAAAACTTTTCTTTTAAAGTTCCACCTCTTCCTCTATCCATCTTCTATTCCCTTTTATTTTTACCCTACTTTTGAAAAAATTCAAAATTAAGGTTATAAAATAAAAATAGAAATAATTACCTAAAAATCAGTGATGCGAAAATTATTTTGTGAAATTATTGTTGAAAAGTAAAAATTACCCAAAATCGGTCATGTACAATAAAATTGGAAATTTTTATAAATTATTGTCAGAAAAGGGAAAACGGTTGAATTTTATAAATAAAAAGTAGTTAAATGTTGGTCAAAGATTTCTTTAAGGTTTAAGGGGTGCTCAAAAGGTTTAAACGGTTTGGAATATTTTAACCAAACCGGTTTAGGCTGTAAATTTTTTTAAATAAGAGTAAACCCTTAACATATTTTTTACAAGATTATTATGGTTCCCAAAAGGTTCAGGAGTTAATTTTTAATCGTTTCAAAAAAGGTACTTTTAAAAAATAATTGAAAAAACACTTCGCCAAACTATTCCCTAGCCTCACACATCTTCTTGGGAAAATTGACATCCAGAAATGTGTCAATTGACATTTTGACATATGTCAGTTGACATATGTCATTTTTGACATTTTGATCAGTTTAATGAGTTATATTGAACAAAAGTGGTTCTAAAATGGAGCAAAACTCGAGTTCTAGACCTTGGAACATGAAACTTTTTCAATTTGAAAAGTTTTATTTTACTTTTTTCACTCATTTTACACATCTTACTCATTCTGACTGAATAGATAAGCTGAGCCGTAATTTACATATGAGCGAAGAAAAAAAATCACCAGAAATTTCATCATGACTAACATCAATAAGAAATTCTTAATTAATTAGCTTCCTTCTAATCCGGAAGGTTTACTTCAATAAATATTCCAAACTTGTATAAGCAAGCTATGAAGAATCCCGATCAGCAATTTGGTCCTGACCAAATTGGATTTTCAGTGAGCAGTCAGTTACTTGAAACTGACATTTGGATCCCGATCGATGATATCGAAATAAAAAATTTTTATTTCGAAACGAAACGAAATGGAAAACGAAATTTCACTCATACCTGCTCCCGAACAGGTACATTAACAACAACACAGTAGACGCCATAAGCAACAAATTCCTTAAAGTGGCTCAATCAAAGAAGATAATGGGGTAGCCCATTTAATGCTTTAGTTACACGTATTGACAAGAAGAATCTTCATTCTATACGTACTATTCGAGGCAGCGGCAAGAAGTCAACAATTAAACATAAAGTCAATGACTACCATCTTATTAAAATTATTAATTCCGACAACTATTGCTTATTTCGTTAATTATCTGCCACGCTTGTATTCTCAACAAACGATTGGCTAAAATGGAAATTTTATGATTACATGCATAGAAGAGATATGACTCAACAACTCGAGAAGGATGCTAAGGAAATGATGAATAAAATTAATGCTCCTCCTGATCAAACTAACTGGATGCCAAAAAGTGGTTGACTATTAGAATAATAATTGTAGAGGTTGGTTTAAAGTTTTTATTTTTAAAGATTAGGTGTGTTTATATTTTGGAGACCTATTTTAAAATATACTATAATATTTCAATGTTTATTAATAACTATTTGATGTCGTTATTTGATGTCGTAATCGTGATATATTTGGTAACCTTTAATACAGACTAAAGGATCATACGACTTCATGTCCAGCAGATGTGCTCTAGGATAGTAAAACTGCTCTAGGATCGACCCAGATTACCCTTGAAACAATTTGACAACTTTTCAAACAATGTTATGAATGTGATAAAGAATTTTACAACGAGAACTGCTATGACCATCACCTCAAATCAAATTACTGTAATAAATTCATAAATGTGAACAATGTTGAGTGATATGCTTATACGACTTCGAAAGTGTGTGCTCATAAAACCCCTTACAAATAAAAAACATAAACCGTACTGAAACATTGCTCCATGCAAGCAATAACAAAAGTTCAATTTCTTGTTTTTTTTGTCGAACCATCAATTTCATTTCAAATAAAATCAACTGTCCTGAATGCATTAATGTATTGAACAACAACTGTAAAATTTTTGAAGAAACAATTTCTTCATCAACCTCTTCATCAACACTCATAAACCTTTTTCAATATTGACAACGACCTTTTAAATAATTTTATAACTTGGATCACAATTTTTCTACTAA